GTAGTAAATGCATTATTTATTATTGTTAAAAGTAAATTGTAAAATAAAATTTTGAACTCTATTTGAACATTAATTCTACTTGAGTTCGTGATTATATGAGTATTTTTTGAAATTTTTAAATGTGTTTGAAAATTTTTATGCTATAGGATTTTGTTCCACAAAAAAAAAACCGATTACAATCTTAGCACAAAACCATTTATTGCTTCAGATAAAAAAATATTTTTTCGTATTGATATATAAATGACGAAGTTAGGAGCAAATAAACATAAAAAAAAACGCAACCGAATTAAAGATCCCTTTTTGAAGTCTTTTAATAAAAGAGCTTGTGTAAAGGATTAATTCGAAAACCCGTAGGCCAGAAATGTAGAATGTATCTGTACTTATTTTATGATATATCCAGTTATGTTACTAAGAATTTATAAAAATAAAATCTTTCACTAGTAGTTATATAGCAAAGAAAATAAATAATTCCTTATGATGTTAAGCAATAATAGGAGGAATCTAACCTACATTTCCAATAACGTGTTATGCTTTTCCTCTTTCAACAGGCAATAATTAAATAGAACAGTATATTATTATCAACGTTAACAAGTTATATTTATAGCTACTGCCGCCCAAGAGTCCATTTGCCGCCCACTGGGCTGTTAGGGTGTCGACCCGCAATGCGCCCAATGCGCGTGAAAAGCTATATGTTGAAAAAATTGCGTAGTATTATTACAATGATGAAATTTTACACCAGACTGATTGCAAAATATCTATACACAAGTGTGTTTAATTATTTATTTTATTATCTAGAACCAACAGTAACAGCAATTTCTTTAAAAATTATGTATGAATATTTTGGGAGCCTGTCCCACTCTGTGACCGTTGCCAGCCACTTATATTGCGATGTGACAAATTTCACCAGTTAGCTACAATCTTCCGTTGCTATCGGGTTTTATTGTGCGACGAAATGTAGTATATTCAACGATCCTTTGTGTTTGTGTGGAAGTTTATTAATAGGTAATAGTTTGTATTTAATATATTATTCTTATCTTAAAATAGATATATAAATACATTGTAGACAAATCGATCGTAAAAAGGAACGGATATAAAAGGAGTATTATAAAAGTTGTGTCGTCTAGGAAGCTCAGTCTCCACGGATGCAGTCAGTCTCTGTCAACTTCAGGCTGAACTTGTTATTGTGTTTGATATATTTTTTCCTCGTAATGCAACTACATTAGTTGCTAGAGTACCCACTCGGCTCCGTTATTAAAAGTTTCTTTTAGAGATGAAATTTAATTTTTTTTTTAATTTTTTAGCAGGTATTTAGTATATTATTGAATTGTATTTAAATGTAAATTTATAATGACTTCAGCGCCTGTTTTATTGCTTCTTTTCAAATATTACTGTTACTTGATTATTGAAAGGTATAAAGCGCAGTTACTGAAAAACATGATTTATTTGAGGTAGATTGTGGGAAATTGAGAATGGTTATGTCACACACGTGGAGGGTCACCGCGTGTGATTTTATTTTTGTTATATTATTTATTTGAATAAAAAATATAGGTGACAGATCACAAATAATTATTGCTCAAGAAACATGGTTTAGTTTGTTTTATTAACACATTGTCATGTTCTAATGGAATATACCTATCTTCTTGTGAGGGGGTGAGCAGGGATTGTAATGATAGCAAGGCCGTAGCTAGATCCAACTTTAAGACAGGGTAAAAGAACTTTTTGATTGGGTAGAAGCCACAAATAAATTACTTTGAAAAAGCGAATCTAATTTTCTTGGGGCCTTTCATTTTAAGGTAGGGCATTGGGCCTTTTAAGGTAGAGCATTGCCCCTCAATGCTCCCTAGCTACGACAATGAATGATAGATACCCCTAAATATGAAGGGCATAGCCTACTGTTACTTAAAACGAAGCGGTGATGTAAGTTGCAACCGTCACCTGTTAATAAGTACATAATAAAGAAGGCATGTCGTTCCTTGTTGTTGTTATTATTATATCGAAACACGAAAGTTTATTTATTATAATTGTTTAATCTACAAAGATATTGTCATTGTTGTTTAAAAAAAACTTCAAATTAAGTAATTATTCTAATAATTAATTAAATCTTCATATCATCATCATCATCAGTAAAAACCCGAGATACCTATTGACTTCAAGTGATTCTTGAAAAAAATTATTCTTCCTAAAAGTCTTGGGCGTTATTTGCATATATCAAATGATTTTGAAAGTTATTTAGATTTGCGTTTACTAATAGGGCGATACCAAAATACCCTGGCGATTGAAGAATTCCAGCATGTCTCGGTATCTACGCCGTGGGAAATTTTATCAGATAGAAATATCGCCCCTTAACTCATACATAGTCATCTTCCATTTCAGTGGATATTTCTAAAAACAGATACCAAATATAAAAGTCAGATTTTTTAAAACATTCTTCGTGTGTACGTGCCTGTCTAGTTTGTTTTTAAACTCCTAGGAGAGATGGAATGTTATGAATTTGAAGTATTTCAATGTGCCTGTGGTATATGATAGTTTCCGTACGCTGAATCCATTTCAGATTTTTTTGTTTGAAGCCAGATTAATTAGGATTGTTTCTAAGTTTTCTTTAAGATATGTTTGACGAATATTTGTTCAATTAATTATAGATAATAGAGGCAGGTTTTTTAAGTTAGTGGTAGGGTTGAATTATTGTGCTAATATCATAAATGTAAAAATTGATACAGATGTTGTAAATCTTGTTACACATAAATTATAGGCTATATCCAATAAAAAAACTAAAAAAAAATGTGTCTAGTATGTAACATCATAAGATACTTTTTGTCTTTAACGTGAGGAATATCGCTGGTTATTATCGCTTAAGTATAGCCAGCTTTTAATATTATTTTGAAATTTTTTACTTACGTAAGTAAAAATTATCTGTAAGCTGTATTTCGCCATATCCCATAGTCTATACACATGTATAGATTATGTAGTCGGTACCGCATATCTGTATTTTATAATCTAAGCTGTGTCTATATCACAAACACCTTATTATATTTTTTATTTTCTTATTATTTTTTGTTTCTGTCACGGAAATTGAATTCACTGATCTACGTCAAAATTAGGATATTACATAAAAGTTATATTATTATGATTTTCACATACATCATTGTATTTAAATACAAATTTTTACTCTAAGCTACTATATATACATAAGATACCTTCTTCATATCTGTGAGAGAAAATTATTATTATAATGTAAGAAAGTTAGAACATTGGACTAGGTCAATTTATCTAAATGGAAATATTGAGAACTTGGTTGGTACCATTGGACGATGTTCAATTTGCGGATATAATCGATGATTTAATCAACGAATCTATTGGGCTTTTGTGGATCGCTATTCAATGGTTTGCGTGGTTTGCAATATTATATTGAGATTGTTTTTATTCGGTTTATAGTTGTACAAAGTTTTTGTTCAATTATTATTATAAAATATGTTTTTTTAGTTATGTAGATAAAATATCTTTTATTTGTCTATGCTAAAAAGAATCATGTGCCAGCAACCACAATCCTCACCAAGATCCTACAAGACAACTCTTATATCTTATATTAAATAAGGTGAATAAAGTTACTGTAGAAAATATCTACATAAAATTATTTACATTTTATTTGTTAATATCCGTAACCATAATTGCCTTACCGATGTTTTTTTTTTTTTCTTGTGATATAATAAAATTTTACAAATGGCAATATCACATAGCATAATGTAAAAGTTGCATATAACATTTCGTTAAATGTAAATTCTTAGATTGTCTCTACAATTAAGCAAGTTTTGATATTTTTTCAGGAGTAATATGTGAATGTGTTATTAGCATTAATTATTATCGAGAACTAGCATCAATTATACGGCACCTATCGTTTGCCAGATTTCTTCGACGAAGCAAGCATTTTAATTATGTATTGCACAGTCATCGCGAAATGTAATTAGCCTCATTGTATCACGGAGCGCGTGCGGATTCGATTATCATCTCATCACACTTATGTAGGTACTACTGTGAGTGTGTGGATCAATATATGTTAATATACCAAACTTACCTTAATATAATTCATTATCTTGAATCCATTATTACTTCTCTATATAGATATTAATTTCTAATTTAGAAATTACATACATATACTTTCATAGCTTCCGTAGGAGAAAATTAAGTAAATATTATTATTCCTTATTAGTTTTCTCTTTAATCTATATTTAAGGTTTATGATAATGTTTATTGTACAAGCGCATATCTCGTAAACAACCAAATCACATGTATATTATAGAAAACTATTTTTAGGATTTGTAACATGTGTGCGATCTCGCTGTTGTACATTAAAATCGCGCTTTTGTAGGATATTCTCTACTGAACAGCTGTCGTTCTATTTCCGATACGAGGGGAGTTTCTTTAACGAGTTTCAGTAAAATGTCATTCACAATCACAATATACACAACACCTAATAAACATTCGCAGTGTGTTCACACGATGCCGTTGTCAACATCATACTTTTTGCTACGAACAGGCAGTTCAAATTCAATATGAATATATATTTTGATTATTACTTCAGATAAAGGAGACCTACTATGAATTGCTTAAAAACACGCAATGGTCGTCATGAGCTTGATGGTGTTGAACCCAGTGCCCCACCATATTATCCGCCACAACCACCGTACAATCCAGATTGTATCTATGAACATGCTCACGACGAATCATCACACCTTGACTCTTTATATACATGGGGTTTGTGTGACACTGAACTGTCTGTTGGAAATGCATATGATGGCGATGATTCCGAATATTATTACGATTGCGATGGGTGGGAGCGTCGCTCCTTGTACGAAGGCGTCAACTGGATGCCGCCACTGTCAGTACCGGTGAGTGCGCGCTAACTTGTGTGCATATTGTACAGCACGATACCGAACTGTGCTTAGGCATTACTCGTTGTGTGTACAGTGTGTAACTTAATAAGAAGTAATGTATTATGTTGTTAGCGTGTAATTAACATACGCTTGTCAATAACTATATCTACAGAAACAACCAAACGTTTGTTTATGTGACGAAAGTTTAATCCCTTTGCTACCTAATAAACATGGATCAAAGTGGGAAGGGTGTCCGGAATGCATTAGACGCAAGCGCATGCACCCCGATCTATTTCCGGGCGCGGGCGTCGGCCGTGTACGTGTATAGGCGCCGTTCATTTTAAACCAAAACATGCGCGAGTTCGGCCGCGGGGGCTCACTCGTAGCTGCCACCATAGCGGCGTTACACAATCGGACTGCGATCGAAGAAAAGCCTCGACCGGTTAATTCGCGCCCGATCTCCGTAGAGAGCAGAAATGTTGTGCGATCTGTGACTAAAGAAAACTTATACCACGATTTTTCACGGCGCGCATCCGGCGGAAGCGAACGCCCCTTGTCCACCGCGTCGGAGGCCTCGGAACGCGATTCAGCTTCCGTTCAGTCCAGTGAGGAGCCGCCCCCACACGAGAGTACGTAATTCATGTTCAGTAGACGAGTCACTGACGTACCTTATTACTGGAACGTAGCCAAACTCTAAATAGATACGTCGGTGACTCGTACAGAGCATTTGTCGCGCAGTGTCGCTTGTGCTGAGCCTCATGTCCGACCGTGAATACCTGACAGAACCCTTTGACGAGGAGGAGGAGCACGCGGCGGCGGGCTACGTGCACCCCGCCGTGCGCTCCTATATGTACTCGCCCATGGGTGAGTTCTCGTTGTTCATGAGGCTCTTTTTGTGTGACAAAAGAGTGACGTTTGACAACTTATCTCGTGACAGGCGGCGATTCGGATAGCCCTGATGAAGCAACAGTGAAATGTACTGTTTGGACCGACGGTGCCGTTCCGGTACGGGCGAATTCATCCGACTCCGACTCGAGCTCATCAAGCGAGGATGAATCCGATGAGAAAGAGTATGAAATCCGAGGAGGTGATGCTGACTACCGAACATTAACACCAAATAGTCGGCTGGATAACTCGACCCGTAGAGACGATGGCTTTAAATGGCTGCCAACCGGAGAACTCGTAGATGACACATCAAATCTAATGGACTCGAGGACTGAGGAGTATTCTGCAGCTAGTTTAGACAGGCGAAGGCGTACGCACGCTGACCGTAATGATCGCGATCGTAAATCCAGGTCATCGCTGTCAGGAAAGCCACCGCAGCATCCATCTGGTAGCGTCCGTGCTTCGCCACGACCACGACGACCCCGGAACGAAGAAACTCCACCCGAGCTGCAGAGGCGATGGAATTCATATGAACATTTCCGATGGCCCGAAAGCGGATGGTGGCCTCCAATGTGCTGGTGTCATGGGCCTCCAGCACCACCACCATGCTGTATGCACGAGCGAGCTTGGCCCTCACACCCTTCATTGCCTCCAGTACCTGCACGACCTTATAAGGTACGGGGGAAGATAAAAAAATCTGTAATTTAACCGTAATATACACACAATAATGACACCTGTAGGTTTCTGAGACGAGACGTCACATTAAAAAATACCTTTTTCAAAAAAATTATTTGGTTATAGTCAAAATAATCAAGTAATATAATTATAAATAAATACAAATATATTGTGCTTGAGTTTTGTAACCTTGCATGTTGTAAATAAAAGATTTTCAAATACCTAATAGCGGTACCAATGTTTGTTTTTGCTATAAGCCATTAATGCTTTTTTACAGAGTGCCGTGTAGGTATTTTATTTTTAAGATACACATAATCTTGTTTCTGTGTCATAATTTTATGTAACTAGGTATATTAGGGACATTGTCACGGAATACGAGTATATACTCTATTCTTGTGGTTTTGAAAGTAAGAGCTCTTTGTGAAAGATGCTTTATTTGTGGTCTTACTATGTCACGAAGTATGATGATAAGTATCGCAACGAATTATTTAAAATAATCTCATTTGTGCAGAACGATGCAGAAGACCGGGTGCGGCGGCTTGAAGCCGATAAAGAGAACCTACAGCTGCAGGTTCAGGTGTTATCGGAACAGATCGCAGCTCAGAGTGACAAGATGGGAGATCTCGAAAGATCGTTGCATGAAACCCGCCAAAGGTTGGACGATGCTGAACAGAGGCTACAGAAGGTAAATAAATAAATAATAGACTAAGAACTGTCCCTATTTACAAGAGTCGATAAGTTCATTTCTGACAGATACTAAATATTCGTATATTTGTCTTTATATTTTTTTTTGTGACCTAGTTAAGTGTTCAAAATTAACCTTTTTACATACGATGACATTTGTAGTTTTTTTTATAAAAAAGAAAACACTTATTATGTTTGTAATATGTGCTGGTTTTAGTATTTAATTATATTATTATTTATATTATATTAATTGTAAATAAAATTGCCGTCCAGTATATTATATTTTTATTTTTTTGTTCTTTTTTATTGTTTTATCAATTTTCTTTTTTATAAAAAACTACAAATGTCATCGTATGTAAAAAAGTTAATTTTAAACATTAAGTGTAATCCATATTTATAATTTATTTACTTCGCAAAAAAGGCAGCGCTTTCATCATGATGCAAAATATAATGATTGCAAAAATTTTATGAAAATCAATTCATAATTGACAATAACATTAAAAATTATAATCGAGTAACTCCTTTTTTTGAAGTCACTTAACAAATTACACAGGAACATAATATACTTGTATTTCTGCGTATAGTTTGTCTAGGTAGATTAAGTACGCTCCTGGAAACGTTCGTTCGTAACTTGTACACGCCATGTGCATGTTGTACATCTAACTTGTTCAGCTTTCCCGCTACTCCGAGTTCCTAATTGTATATAGTTTGAGCACGTTTGTATCAACCGTCGCGGACTGAAGTTTTGCTACCGTTTATACGTAAATAATATACATATACACACCTTCAATGATTTAATAAAACGTCGCCTTTATATTCAGCGACAGTCGTCCATTATAACAGCGATGGTAGGTACACTCTTTAACATTCAACACGGCCTAGATCCCGCTGGAATGGCACTATTGAATAATCATGATAGGCGTGGGCCGTGCGATTTCCAGTGTGTAGTCAGCTCGACGTTTCGCATTTTGATAGTAGTGTACTAGATATTGTTGTCCTACTGTCTGTAAAGGTGTTATCTAAATGTTTATTTCTTATATATATATATATATATATATATATATATATATATATATATATATATATATATATATATATATATATATATATATATAAATTTGTCATCGGTTAAGAATTGCTGAAGATCTTGTGCAACATACCTACGAAAACGAAATACCATCGAATCGAAAACCCTATTTTTTATGTCGCTTTAAAAATAGCATACATATATTAGATCCTGTAACATGGATTTTGATTATTTGCTTCTAGAGAGACAACGGTGTTTATAATCAATAAACATACGTCTATAACATTCCTTTGCTAATTAAAGGTTTGTTATTAAAATTTTAATTTCCGAGAAAAAAGCTTTATGGTTTACTTGACATGGGAACGTTTTCAAACTCCTTTTCTTAATTCGTCAAATATTATATAATGAACCTCTGTGCAAAATTTCACGGATCTATGTTCTCAGAGATTTTGTTATTAGTCAATGTGTGATATTTATGTTATAATAGCTGTTTTCCGCGATTGCACCCATATGGAAACTGTTATCTTTCATTTTCTATAAATTTGTATTGTAGATGTATAATTCTTAATCTTCAGTAGCTTTTGCTGTACACTTTTATGCAACTTAGAATATCAAACAAGCTGATGGTCAACTTGATGGAAAGTGGTAACTGTCGCTTATAGATATGAACAGTACATCTATCAATTATGAATATAATTAAGAAGAAACTGAACTAATAAAGCTGAAGTGTTCACTGACTGATTTATTAGTCTACCAGTAAATATTGTTATACCTAAACTGTTTCTTTTGTACAATATTGACTGTATAGGATAGTTATTCGATACCACCGTATTTATTATAATACAAGTATGTGAATATCCAACGCCGTGTGAGTTGGTTATTAAATTAGTTTTGCCCCAGGTATGCAATTAGCAATAAACTATGCCAATTGGTATGTCTGCCATTTTGTTGTATATGGATATTAATATGTAACAAGGCTACATATGTAGATGTACAAAGCTGTAGATGTATTTTGAACAGCAAATAGTTTTGGTTAATTATAAAGAGTAATTAAACGAGTTACATTTCAATAGTTCATTGATGAAAAATGTTTTTTTATTCAACTTATAATGGTAAACCAGCTGATGGTCCATCTGATGGAAAGTGGTAACCGTCGCCTATAGACATGAGCAGTACCATGGACATAACAGAATATACTGTTTCGCCCATGATACCCCCCTCCCCCCATACGTTGCTATTTCTGAGGACTTAGGTGTTATTCCTGTATCCTGTAAATTCACTGCCTATCACACCTTTCAAACCGAAATACAGCCATGCACAGACAACTGCTCCACGGTTGCAGTATATTAAACATTAATCTTTTAAAACATGGACATTTGCCCTTATATATTGGTGGGGCTAGTTGTTGTAATAGTACTGGGTGTCTCATCGTCTCGAATAGTTTTAAAGCGACTTCCACAAGAAGAGCTTCTAAATTCGCCTGTATTGTTTCACATATTTGTCTGTGTGCAATATGCGATTTTTTAAATGTAAACTGTTTATTAATGTTATTAAAATTTAATTCAGTCCCTTTTTTTTTATAAAAAAATGTATATTAAATTATTATCTAATGTTATAAATACATTTTGTTTATTTACATACATATTAGTAAAGTATTTGAATACTTAAAATGTTCTTGTTTTTAATGTTTGTTTTTACACTCACCTACATTGTTAATGAGTACCTACCTGATGTAAAGCCCTAGGCTACGTTGTATACAATATGTACGTGTAATTATGACACTGAAACAACTTTGTGTTATGAGTCATTATGCTCTAAGTAGCTAATAAATTACATTCAGGGATATCCCTGTATAGTATATGAGGTGCATATGTACTTGGTATGTATCCTGTGACTGAAATACCCACTTACAATTATGTTACTTTAGTTTCACTCACTGAGAGTTTATTTTTTAATATCTGTAAAATTTTTTTTTTTACTTAATTGAAATCTATCTTTTTAAGAAATCATAAACAACCGGATCACCCATCTATGTACATAGCTAGCTAAGTAAATTTTCGAAAATACTCGTATCTCTAACGGTTATTCATAATTAGGTTTGTAAGTTGAGAATTAGATTTATCATTAAAATAAATATATACATTGTACAATGTCTAGTAAGACATCGCTGTATGATGTATAGTCTTCATTGATTTGGATAAAACCTAAAAAAGTCTAGATATCTTTTTTCTGTGCAAAATATAAAGTTATGCAAATAAATAAGTATCTACAAAAGTAGCATTTTGTTCATTTTGATTGCGGTATTACGTGCTACATTCCAAGTGTTCTCCGCAGAAATGGGCGAACAAAACAAATGCCGCTCTAATTCTGTAGTCCATTTATGTGTTGCGTACCGGCCATACATCTTGCGAACACAGATGCGGTTTTTATTAGCGCCAGATATAACAGAAGCTGGCTACTATAAAATATTTGAATGATAAAAGTTTAATTGGAAATAGGTCGACCATTTAACGTTGTTTGCACGTCACGTATGCGCTGTTTAGACAAGTTAAAAGGCTCGGGTGTTCATTGCAATAGTAATTTTGTTCACAGCTACCATTTGTTTTGAAATGTTTACCCTACAGCCCGTCTCGCAGCTAGTTCACTAGCTAGTTTACAAACACTTACCCTATTTCTCTATTCAAACTGTCGATGATATAATTCGTATATTATGTATTGTACTCTCTTTTTCTTAGGAAATGTTACAACGTTCCTCTCTAGAAACTCAAAAACTGGAGCTCTTGTCCAAATTGAGTGAGGTCCGTCTCCGCGTTGCTGAGCGAGGATTCCTCGAACGATCACCTCCGCCTGATGGTACACCCATGCCGCTTGTTAGACCAGCGCCACCCAGGGTATGACACTATATACTATTCATACTTATATTGAAAAATAATTGTAATTCGCAAAAATTAATATACACAGAGTATTTACTATGTAGAAGTATATCAAATAACGACGGTGGGAAAAGTCCCAAAAATGATTATTATGATAACAGGCAGTTTTGGGACTTTTTCCCGCAAAAATCTAATCACAATGTAGGTTTTTTATATAACATAAAAAGGAAAGAAGGCTGACCGCTTACTTAACGAAAAATGCTATAAACATGAACAGTGCTATGGACGTCACTGTAATGCCTGTGGTATCTCTTACGTGTTGCCATTTCCGAGGACTTGTTATGTCTCCGTACCCTGTAAATATTTTGTATTAATTGTCATACCTCATTTTTCCGTGTGCCGTGTGGTTCCAGCATAAAATGTCTTTCTTTTCCCGTGGGTGTTGTAATAGGCGATTAAATGATTTTAATGGTCGAGGAATGGACAGTAGCCTTCCTTTTAAAGCATAACCAAAAGCCTAACTGCGATTGTCAACCCACCGGCCAAGCGTAGCAACTACTGGCAAAACCTGTTATGGGAGAAGCTTATGTTCAGCAAAGCAGTTAACGAGCGATATGATATGATGATTTCCATCTTTCAAATCGAAATACAGTAATGCGAGTACAACTACTTCAAAACACGTATTGTAAAATCTATAATAAATAACATATCGTAAACAAGTAATATTTTTTGATTAATTGCAGACACCACCAGCGAACTACGGGCGCCAAATCGAGCGCAACACACACATGTACTCATCGCTGCCGCGTTCATCCGTGGTGACGTCAGAGGCGCGCGTCGCGTTCGGTAAACAGAACAACATGGTGGTGGCGCGCGGACACGGACGCTCTGTGCCGAACCTAGGTCTCTCTATACAGGCTTGTTGCGCCCCAGCAGCATGCGCTCTGTCGCCTTGTCGATGTCGCTGTCGCTCTGTCGCCCTACAACCCCGTAATCTATAGTCCGTCTACCGCAAACACGATGGAACTTTACTCGTATGCTCAGTCTTAACATACCGACATATAAATCACTGCTTCCTCATTTTATAGTTTTCTTAAAATATAACAATTTATAGGTTAGGTATTTCATTCTTTCGTAACTGTGTGAGTTCCGGATGAATATAGTATAACGGTGTGTTATTTTTAATCATTGCGTGATGGTAGTAAGTTACGTTAATATGTCGGTATATTGAGGCTTACATGTATCTAACATAGAACGTCCGCTAGCCCGCATGTACTACCTACTAAATGTTATAATTAAAATCTGCAATTTTATGTAATTAATGCTTTGCCAAATGTGTTGTTCGAAATACAATTTTGTTTAGCTCAGTAGTATAAATATAATGTTATATAACTTTTTAAGATGCATGGTTGTTGTTTTCAAATTTGATTTCAGATAAAAAATATTATGATTTTGTCTAGCCATAGTTTTACAAAGTTACTATAGAGGAGATGTTTCTGCAAGTATGCCTATGGAGCCTAGGCAAAGTCAATGTACACGAAAATATTTTATTTTAGTCTAAAAGACTAATTTTTCTTTGTTTTTTTTTTTTTACACCAAACACAAAATTAATTAATCATTTGCAATACAAAGTCAATATGGAGAATATCAGTGTCATTTTGATTGATGTTGGTTGAGGCCACGGTCTGTAAGGATCGATAATTATGTAATGTTCTGAAGAGTTATTGAATATGTTTTTTTCCGTTTAGAAATTCATTCCTGTGCGTTAAAATTAATTTAAATTACTAACATTAAACGTTAATTTGTTATTTTATAATATCTCTACAGTTTAGAATATAATTTAGATATTATATAGAAATGAAATTACAACTAGAAACAAAAAGTATATTGCTAATTTAATTTAATTTTAATATTTGATGTGTGACGTGATGTAAGTGATATAACACACGTTATGTAAATTCATTTTATTCTGTTTTTCTAATAAGCCTTGAATTAATTTTTGAGATTTTGTTCAACGCTATAAAATAAAGTGAAATTAACAATCTTGTAATACTATCATGACGGATATTGTTACTTAAGCCATGTGGTGTTAAGTCCGCCATTTACACTATCTAGACGTTATGGTGTTCGATAACTGCAGTTAGGCTTTTGTGATGTTTTAAGATGGACGCTGCTGCCCATCCCTCGACCATTAAGTTCCCTTAGTTGCCTCTTACTACAATCACGGCAAAGAAACGGGTGGCTCATTCTATGCCGGGACCGCAAAGTAGTTCCACATAGAATACGTTACTGGTTAAAATGGTCTTATTTGCTCCATCTAAAACTACTGTAAGAAAGAGTTCTTTACACTGTGGATACAGTTTGATCACGTATTAAAAATGTTTGTGTCGCGTGCTTGTTGCAGCGGAGAAGGAGGAGGTAGATCGTGGCAGCCCTTCGCCGTCGCTACGTGAGATGCGCGCGCGCCTCGGTTCTGCTCGTCTCGAGGGCGATGACCTCGCGCGCCGCTCGATGCGCGGCGCCGGCGCGGGAGGGGGAGGGACTCCCCGCACGGCCGCTTCGCTCCTCCCTGTCCGCCCTGCACCATGGTAGGTTTGGCGTAACTCTATTTTTTCTGTGTTACCATATCTACGATAGAGGATATTTGTACACTCGCACTACATACATAGACAACGCATAAAAGTACTGTCAAGAATCACTGGTATTGATCGTTTATTTTGCATATCATTTGCCACACTTAGGCGGTTTTTTATGCAACTTCGAATGGCAAATAAGCTGACGGCCCACCTGATGAAGAGTGGTAACCATCGCCTATAGATATGAACAGTACCATGGATATAACAGAGTGTATGGGATAGTCCGTATGTAGTAAAACTAGATATTTTGGTGGTCTATCTTTAAAGCACAGATAATCTATGGTTTATAATAAGATAATAACTGTTAAAACAGTATTCTAAGAAAAGTTAAAAAAAGTAGTGTACTAAAATTTGAAATTGGAACGTCTTCTTTAGGCAAACCATAGACGTCCGCGAATGGGACTGCGAAACTACGTGCGGATGGTTGGAGAGTATAGGATTAGAAGTGTACGTGGCGGCCGCTCGCGCTTGGCTGAGCGCTTCACCGTCTGCGCGCGGTTTACTCGCTGCCGCCTCGCATCACACCATTGAGAAGGAACTGGCCATAAAACATCCTATGCATAAGAAAAAAATTGTTCTCGCCCTTATAGATTTAATGGTAAGTAGGTATAATTTTTTTATTTTATTTTGTCGTACCAGTTAGAAATATTGTCTGTTTCATAGAAAAAATCATTAATCTACAACTAGAAAGTTTACAATTCGACTACATTTTTATATATATCTTCACTAGTTATTAACTGGTTTGTTAAATATTTTTTTGTTTAATTGAAATAAATTTTCTAAATGTTACAAGGTCACTCTGAAGGAAACTTAAATGTAATACTGAAAGCAACTACTTCATATATATTTTTATGTTTGATTAGAAACAAACAGACCAACATTTGACTGTTATCTTAGTAATTGTAGGTGTATTATTATAAAGTAGTCATAACCTGTGACCCCGGTCCTATCGGGCTGGCGTGGCGATGGTGCGTTTGTTAGTCAGTCTGTAACGGATGTGCGTGTGTGTGTGCGGTGCGCGTGCGCAGGGCGGCGACAGCGACCCGCTGCTGGCGGCGGCCGGGCGGCTGGACACGGCGTGGGCGCTGCGCTGGCTGGAGGACGTGGGCGTGTGCGGCGCGCGCGCGGCGGCGGCCGACGCGGCGCTGGACGGCCGCCTGCTGCACCGCCTCGCGCACGCCGACCTGCACGCGCACCTGCGTGTTACGCATGCGCTGCACGCGCTCGCCGTGCGCCGCGGTGAGCGGGGGACGAGGGGGGAGACGCTGCTAATAAATTCATTCTATTATGTAATATTCTATTATGTAATTCAAAACGTGAATAAGATATTCACAATATCATTCTGAGCTGGCCATTTACACAATATATATAGATTTGATTGTATATTTGTAATGGATAAAGTCAAATTTTATTCAGCCGATTTTTCTTTTACATATGGATTACATAATCAACGAGTAACGTTTATTTTGAAAATGTATAAAGCAGTGCGTAACTATAGTCATTTGAGTTCGTGTCAAACAGCTGGAATTATAGTGAAACTATTAAATGATACTGCTACTCAAGATTTTTATGTTAAAAATGGTTACACCGCGTGTGTCATACGTCTGTCTTTATAAGCACCTATAATATGTTAGTCACTTACCTTTAAGCAAATTGTAGATTTTGTATGAAATTTTGTGTGGTAAACAAATTGACGCGATGGTCTACTTGATGGAAAGTGATAAACTGATTCCTATAAACATATTCTGCCATTCCTACCTCGCATGCAGGCAATTTCTAAGGAGTAAATTATAATTAATTAATTAATTATATGTCAGTTACCCTGGTTGTAAAAAAAAATAGTGTGTTGAAATTTGTTTTTTTTTTTCTAATTATATAAAATTTATTTATATAATAAATACGAATTACAGGAATCCAAGTACTACGAGACAATAAGTTTAACCCAGACACCATGATCCGTCGGGCAGCGGAAGGCGAGACAGGGATCGGTGGCGGTGGAGGCGGGATAGGCGTTGGCGGCGGTGCCGGTGTAGAGGGTGGCGGGGAGAGCTCGGACGGGGGCGGGACGGGGGTGGCGGGGACGGAGCTGGCGCGCTGGTCGTCGCACCGCGTCATGCAGTGGCTCAAAGAGATTGACCTCGCGGAGTACGCGCCCAACCTTCGAGGAGCTGGTAAGTTTCGAAGCTTTCTCTATATGCTACAGTATGGGGTTTTTTTCTATAAAGGGCGTTTTTTTTTTTATACAACTTAGAATGGCAAACAAGCTGACGGCCCACCTGATGGAAAGTGGTAACCGTCGCCTATAGACATGAGCAGTACCATGGACATAACAGAGTATACTGTTTCGCCCATGATACCCCCATGCGTTGCCATTCCTGAGGACTCAGGTGTTATTCCTCTGTACCCAGTAAATTCACGCCATACCACCCTTCAAACCGAAACACAGCCATGCAAACACAACCGCTTCACGGTTGAAACACGAATGGGATAGAGGTACCCAAGCAAACGACTATTGTACAAAGTCTCCCTCTGGTTTTTAAGGGTAAGGGTATGGGCGCCTGTTACAGGCGTCCATATAAGGGTATGGGCGCCTGTTACAGGCGTCCATAGGCTGTTAAAGGGGGAAGGGGTTGTTAGTAATACGGTCCACCCGTCCTATTGTTACCAATATACCCTGGTAGGTTGATCTCCACGTAGTTCTCCCTGGAAACCAACGTGCTGAATATTATTACAGTTACTCATCACGATGGGCTAACTGACCGGCCTTTTCATCCACACCTATCATTGCTCACTGGTACTCCGCCAACGTATACCGTTAGCGCAGGCAGGCACATCTATCATCTATTAAAAAACCCGTTTACCATCAGATGGGGCGTATGCTTGCTTGTCACCATTTTTTTTATATACTACTAGTATATAAAAAAAATATGGATTTCTAAACTATAAAAATGTGCCATAGTTATCTTTACTAATATTATAAATATGAAAGTGAATTTGTTTGTTACCTCATAGCGCCTTAACGGCTTAACCAATAACTATGTAATTTTGGTATACACGTACTACGTTGGCTATTTTTTATCCCGATAATGCGGATGTTGAAATAAATTATATAAAAATTTTGACTACAGAAACTTGAAACTCTAGAAATTTTGTAGTGTGGCAGTTTAACACTACCACAACATGGACACCATTCTTTCCTCTCATCGGTTGTTAGAGTGACGATAGTAATAATGAAGAACCGGCTAACAGCGTGGTTTAGGTGCTAAAATTTGTAACATTAATAATATTACTTATTATCTACAATACTAATTATTAAATAATTTACAGTTTGCTCGATAAAATATCTCAGTTTTAATTTGTTGTTAGAAGGGTCTTTTAATAAATAATTTATTTCTGATTATTTCAGGTGTTCATGGTGGTCTAATGTTATTGGAGCCACGTTTTACAGCCGAACTATTAGCAGCGTTGCTGAATATCCCTGCCAGCAAAACACTCTTGCGGCGACATCTCACTCAGCGGTAATAAAGCTCACTTTAAGTATTTATTATTATTAAAAGTGCGAAGAAACTAACCGTTTAACTGTATTAAAATCCTGATTACTTACACGAAAATATTTCAGACATAACAAATGAATAAATAATCATATTTTGTAAATATTATGAGACTTTGTTAAACCTTTATTGATTAAAAAATATATTTCAGATTCTAATATGCTTAGTGAAATATCAGTAGGTATAATGTTACAGCAACAGTCGATAAATGTCTCTAACTATTAGTGATTATATCCTGAGCATATTTATTTTAATATAAATATTTTGTTTCATATCTCATTTTCAGGTTCAACGAGTTACTGGGTAGAGATGTAATACAACAGAAAAGAAATGCTGAACAAACACTCGGCTATCAACCTCTCACCGCAACCACCAAATATAAGGTATTATAAATATAATGGGTATTATATCTATTGAGCAGTACCATGGACAATACTGTTTGTATATATCCTGAGGACTCAGGTGTTATTCCTCTGTACCAGTAAATTCACATATAATGCAAACACAACTGCTTCACGGTTTCTTGCTTTCTACAATGTATATATCGTAGTAACCCACATATAACTGCTCTAACCTAGAAATTACTTTAGTTGGTTTATTATATTATGAATATATTAATATACTCTCTACATGTATTATACTGTATACACAACAGCAGAGCTATATGTAAATATTTAGTAGATAAATTTCCTTGACACAATATTTTAAGCTGCCGAAATTATTAAGAATTGAAACTATGTGTGTTGTTTTGATTGTTGCTTAATAGGTGTTTACTTCGATCGACACAGTCGTACATAGTACTCAATTTTCTATCTTAAATATACATTTTTAAAATTTGCTTTTTATTTCTGATAAACACTGTAATTGAATAAATGATTTGAATAATTTACTCTATGTATTAATGAGAATTAAAAAAAAAAAGTTTAGTATTTTTTGAGGGTTTCTAAGTCAAGGGAATATCGGGATTAGACAGATTTAGGATAGTATTTTAACAATTTGTTGATGTTACTCTATTATAAAAATATTCTCAGGTACCAAAGAAGAGTCAGTTCTCGCTGAAACGCAAAAAAAGCAAGGACGAGATGGACATGGGGGAGCTGGTGTGTCCGCTGCACGACGACGGCTCAGGTGACATGCCCACCTCGCCAGTAAGTTGCCTACTAACACTAACACTACTAATATACTGTAGCACCAAAGTAATACAGGACGCAATGGGGCATATTACACTATCAAATATTTTTTATATCTCATAGTCGTATGTATAGATAACAAACGAAAAATGACTTCACTGAATGATTCGTAAGTTACAAAAGATACTTTAAAACCGTCTACTGAAGATAAAAGTGTTAGGCTTAGTATTTTTCAATTGTAATTCTTTATGATCTATAAGATTTATACTGTTAATTTTTAGATATATGATCTATATATTTGAGTGTAATATACCCCTAAGGAAAATCACTGCACGTCTTCAATAATTCAGTCCGTGATACTGAATCATATTTACATCAAACTTTTTTTTTTATTGAATCCAACGGCGCTTTTTAAACAATCGTGGTAAAGTAAAAATCTTTAAACAGTGTACATGCAATATTAATTATATCAGAATAATTTCCTGTAGCTTACAAGGAGCCCTACCTCATTTATATTTATTCCATCTCTGAAATCATGGCTTACTTTAGACATTATAATTTAAACAAATTGATGGCATTGATGCAATGTATAATTGCGGAATCACATCCTGAATGGTATATTTTTATCTATACACAGTTTTCTAAAGGTGGCAAGGTACAAGACCTGTTATGAGGCCAAACAGCGTAAATTCTAATCTAATAGTAAAATAAAAAGAATTTATTCATTTTCTTACATGTTTCAATATTATAATTGTGTCCCTTTTTATCTGTCCTTGCTTGAGATGATTGCAGTGATTTTACTAAAACTCTGAATGTATATTTATGGAGTGTCCATCTGAATTTAATATATTTTCTTACCTATATTATTCCAATATGGGCAAATCAATTACGGTGAAATTAACTAAAAAGTATTAAGTTCTTTTAGATGTTCGCACATACAAATGTCATTGCAGAAGATTTACATATTAATGTTAGATGGACTCTGCAATTGAACTGTTCTGCGTAAAGTATATATATTATTGGCCATTGTATTTGGCCAAAAAGATACATATTTCACGTATCATACCTCAGCGAAAAATATTTTACAGTAAAATAAACTAATAACGTTATTACGAGTAGTTACTGATTCCGAGAGTTGCGTTTTTCCTTGGAGGTTACTACAATTCGGTAATAAAAAAAAATTTTTTTTTTTCACATTGCTTAAATATTATTTAATTATAGCTTGTGCACACTGGTAGTTATAGTCTGGTGTGTCTCTTTTCTTAACACATCTAACGAGGGTATTTTGGTTTTTTAACATGCTATTTAAATTAAAGCTTTCTGGTTTTGGTGGAATTGTATATATCTATAACCTTTTTAAAGTTACTAGTATAGTTTAATTTTTATTATATTTTATTTCTTATGATTACCCAAAATGTGTAAATTTTTTGTGTGTGTAATTAAAGCAATTGGTGTCAGTACGTAGATAGAATACGTGTGTATGGCACAGATGCTATATACTAGATTATCTACTGCATAATAAAGAAAACTGGGTTTTGTGTGACATTTTAAAAATACGGTGAATCAGGGTGATATGTGCTTTACAGAAAATACCAATGAAACGCCTTTTTATGTTATATAAATTTCTTATTACTCAATGTCGATGTAGTAGGCGAGTCGTCTCTGGTATTACAATGTTTATTTTATTGGCTATGGTACCATATATCATCTGGCAGTGGCAAAAAATAATAAATTTATTATTTGTCCTCACAAAAATAAATCAATCTTTATTTGAAATAAAGTTAGTATGGCACTGATGGCAAAAACTATGAATTCTAAAAGCGTCATCAAAATCAGTGTAGAACGTGCAAACATCGCATAATGTACAATAAATTAAATTGATTGAAGCAAGTTTTTAAAACTATTAAGTCGAGAAATAATAATATTAACAAATTAGTGTATAGTGTTTTAAATTTAGATTTCATAATTGTAACTGTAAGGGAGTATCTATATTATATATAATGTGATATAACCTGTATAGAATATTTGGGGTTACTTCAAAAAGTAAACTTCACTATTCGACAAAAACTTTAACGGACATTGGTATTTTCAGACGATGAGAGTAAAATCAGCAACAGCGGGCGTCGCGTCGGCTGTCTCTCCCCCGCGTGACGACGCGCGAGCTCATTAGCTCACCTGCACACTAGTGCACTAGTTCACTAGATTCTAGTTCAATAGTGAACTAGTTCACTAGCCTGCCAGCGCACTAGTGCACACGGCTAGTGTCTATAGTGTCCTAGCGACACAATGCTTGCCTTGGATTATTTGGAATTCCTATCCATTTTTCATGTTCGAGAAAAAACAATCGTACGATTAGATTATTTAACTATGATGTCTCGATTAATTAATTAATTAATTCAAACGAAGATTTAGGAAATCTATAAGTGAATCTATAATCGATTTTAATTTGCGTGTATTGGTGCTAGATTTACAATACAGTTTGGCGATACTACGTATTTTGATGGCTAATGGAGCCCTTTAAACAAATGTCCAAGGTATATTAAGTATTGTTATATTAAGTATTTAACAACATATAATAAAAATCTAACTGCCAAATCGTGAGTTCTATCAGTCTAGTTGATAATTTATAAAGTTTAAAGAATTAGATTTTATTTATGAAAAATATTTAATAGTAAGTAAAATGTATGATAATACTGAAGGTTAAATTGTAATAACTTTCTATTTATTGATGAATGAATAGTGGAAATATGATGTGGTTAAAAAAGCAATAGACATTCCATTGTTTTGTATCAATATCAAAGTTCCAAATCCATTTGTTATATCTTTAAAAATATAACATTAGATTTCAAGTATTGCATTATAATTCAGACCACATTAATCCATAGTATAAATGGTTTGTTAAAAGTTTTGAAATTGTACTTATGTGTTTTATATGTATCTTATATTTATATGTAGCTTTATAGGACATGACTGAGAGATGACAATACTATCCTGGTCTCATTTCCATTTAATACAAATAATTTCCCGTAAATTTTAAGAGTTATATCGATGTAGTTTATATGGAGAACAACTTACGTTGTTATTGAATTTTCCTGTTAGTGTTTGAGGCGTGTATTAATGAAGTTTATTAGTTTAAGAATGTTCCATACCAGAAACAATGAACTGTCCTATTGTATTAAGCAAAATCATTAGAACTATCAGTATTTATGCAAACGTTTTTTTTTTTTTTTTTGTTTCATTTATTTATACTAGACAAGGCATTGGCAATCGTGGTATTTTATATTTTACAAATTTAACGCAATGCCGCGTGAAATTGACTTTTCAACCGACTTCAAAAAGAAGGAGGCTCTTAATTCGATTGTATTTTTTCTTTAAAATTTTATTACTTTATGATTCTGTCAGTCGTAAATCGATTTGGAAAATTTTCATCTGAAAGGATAGGAAATACAGAGAATTCATCCATAGACATTTTATCAAAATTGTTTCAGTAGTTTAGTTCTTAAATCAAAGTAACTAATTTTGCCACAATTGAAGTCTTTTTTTTTTTGTGGAACACAATCTTAATGTGATCTTTTCTAATTATCGCACAATATTTATTTGTCACAGTTTTTTACCTTTTATAAAAAAATGTAATGACAAGATAAATTAGTGTTATCCGCAGCCCTGTTCCTAACACGTTGTGCCAAATGTATTGATGTAATGCCCTTCAACAATGAACCCTTGTCTTCCATAGCGTTGTAATTCGTATAATATATACACTCGTCAAATATTAAAAGATGTATATCATAAAAACAAGAAAGTCATTTGTACAATAATGTATTAAATAATTTTTACAATAACTTAAAGTCATAAAATGTAAAAGTTAATAAACACTGAATCAATATAATTGCTTCTTTCTATTCTTTATTGTCTAATAACTGTTGAGATTTGGCGTAATTTGTATCTACATTTTTCAATATCTTTAGGCCCTCTGAAACAAATCAAACATTAATGTTTACCAGAGGGAGACTTTGTACAAAAGTCGATTGCTTGGGTACCTCTGTCCCACTCGTGTTTCAACCGTAAAGCAGTTGTGTTTGCATGGTTGTGTTTCGGTTTGAAGAGTGGGATATGGCGTGAATTTACTGGGTACGGAGGAATAACACCTTAGTCCTCAGGAATGCCAACGCATGGGGGGTATCATGGACGAAACAGTATACTCTGTTATGTCTATCTATGTATAATATATTTTATGTTTACAAAATGATGCTCTTGTAACTTTGCCATCCCAGTCCCTTATCTCAAATGCATTGCAGGTACTCGGTGCAGATGTAGGTGACTCAAGACCGTTCCTTGTGACAGTCTATGGGAGAGGCGTATGTTTAAAAGTAGATAAATAATGGCTGATATAATAATGCTGATGATGGTCCTTTACATTGTAAGCGGAACGAACTGAATAACGAAAGGCATTTTTTATTTGTATATTTATCGATTTTTATATATTTATGCCTACGTACATGGAAGGTACCGGATATTTCTTTTGCAAACGATACGATATCTATCATAGTCTAAGCCTTCCCCGGTACTCGCGTCCTTCCACTTCTCCACTCTATTTCGTATTTCATTCCACATTATTTCTACATGCTCGAACAACCACATTTCAAAATTATTGTTATATACATTATTAGTTCCGAACAATTCTTATATGGGTATGAGTATATTTTACTACCTTTTCCTCGTCCTTTACGACGCAACTCTGCAATCCTCTCTGCTTCACATTCCTCGTCTAAGTCTTTCTCTTTCTTTTGTATTTCCTCGTGTGCTTGTTTTAATAGAGATTCTTCTAAAAATGTTAGTTCTGAATGATAAAGTAAGATATATAAGTAACAAATAGCTGACTAAGAGAAGATCACCGTTTGATGGTGTTAGAAAATATCATATTGGATTCAATTCTGAGAAGCTATTTCTTTAAAGTTATCTCAAAAATTAAAATGTCAATTTGATACCGCAGCGAAATCTTTATTATAAGGCCAACCAAGAGTAGCAATATGATTTATATTTTTAATAGATTTCAATCGAAATTACAATAATTTTAGTTTTTAATAGTCCTTAAAACAGTAGTTTATCAAATTAAGATTATCAGGTTAAGAGGGTAGGTTTAAAGAACTGGAGTTCAGAATTGGCCCCATTGTCTGTTTGAAGGAAGTTTTTTTCTGTTAAATGTTAATAATTTTCAAATTTTCACGATAATATACAATAATACAAACTCGTAAGTCTCTGATCCATGCCGATCCATGGTCCGCTGAAAATACTGACTGCGGTTGGACGTGCCTTTGCTTCTGGCTCCATTAACTGTGTTACCTGCTGCTTGCACTCCGTTGATAGCTGGTTCACAACGTTAGTGCGGAAACGCCATTTGCGCATAACCTAAAGAAATTATTATACAAAATTTCACCTTTTTAAAATTATTTATATATTAAATATTTTGTAGTTTCAAAAAAGTTTAAAATGCCAAATTACTGTTGTATGTATTCTCGAAGGGAGAAATCAAGAAGAGTTCCTCTACAACAGGTGTGGATATAAGAGATGTAATTACCTAAATATAGAGGATCACTGAGGCGCGAATAAAAGGCACGAAGTGTGTGAAGTGTGTATAGGGATTTATTAAATCCATGTCACTAATAGTCATATTTGTAGCTTAAACAGCAATATTAAACTGTATTTCTTTATCACATAAAGAATCTTTTGTGACAATATAATAATGTTTGGCAAGCAGAAATTACTGAATGTTAAAATCCTACGCACTTTAGCACCCATAGCATAAATATAAAAAAATATATAACCTGTTTTTCGTATAATTTCTTGACTGATGTTTCGTTAAACGGGAGTGCTTTATTTAGCATTGTGTAAAGAATGATGCCAATAGACCACATGTCGGCTAGTTTTGGTAAATACGGCACCCCTTTGAGTACTTCCGGCGCGGCGTATGACAGCGACCCGCAATACGTCTCACTGAGGACATCTCGGTCCCTCTGGCGGACATTCCGCGCGAAGCCAAAATCAGTTATTTTTACGTTATAATTTGCTGTAATCAATATATTTTCACATTTCAAATCTCTATGTGCTATATTCAATGTGTGTATGTAATGGATCCCTGAGAGTATCTGTCTCATCCAAAGCCTACTTTGATTCTCCGGCACGGGACCGTTCTGCGTTAGAAAGTCTAGCAAATCTCCCTTCTCGGCGAAACGTAAGAATATAAAGTATTTCGCACGCCGCTGAAATATGTTGGACACATGAATCACATGTGGATGGTTGATCCGGATGAGGACATCGAGCTCGCGAGGTAAAAATTTGGTGAGATAGTCTCGAGGAGCTTGTGCTGTATCTATAACTTTACATGCCATTATTGTGTGACGGGTCTCGTCCACCATATGTGTCGCTTTGTAAACCTGAAAACAAGTTTTTTTTTTTAAATGACTACCGATCCACCCCTTTTTTGCATTGGTAAATATAAGATAAAAAGATAAATTAGTGTTTTATATTAGCTTTAATAAGTAAACTAAAATACTTTGGATTACTTTGTTTTAATTTTCATACAGACATTTTTTAAGTAATATATAACCTATGTTATGGGCTGACTGAACTTTCTATAAGTGAAAGAATTTTTAAAATCGGTTGATTAGTTTTTCAGTTTATATATTTTATATTAAAAAATCTTTCCTCGTTGTAATATTGGTATAGATTTGCGTGCGTAAATTATATTTTATTGAAATTATATACATACTTTTTCCATAGGTAAACTTAATAAAACCCGTCTTAAACATATTATAAGAGTCTTAAAATTACTATTATGACACATCTCCTCATCAAAACTTTTTAACGACGAGATCCTCGTCACGCGGGTCAGTATTTGCGGATTGCGCCGTTAAGATCAATATAATGACATTGCGACGTGATATTTATTTTTGGTATATTAAAGTGTCCATATGTATCGAATGTGGAAACAATTTGATTAGTAGGCCTAATATGATTTTTTTTAATAAGAACTCGTATGAAGTAACTAACCTTAGCATAAGAGCCTTCACCAATGACTTTCTCGAGTATGAATCCTTTTTCTTGTAATACAATGAGATCAGATTGTGTAGTATTAAGGTCTGCCTTATCGGTAGCGTGACCCATTTATGTAACTTTCCCTTGCATTATTATTTCATTTTTACTTTCGTTGGTACCATAATGATTGGAAAAAATACTTGTCGGTTACATTTTGGAAATTATAGGAACTTCATTATGTTGGTGAATTTTCTAAATTAAAAGAATTTTGTAATGTCATTTACCTAATTACGTTACGTTATTTGTCATTAAATATTGTTGACATCATGCCATTTTGAAATCTATCTAAATAAAAAGAATGTATTCAAGTCTAATCGAAATATTATTTCTAAACTTTACAGGTAAATTTGGAGCATCGTATACTGTTTTGTAAATTATTTTCGAGTTGTTGATTTGTAAAAAATGCTTTAAAATATTGTAACAAGATTTCAACAATTATTTTCTACTTACCAAGATGACGTCGACCCTGTCACATCGCATGTAGCTTTTACTATAGAGGCATCAGGCAGACAAGGCGAATCTTTGTTGGATGTGGTTTGTTCTGAACTCTCTAACTTTCTGTGTAACTGGTTCCTTTCCTCTTGAGCTTTTTTATAAGCCGCTGTTTCTTGTTGTGTCCATTCTGTAATGTTTGATCGAAACTTTTAAATTAAAATGTGGATGCCCACTATTTTATTAAATCCATGGTCTTTGCCCATTACCACAAGTCCATATTGCCGTATGGTTCCGGCATAGAATAAGCCATCCCTTCCTTTCCTGTGAGTGTTGTAAGAAGCGACTAAGGGATGGCGAGAGATGGACAGCAGTGTCCCTCTTAAAATATCTCCAAAATCTAATTGCGCTTGCCAATCCATCTGCCAACCATGGCAACTACTGGTAAAACCTCCCAAGAAGGAGGCTTATGTTCAACAGTGAACAGTTTAAGGCTGATATGATGATGGTCATCGTCCACCAACTTTGTAAAAATATTTTAAAAATTAAACATTTCCATTTTATTACCTAATAATCTTGAATCCATAGCAATCCACTCGCTGTTTATTATCTGTTCAATCTTAATTCGGTTCTGATAATGCGGTTCTAACATTTGCATTATTAGTCGTTTACAATTTTCAGATATGCTGTCAATATATCGCGATCGAAACTTCCAATTTCTATTTATTTGCGCTTGGTACAACCGTTTTATATGTTTATCCTCAAACGGCATCGCTCTATTTAACATTACGTAAAGTACGATTCCTAAAGACCACACATCGGTAGGTTTAGGAAAGTAAGGTGCGCCTTGCAATATCTCAGGAGCAGTGTACGACAATGAACCACAAAATGTTTCGCTGTGAACGTCCTTCAATTTCTTATCGATACATAATCGAGCGAAGCCAAAGTCGGATAGTTTGGCATTTTGATTCGCTGTAAGGAGTACATTCTCGCATTTAATATCTCTATGTGCTATTTCCAATTCATGCATGTATTGAATAGCTAAAGCTAATTGCCGTGCCCATATCCTCGCTTGGTCTTCTTGTACTGCTCCTTTTTGTAATATATACTCTAACAAATCCCCGCGTTCCATATACCTCATGAAGATAAAGTATTTGTACCTTCTTTGAAAGATGCTATGCGTGTGCACCAAATGTGGATGGTTCAACTTTATCAACATCTCTATTTCCCTTGGAAGAAATTTCTTAACGAAATCCTTAGGTGCTGTGTTTGTGTCGATGATTTTACATGCGAGAATTGATAGCTTGTCGTTTTTATTCGGATTCCTGTATTCCGCTAAATAAACCTATTTATTAATTACAACAAATTAGTATCTAAATAAAATAAATTTGTAGCAATAAATTATACAAAACACGTTACCTTAGCGTAAGAACCTTCGTTGACTTTTTTTAACATTTTATATCCGCGTGTAGCAAGTGTTAATTGTTCAGATGCGCTTAGTTTTAATTTATCTTCAGTGTGAAACTATAATCATTATATAAAGAATTAACTTTGTTATGGTATATATTGTATTGGTAGGTTTATAATATATTAATTACATAATATTAATTAAAAATACCTTTGAATTTTCCTCCATTTATTCAATTTTCTTTTGTTTAGATGTTACATTAGCAAGAGATTTCATCATTTCACTTGTCTGTTAAACAACATAGTTATATAAATAAATGTATTAATACTCGTATATATGTATCAATTTTTTAATATATTATACGTATGACTTAGAAATATTACATAATTTATGCAAAATCAATGAGTAGGTATGTATACATTTGTAATCCCAAAAAAAAAATCGGATAACTATACAGTTTTGGGTTGTTACTCAAAAAAAAAAAGCTTTACCCTGTGTACGGAATTGCTTTGTGGACCTTCTAAAATATCTCCTTGCGTCTTAGGGGGCTGTCTATGCAATTCAGATAATTGTCGACGTTCTTCTTTAGCTCGTTTGAGTGCACTTGCTTCAACTGCGTTTAAGGCTAGCGAAATATTGATATTAATATGGCACATACTGTCACGAAAGTTTACAAATATGAAATTATTATTTTCTTTGAACTTACTAGTAAGTCTACTGTCCATAGCAATCCACTCTGAATTGATTATTTGTGTGGCTGTATATCGCAAACCAGGATCAGGTTCTAACATGTGCTTGATAATAGACTTGCATTCTAAAGAGAGAATACTTGCAACGCGAGAACGAAATCGGTACTTCTTTCCCATTTGCTGTTCGTACAATTTTCGCATTCGTGTGTCGTCAAACGGCATAGACTTGTTTAACATAACGAAAAGTACAACGCCAAGCGACCAGATGTCTGTTGGTTTAGGGAAATATGGTTTGCCTCGGAGAATTTCAGGCGCAGCATATGACATGGAACCGCAGTAGGTTTCACTCAAAATAGATTGGTCATCTTCATCAATACAGAACCTTGTGAAGCCGAAGTCAGAGATTTTCACATTATAATTCGCAGTTAAAAGAACGTTTTCACATTTGATATCCCTGTGTGTAATTTCTAACTCGTGTAGGTATTGAATTCCCAGAGCCAACTGTCTAAGCCACACTCTCGATTGATTCTCAGACACACATCCGTTTTTCAAAATATATCCCAAGAGGTCGCCGTTCTCACTGAATCTCATAAAAATGTAATATTTTGTTTTCCTTTGAAATATGCTATGTATGTGTATTAGATGAGGGTGATTTAGACGTATAAGTACGTCTATTTCACGAGGTAAAAATTTTACAACAAAGTCTTTAGGAGCTTTGGATGTTTCGATAATCTTGCAGGCAAGTGTTGCTTTGTGGGAATCGTCTTTTCCTGTATACTCAGTCAAATATACCTGCAGTTAAGCAACAAGTACCTAAATAGTAATTTAATAATATATCTTAGGGTAGGTACGTTGTTTTAAAAATAAGTAATTTTTAAAACAACGTTCCTATTAATACTGATAATGATGGCTATAATTTCTAATTATGAAGAGTGGACATAATGCACAAACTAGCCGTATCACGTGGCTCTGCCTCCGTGAAATAATACGTAAGGTATCTTATATATAAAACCCACCTGTGTACCAAATTTTATTCAATAGTTTTTCGTTACATAGTTTTTGTGTGAAAGAGTAAAAAACATCTATCTATCCATCGTTACAAAGTTTCGTATTTATAATATTGACAGGATTATACATGGTTTCTATTTGTAATTCTATAGTTTCTACGAATATGATAACATACCTTTGCATAAGCTCCTTCCCCAAGAAACTTTTGCAATTTATACCCTTTTGAAGACAATGTATTTTCTTCTGATACAGTGGTTTTCAATTCGGTCATGGTATGAAGATGAGGTTAGGTATCCAGCACCTTGGCTCCCAAGCACAAGTCTTGATTTCACGCCCTGGATTAGTCCAACTAATCATATACAGAGAAAATGCAGGCATTTTTAAGTTTTTATTAGTTCTCTTTACTAAAATTTTGTTTTACATTTTGTAGTGTATAATACGAAAGTAATACGAGGTGTTTAGGTGACACTAAAAGTCACATTGTCTATTCTTTAAAATATATTCTTCTTTAGCCTGTAGGTTATTATAATATAGCCATTACTCTTTATCTATGTTCTTTGTTTTTGGATCCTTTTTTTAAATGGGTGATAATGGCATGGTAATGAGAGATGACAAACGAGAATGAAAGCAGGTCAGTTAGCCCATCCTGATGAATTCAACTAAAATTAAACACGATGGTTTCCAAGGGAAACCACGTGGAGGTAGACTTGATAGAGTATATTGCCAGTAATGGGGCTATTTCACCCTATTACTAACAATCCCTTCCTCCCTCACCTTTAATTTTGTTAATCTTGCATAAAGTATCTACTAAAAGTATTATGATAAAATTTGATACATAAATAGATCATGTACAGAATTTAATACGTAGGGCTGATTTAAAACTGAATTTTAAACAAATCGTGTACACTAAAAAGATTTCCATGTACCATCTAGTAAGTTTTTTTTTATTTCACCATCTATTCATATCTTTGTTTCTTTCGTATATTTTATTATTTGACGATTTCATAACCAGATATTACCAGCGACTGTCTATATAGTGATTTTTAACCCAGCAATATGGTACAACTGTCCACTGTGGTCCCACCACTTCCTTTCCTGTGGGTGACGTAGAGCGACTAATGGAATTAATGGTAGAGGTTTTTTTTTTTTTTAATGGATGATAATGGAATGGTAATCCCACCTGCGCTACACATATACACCGGGGGGGCACCAGTGAGGGATGATAGGTGAGGATGAAGTAGGTCAGTTAGCCCACCGTGACGAATTCAACAAGAATTGTTCACGATGGTTTCCAGGGGGAACCACATGGAGGTCAACCTAATAGGGCATATTGCTAGCAATGGGACTGTCAAACATCATTGCTAACAAACCCATTCCCCCCAATGATAGAGGGGTTGACAGTAGTGTCACTCTTAAAACATCTCTGAAAGCTTAACTGCAGTTGCTAACTTGCCTGCCAAACGTGGCAACTACTGGCAAAACCCCTCAAGGGGGAAACATGTTTAGCACTGGACAGTTAGGGAGTGATATGATGATGATGAATATGGTGCACCTCAACGATTATTACCTATAATTTAGCCATTGGCGTATTTAAGATTATTTCACAGAGTGGGCCTGGTTTCTTAACGCGTACCTATATTTACTCTCAAATGTCTTTGTGAAGTATCGTTCGGATCCCGGGGTGAGCATTAACATTTCTCGAGTGGGTGGGACCCATCCGGTCTCTTCCCATAAATACGCCAAATATTAGTTTTTTTCTTTTCATATTTGTATATTTATTATTATTTGTCATAAGTTTGATTGAAATAATAGTCCTTAGAAATAAACAAACAGCTAAAATAAACGAATTAGGTATTGTATATTGGCACTATTATATCTGATTTGTTTGTAATGTATTAAATTCCATAAAAACATGGTAAATTGTTTATAAATATCCAATATAAGAAAATGGACTATAGTTATTATAGTTTATCTAATAATATAAACAGTGTTTAATTCCATCTTAAATTTTAATAAAATTTAATAAATTTTTAACATTTAATCAAATAACAATTTTCAATGTATATAGACATTTAAACATACAATTTGACTTAGAACACTTGGTAATACTTATTTCTTTATTTAATACTATTATTGAATAATTTCAATAAATAATAATTAAAGATTGATATATTACTCAGAATTATGTACACAAAAATATACATATATTAAGAAACAATTATATCTATAGCGATGACATCTATTGAACCTCTAGTTTGGAATTACTTATTTACATATTGTAATAATAAATATTTTAATCAAAATATGTACTATCTGAATCCGATTCTAATTAGAAAGAATCACATTTCTAGTTGCTTTTTGCTTAAAAATTCACCTGCTATTGATATTCTTTGTAAAAAAGATGGAGCAGGAGTTAAGAGATATTTGTATTCATTGACATCTGGATGGTCTGGATACCGTTTCTCCTTACGGATCCTTTCTAGCATCCGCTGAGGTTCGCATTTTGGTTTTCTTTTCCAATCACTGTTTAAAAAATCTTGTATCACTTTTGGCAACAATTTATATGCTTCTTTTGCTTTGGTAACACTAGGAGGTTGTAAACTTTCGGCATCCTGTGGCTTTTGTGGAATGATTATGTCATCAACTTCTACTTTTGCCTCAGTGTCTAATTCATCACCTGATGTTTTGTTATCTATAGACGAATGGATTTCTTCATCCTCACTATTTATATTATTTGTATTGTTATAATAACTAATAATTCGTTCTTTAACAATATCCCTTAGACTAGATTCATTTTTACTATTTTCTCTTTCTGTGCCATCTATATTGACATAGCCAGTTCTAGTTTCAGTTTTTATCAAAACTTCGTTCTGATCTATTTTGTTTTCTTTGCTCTCTGAGTTATCTTTTGTGATATTGTAATTTTTACTGGTAACTTCATTTAGTGTAGTTTCATTTTTACTTTCTATGTCTTTAGTGACATTCTTTTTTGCAGTGGCCTCTATCATTGTTAGAAACTGTATGTTATCTTCTTCTTCTAAAATTTTATATATTCTGTGTATTTCACTTATATTTATTCTGTAAAATAAAAGATATATAATCATAAATTAAAAGTTATTACTTTCTATCTATACTTGGCTTATGAATACATAGTCAAAACTAAATCTAAAAATTTTAATTTAATAATAATAATATTTTAATTATATAATTTAAGGATCCACACTAAAAAAGGATTTCTGAAAATTTCATTAAGAAACATGTAATCATGCATGCAAGGCTTTGGATAAAAGCTAGTCTATACTCATTTATCAAAAATTCTATCACCCATGCAAAATCGAGCCGGATCCAGGTAAAGTTACAATTGTTGTTTCTGTTATAGTTTTAACTTACCCTTCCCTCGCTTCATGACAACAATACAGCATCGTGGGGTCAATAGGATGTGCTTCAGTATTAAAGATGTAACCACCGACATCAACTATACACTCGCCATTTGGTGTATTGATGACTGTGCCGCGGACACCAGGGTTGTGTATAAAGTTGTCGGGGTCGAACAATAAGTATAGATACTTAGTCGTTTCTGAGAGGAAAAACGATTCCATTCGGTCCTCTTTGCGGTGATCGCGCACATCCTTGATCTAGAAATAAAAATAAGAAATAGTTAAAGTGAAACTAAACGATAAAAATATAGAGTATTATTGACATACAACTATTATATATCAGTGTGGTTCATTAGTGAATTTTCTTAACAGACCTATTAAGAATAGGCAGAAAAAACAGTAGCTATGGTCTTGCGTATAATTTAATTTATTAACTACATACCCTACATTTATCTCTTTATTTATTAGTTCATATATCTCTTTATACATAAAGACATCATGTCTAATAAATCTATTTAGTTACTGAAATGTTAGGTACTGTCTTTTAAGCTGAATTCTTTCATAAAATCCCTTAGTGCTCATTTAAGTTAGTCATTACTTTGTGATTAACTAAAGGCAACTTCTGTGCAATATTTCTTTAAGATACTCTGATTTAGGTAGGGCTTTTTGTGTCAGTTAGTGTTAAGAGTTCCATGGATGCACTATAAGGTCTTTAAAATATAGAACATATATTTACTGTAGCATAACCACATTGAGTTCTCGCGCTATGTTGTATACTCCTTAGTATATCTTCGCCCATCTGGAGTAATATTGGATCTCTCGTCTCCCGGTATAAATACATGATTGACTCGATCAGCTCGGGTCGAAGCGGATAACTCTCGCGGGACGACGACGCCTCTCCTGTTCCGAGATTGTATACTTCGGGTGTGAACCCGTATTGTCGCCAAACACTATGATAATTGTGTATAATACGCATCGCCGTATCACTCTCACCTGTTTGGAAAATAGATACATTACTTTTGAAATAGATAACTAACATCTACCGTCTACTGATGAACTATGATAATGAGCCAAATCAGCTTGAATTTTACATTTAAATTCTAATTATTTGGTGCTATGTTTAATGAAGAAACATTAATATTTTTGACCATAGAAACCCTCCATAACCTATATCCAATTTGATTAAACTATGTTTGTTTAATGTAAACATACATTTTGAAAATAACTTATCTTGCATTCAAACATAAATGCAAGATAAGTTATTTTCAAAATCATGTTAGGTTTGAAAATAAGTTGCATCAATCACAGGTGCAATTAAATACATTATGGTAAATTCATTAAAAAATAATAATTTTTAGTTACCAATAAGGCTGAGTAACCCTGGCCAGTAGGATTCGAGTGACTGGAACACTGGCAGTGTTACGTGTCCACGTAGCATAGTTGCCCACACATACCAGTCATCCTTCTTCAAATATTTGTCTATAGCTAATCGTGCCTCACGGAACATCGACATCAACTCGGGTTTTTCCAATAAAATTGCCCCTGAAATAATATAATAAATATTTATCTTCTAAAGGGCATTTTGCAAGTATCAATAAAACTTTATTCAATATCAACTACCTTTAACCAAGTATTCAAAATAGGAATCGACACCACCACCGATACCGGCGTCCTGTGCAGTCCATCTTCCAGTCATGATGTCAATATGATTGCCGAGTAGACCAATAGGAGATCTATGATGATAAAGAGCTTTTAATGCATTGTATGCAACCTGAGAACAATGTACAACTATTAATTATTTTTTTAGATAAAATAAATAATAAAAATTAATAATATATATTATATATTAAAAAAATAACGTTTATGAAATGGTAATATTTGTATAATATCATCAGCATCTGTAAGTACCTCTGTCTCATCTATTTTTCCTGTAAGCAGCTGTGCTTGTTTCCTTGTGTTCCAGTTCATTCATTCAGTCAAGGGTGACTTAGTGCAAGTAAGTGTGTAAGTTTGATTATATATCTTTCTATCGATCTCAGCTTAAATAGCTTCCCATTCAACAACATAGAAACCTTAGGGACTTTCTGCAGCCTCTTTACTTTTCTTTGAAACCCGCAGTCTCCAAATTACTTAAATAGCAAATCCAGTACCTTTTTCAAACCCTCGTGATCTACATTCCTGTGATACTCTCCAACTCTCTATCCCTCCCACCATACTGGTTTCATATAAAATTCTTTTGTTTTACATACTTCACGGCTCTGGAACGCCGTGTAAGTAGTATTTTCATCTTTAGTACTATTCTCATCTTCATGTATAATATATCCTTTATATGTGTAGGTATATTTTTTATATATAGATATATATTTATTTGTTTGTATATGTAAATTTTTGTATGTATATAAATATCAATTATTACTAGTACCACATTCAAGTATTCTAACACTTTCCTAAGGCTAACTGGGAGAGAATGCTTTCAGCATTAAATCCGCCTTGTACACATACATGTACTAATGAATAAATAAATAAAAAAAAATTACATTATAAGAGAAAAAAAATGAGTGGCAACTTTGGTGTTTTAAGCCTCTTATGATCCCTGCCCTTTAGTATAAAAAAAACATTACTTGAATTTGTCTGTCTTAAAAAATTATAAATCTTAATTTTCACCTCTTCATATAAAGGGTCCCCAGTAAGTCGACTCAATGTTCCAAACTCAATGATGAAAGTACCAACACCAGCAGTACATGTGACTGTGGTCTCTCCGGGGGGTACACCAGACCTGAGATTGATGGTTCCATATGGCATACCAGTAGTTGTATCAAAAGCAGCTATAAGCCTTTGTGCTACATCTTCAGCTAAACGGAGTAAAGGTCCATTACAGGGCCAGCCTGGTTCAAGCTTTATACCTGTTCTGTAATCATATTAAAGAATTATAGGTATAATAAATTATGGGTAAAATAACTTATAAGGGTGTAAAGGATAAGTTGGCAAAAACTAACAGTGAAGTCAAACCATTATTCTGAACTGAAAACCAGTGTAAATTCATTCTGAAAAATTTCAAATTTTGCTGGTTTTTTTTTTCATTTGAAACCATGAAATCTATGATATTATGTCATAATATAAAGAAATAATAATATTTTATAGTGAGAAATACTATACACCAAAAACAGCAATATAATATATGTATTAAAATCCTACTGGGACATGCGGAATCAGCTGTGTAATGTCAACACTACTACAGATGTATGTCAGACATAGTAGTAGATTATATTCTTCAGTCTTCTGTATAATAGTAGAGCCGCTGGGGACTGGGGGCTGTTTTCTTATGATGTTTATCACTGGGGGGATTTGCTAGTACTTGCCACACTTGGCAGGCAGGTTGACAACCATAGTTATCGAGCCTTTGGTGACAATCCCTTGACCATAAGTTCCCGTAGTTGTCTCTTACGACATCCACTGGAAAAGGAGGGGTGGCCCATTCTATTCTGGGATGGACACAGCGGTTTTTCTAATTATTAAATTTGAAATTTTTCAATGTAATATTTAAAGTTCTTGAATGATTAACAACGAAAAAAATATTTAAGATATCCAGAAAAAAATACATATATACAGGATGAGTTTTTTAATATTAATATCAAGAGAAAGTGTATTTGTTTATTGGATAATAGAATATTATGTAACTTTTATACAACTTACTTGTGTGACAGTAAATGTGCACTGAGTAGTCCACCAATTATTCTTATATTGGTTTCAAATACAGATACATTGATGTCAGCATCAAAATTCTGTTTTTGTAGCACAGTCTCTACGACTCTGTTGAACTCTGTATAATTACCCATAATAGCAAGAGTATCTAATGCATCAATAAGGGTCAGAGAGTAGCTGCCCCATGTGTCTACACCATCACAGCTAAGAGGTCTCAACTCATCATATGGATATGCATATTTTAGGTAACTATCATATGCATGTTGGAACATCTCCCTCACCTCTTCCCTATAAATATCATATAATTAATACAATTATTTAGCACAATCATCATCATAATCATAGCAACCTTTAACTGTCTACTGCTGAACATAAGTGTCCCCTTGGGTAGTTTTACCAGTAGTTGCCATGCTTAGCAGACAGGTTGGCAACTGTAGTTAGGCTTTGAATGTTTTAAGAGGGTCGATGCTGCCTATCCCTTAGTCGCCTCTTATGACAATCACGGAAAAGGAATGGATTGTCTATTATTTGCCGGGACCACACGGCGAATTTACTACTCAATATACTATTTAGTACTCAACTCAATAGTTCAACATAATTTTACTAGCAAATTTGTAAGATAGATTTAGAAGTAAATTGTTCTGGGAAAATTGCGACAGTCCATTTAAATCGTTTACAATATTATTATTAAATACCTCAGTCAAGTGCAATTAAATAATAAACATTAACTCGTAGCTACCTGAGTCGAAATAAATCTTCTTTTTTATACTCTCGGATTGCAATACTACAGTCTATGCTGTAGTATAAAAATAAGCACAATATTGTTATGCTTCTCATATTTGTTACATTTAACTATATTGACAATAAAATTATTAGAATTTAATTAAAAACGATACATAATACAATTAAAAAACAAGCAAACGAATATAAGTTAACTGTCTACAACTAAGAATAAGGAATTACATAGAAGCAATGATAAAATAAAAATTGTAAATCATTCGGTTGTCTCCTTTCTTCTTATAGAATTATAATTAGTAAAAAGAGGACGAAAGATAAACAATCTGTTGCTATTCTTGACAATTCATAGCTAAGAACAAGAAATTACACAGAAGGATGATAAAATAAAACTGTAAATCATATGATTGCCTCCTTTTTTCTTATGCAAACATACTTGGTAAAAAGAGGATAAAAGGTACACCATCAGTTGCTTTTTTGTCAGTTCATAGCAGGCGAGTGTATGAAAATGTGTGTATATGTCAATTATTTGTCAATAACAAATTTTACATTACTAGATTATATATAATATAGTATTATTAAAAACTATGTACTTTGCTTATATATTTTGCTTTAAATTTTTTAAATACTTGATTGTCTCTTATACAAATATAATTAATAAAAAGAGGATAAAAGATACACCATCAGTTGTTATTCTTGTCAATTCTTGTTTTTTTTTTTTTTTTTTAATATAACATTCATTAATGGTATAAAATTATTACATAAAACTGGAAACTATGGTCTTTGTTTCTTGAATTTGTTACGATGAGTTAATTAGCTGTTGTCCATTCCAGTTAGCGTTAACTAATTTGAAATGAAAAGTGTAGGTAAGAGAGAATAGATAAGCCGTGCCCGTCTCTAAATTATTTATTGTCTACCCAGCACTGTCTTTTCCTTTTGGCTGTACCAAATACTGAAATATATAGTAATATTTGATATTCAAGTTTAATAACCAGTATCGATTGAATATTGCAAAAAGCGTATTAAGGCTACGATGGACAATGACACTATTTATCAAAAACAGCTGATTGGTGTTGTTAGCTATCATCATTCATCTAACTACTTGTTTCAGTTTTCTAGGAAATATTAATGTCTATGGGTGGAATCATAATACGAAACAATAAATATTTATTTTATTTATTTTAAGTAAAATCTGTTGAATTTTTTTTACCCGAACAATATTCAATATTTTTAACTGATTACCTATGGAAAAAGTACAATACATAAGAAATAATTAATTGGATTGTTGATAATTTTAACATTGAAAAACAATAAATACTTTTTAGGTGTAAGCGAGACAGACTGTAGGTAACTAGTAGGATTAGGGCAAAGGCAAGATGGGATGGATGTACGTAAAAAATATAGGAATACTTATAAGACTTATGAGTTAAAATGAAATTCAATTTTATTTTGTACAACCTTGAAAAAGGTTTAGTTTCGATGGTTCGAAATGTCGCCACCTAGTGAGTATTGAAATCAAAATTGGAACATTCGAAAAATGCGACCATAAATTGTAGAGTATTTTTTTCTTTAGCATTGATTGGTTTAAATTTGAAATAACATAGATTATAGAATAACGTAAACTCAACTGTTGAACCAGCCAGCAAAATGTCTCTCGTCCGTTGACGCTATATTACTTATATTGAGGGTGGTTCACTTAAATAACCAACACTTCGTAATCTACTCGAAACGTTTGTAATAAAATGTGGTAGTATCTGTAAAAACTATATTTATTTCCGCTTCGGTTGCAATTATTTTACTATAGCACTCGCGTTATTAACTGGCTTGGTATTTTGTATTGTTTACGGAAATAAATCGGGACAATGGCATTCAGAATTCATGAAGACCAAGAAAATGCTTCTTTAGGCCTTAGGAAAACAGACGCTGATGTATTTTCAGCTACTAACCAGCGGCGTGCTTTAGGCAACATTAACCACTTCGCCTGCAATCAGAACCGGAATACAAAGCTTGTAAGTTTTTCTCTATTACCATTCTTTTAGTTTTTATAACCTAAAATAAACCCTTAATTCTTGTAATCATAATCCCAAAGAATATAGTCCTTTACTGATAACCGATTTGCGTCACCTATTAAATGTTTGTGGCATTTTGAAAGTGTCATTAGCGGGAAACACGTTATAACATATTAATTTCTTTTAGCCGGGGTTGACGAATGGACCTTGTAAAGTTCAAGATGAAAACAGGATGGTGCGTCAGATCAAAAATGAGAAGAATATTGTCCTTCCAGTGGCACAGTTTCGTGCATTTAGTGTATACGAAGACAAACCAAATGAAGTGGAGGTAAAGAAACGTGAACCAACCTTCAAGCCTTTTGTTGCTAAAGAAGTAAAGAAAGAGAACTTTTTTGTGAACACTGTAGAGAATGCCAAGCTCATATCTACTCAGGCAGAGAAGCAACCAGAGCCTGCCAAAGAATCACATCCTCCAAGGTAATTTTAATGCACATTTTTTTACAACTAGTATACTAACTTAATTCTGTATTAAAATTTGGAGAAATATAATGTGGGTACTCCTACCCACTTTTAGAATATTTCTTTTTATTGTAGCTGTATGTGTAAAATGATTACAATACTAATTATTTACTGTTATACAATATTATTTATGTTCTCATGCATATAATGACATTTTATATTTCAATATGTAAGTAGCACATCATATAAATTTTATTACAAACTCTGTCGAGTTAGTTATAGATGTGAAGTTTATTTTTATTACTGTAACTTTGTTAGTGTTATAAAATAAAAGTCTTGATATTCTATTTCTAGACTTCCATTACAAGAAAAGAAAGATGTGGTGGTGTCACCTATGTCAGTTATTGATACAAGTGTGCTCTCTATGTCCATCTCTAAAAATGAGAGCCAGTTCCTCAATGACACATTTGATGATGATGATACTACCACTGCACAGACTGATAGAGAAATGTTCTTCCATGTTGTGGAGTATCGACAAGATATTTATGAATACATGAGGGAGATTGAGGTAGTTATTCAAATTTTTGCTGCTCTATGCATTCATAAATTACATGATAACATTTTTTTATAATTTATTCAATGTAACTTGTGACATTGCTATCAAATATTAGAATAAAAATTATATATGTTTTTGTCTGTATATGGTCTTTGTGTGAAATTTCATTCAAATTAGCTGCTGTTTAAGTGTGAGTAACATACACTTTTTGTGGACTTCCATAATGTAATTAGTAGATATCTTTTGTATGTTCTCCATCTAGTAATTTCACAATAACCTATTAACTTATCAAAGTTTACCATTGAGATAATAATGTCTCTTTAGTAATATGGATATATATTGTTTGGATTTGTTCTTTATTTATACTTGTTCTTTATGTATATTTTCAAGTTTAATATTTAGTAATTCAAGTTTAGTATTAAATAATCAATTGGATTTTAATATTAAATAATCAGGAATTGTATTGTGTGATATCTATTTCTAATGGATAGCACCTTTCATCTAGTGGTGGAATGACAACTTTTACCTATAAAAATTAATTTTTAAATGTTCATTTACAATCAGGTAAAATACAGAGCCAATCCTCGCTACATGCGCAAACAACCAGATATCACACACATGATGCGTTCGATCCTCATTGATTGGCTAGTTGAGGTTTGCGATGAGTACAATCAACAAAGTGAGACGCTGCACCTTGCTGTTTCATATGTTGACCGGTTCCTGTCATATATGAGTGTTGTTCGTACTAAATTGCAACTAGTCGGAACTGCTGCTACTTACATAGCTGCGTAAGTATTATTTTATATGTTATCTGAGGCAAACAAAAAGAACCAAACTAGGGATCTTTATGACTAGCTGTATGCTTCCACTTTATGATATAACCTACCAATGTAATAAGTTTCATTTAAAACCATTATAGGTACAGTAAAAAGTTAAAAATGCTAATATCTGTACTTTCTTTTCTCTTTCTTTTTAAATTGAACTCTTTTTAAATCTCTATAATTTTTTGTATTTATAATATTAATAATAGGATAATAGGTTTAACTTTTTCTGTAGATTTTACTGCATTCTCAAATAGGACATGGTCAATCTGATCATTATAGGTTGTTTGTAAATGATAATAAAATTTGGCCCCTTAACTAATTTCGGCATAATTATTTGTGAAGGAATATCTTAAAATTTAAATAGTGTGTTATGTTAATTGGTATGAATACAAAAAAATAATGTTTATTATTTGGACAGTAAATATGAAGAAGTATATCCACCGGAGGTCTCAGAATTTGTATACATCACAGATGATACATATACAAAGCGTGAGGTTTTGAGAATGGAACATCTGATTCTGAAAGTATTGTCATTTGACCTATCAACACCAACCTCACTTGCATTCCTGTCACATTACTGTATATCTAATGGACTATCAAAGAAAACTTTCCATTTGGCAGCTGTAAGTATTTAAAATACTAAATTTATATTATAACAGAATGAATATTTTAGTCAGATTAATAAAATAAATAAAAAGCTTACCACTAAACACTTTAGAGGGCTAGTACATTATGTGATCAAAAAACTTATAACTTTTTAAATATAGGCTTTATGTAATTTATGCTGTAGTATCCTTTACTAAATGTAAATATTAGAATGTACTTGGACATTTATAAACAATTTCTCAAGATTCCATAGAAAGGAGAAAATAAGTTAGTTATGAAATTCTACAATATGATAACAACTGTTGTGCATATTATTTGCAGTACCTGAGTGAACTGTGCTTGTTGGAGGCAGATCCGTACCTCCAGTTCAAGCCATCTATCATAGCAGCGAGCGCACTAGCCACCGCGCGCCACTGTTTACTGTGTGAAGTGTGCACCTCAGATGAAACTGACTCACGGCCTGCTAACAATCATACTCAGATCATTACCAAAGGTACATTGTTTGGTGTTTGCTCAATATTTAGGTTTTATTAGGGTTTTATTTATAGGTTTTATTTATTATAAATAATACTTGTTTTCTGTTTTAAGAATGTAAATTGTTGTCATTATTTTTTGTCACCTATATTTAGTAAAAAGCAACTAAAGCTTATTTAGATTTATTCACTTTATTTTCAATAATAGTGTTTCTTTTTGTGTGTCATCTGTGCATACTTTATTAGCTGATGTATTATTTGTCTAATTGTCTTGTTTTTTTTTTTTAAACTGTATGTTTGGCCTAAATAAATATTCAAAAAGGAATTCAAATTCTTCAATTGTCAAAACTTACTGACATGTTGGTTTTGGTTATACTTTTTTTTAAAAGATTAGTCTTATTCACGTGTTTATGTAGCATGATAGAGTTGATAGAAATTGTGATTTTACAATTTGATGTTTATTTCGTTATTATATTGTATTTTATTTTTCCTGCATTACTATATATTATTTGTAGAAGCGGGTATGTTTTAAGGGGTCAAAATTAGTATTATAAGTGAATTTTACAATAAATAACCGTGATGGTTTTCGGGGGGAACCGCATGAAGGTGGACTTGATAGGGTATGTCGCTTGCGATAGGGCTTTAAGAGTGCATTACTATCAATTTTTCGATCCCGCCTGTGCTAACGGTGTACGCTGGCGGGTCATCAGTGAAGAGTGATCACTGAGAATGAAAACAGGCCAGTTAGCCCATCATGATCAATTCATCAGGTTTTAACCAAGATATTTTTCAAGGGGAACCGCGTTGAGGTCGACCTGGTTGGTTATATTGCTAGCAATGGGATTCTTAATCTCCCTTACTAACAATCTCTCCCCTGCAGTGGTGGGTAGCGGCGCTGTGGAGGCGGAAGGGCGCGTGCGCGCGGCTTGCATGGCGACGGCGTGGCCGCTGGCGCTGGCGGCGTGCTCGGGCTACTCGCGCGCCGACCTGGAGCCCTGCATGCGCGAGCTGGCGCGCACGCACGCGCACGTCGCGCTGCAGCCCTACCAGGCCATACCCGACAAGTACAAGAGCAACAAGTTAGTCTTCACTATCTATATTATTGGATTTTTTTTATACAACTTAGAATGGCAAACAAATAAATATAACATATATTATACGAAATGACGCTGTTATGCAATTATATCAGTATAAAATTAATGATTCACTAAACTCTAAAGAAACATTAATTTTTTTTATTCAAAAACTTAGAATGGCAAACAAGCTGACGGCCCACCTGATGGAAAGTGGTAACCGTCGCCTATAGACATGAGCAGAACCATGGACATAACAGAGTATACTGTTTCGTCCATGATACCCCGCATGCGTTACCATTCCTGGGGACTCAGGTATTATTCCTCTGTACTCAGTAAATTCACGTCATATCCCACCCTTCAAACCGAAACACAGCCATGCAAACACAATTGCTTCACGGTTGAAACACGAATGGGACAGAATTCCCCAAGCAATCGATTTTTGTACAAAGTCTCCCTCTGTTATTACAAATTAGAAGTGTCACCCAAGCTGATGTAGCAATTAGCGTGTATTAGCTCTTAAGAATCAATTAATATTAGGAAAGAAAATGACACATACACAAAACAAGAAAATTATATATATATTTTTAAATTTTAGTAAAAGTGTTTCCACATTTTATTACCTACTTGGTAATCTAAGTATTACTAATGTAATAAATGTAACATACCTGACTGCTTTGATTAAATTGTCCAGGTTGTACGGCTACCATGGCCATACATATTTCTATGGAAACATTTTCATTAACTTTATTTATTATTTAGTTCAAGTGAGAAACATTTAACTTCTATTTTCATTGGTTATAAATAATTTTATTTATACAGCTTGGAATGGCAAACAACTTGATAGTTCACCTAATAAAAAATGTTAATCGTCATCTATTTTTGTGTACTCTTTTATGTCCCAACGCTTTTAGATGCTACCAATTTAATTTTAATATCTGACAATGGTCCAACAAAAACGTTACTCTTGGTTTGATCTTATAACTCTGGTGACAAATTAATTGTTATTTCCATTTTGTAGATTCGACAGTGTGTCTACAATTGAGCCGCGACCCATGTTCCCGGTGTCGAAGTACCAGCCGCCTGCCAATCACGCTGCACGGACTGCCTCAGACACCACACGCACTAGCTAGTATTCTACAATATAGAATGATCCAACTAATATTGAACCTCCGCCGCATTATACAATTAATAAGTAAATCAAAAAGAAATACACAAATTTCCCACGTGATGGGAAGTGGCTCCCGTAGCGTATGAACATTTGCAACACGAGGGTGGTTTATTAGTTCGTTGCGGGCTTTCTAAACTAGTCACTTTTTTGACGAGCCCATATGCACAGTGGCAGAAGAGCGCTGGGGAAAACTTGAGATGGGTCCGTTGAGGTAGGAAGTGGTTTGCAAACAAGCAAGCAATATACAAGTATTAAATCTTCGAATTTTAAAGACTGGATGTCTATGTAGTAAAAGTTATAGGCTATTTCCGATTTAGATATCGCAGGGTCCAATTTTTCTGTGAATGGAATTGATATAATGCGGAATTTAAAGGAGTTAAATAAATCAGCAGAAGAGGTATTATTTTTATATGAGTGTTTACCGCAGTTAGATGCATGTCGCGTCTGTTTCATATCTTTTGCTTTTAATAAACTTTTGGAGGTAAAACCTTTAAAAAACATGTTCAGTCATATGCACATCCTAGTTGCTTTACAATTCCTACATATTTAAAATTTAATTATGAATAAATTCAAAAACAACTAATATATAGTATTGTTAATATTATAAATAATTCGCATTTATTATAATCTCCAAATATAAATAATTCAATTAAGTACAATGAATTATCTTGTAGGTTTTGTAAAGGTAAAGTATTGTGTGAGTTGTTATATTAGTTTTTAAACGTTTCCAATGGAAATAAAAATCTTCGACTTCTGTTTGTTTGTGTTTATAGTTATTTGTATTCTGATAGGTTTACTTTAACAAGTAATTTTACGACAACAATGCTATAATAATCGAAATCTAAAATTAATTACAGATACGACAATAAATAATACTATTATTATAATATGGCTTTCCAAAGAACAGGGCATATACAATTACAGATGTTATTAAAAGTATTTAATTAAAATCCCTACGTTAGTTTTTGTCTTATTTATCAATGATTTAGTCTAGGAATATTGTACAGTTTATTAATTTAGTGTCTTACATTATTTTTATGTATTTAACTATATAATAACTCCGGCTGTGTTCATTTCGTCTTAATGCAATTCGTGTCCCGCCTCTACGAATTCACTGGCACTAGAACACAATCTCGATTCATAGGGTAATAAGTAGGTAATATTTTGATCTACTTACGTGGACCAAGTTTCTAGTGAAATTTATTGTGATTCATAAGTTAGACGGTATTAATAGATGATATTTTTACCTATTTTCGGTAATAAAAATTAGATATGAAAGAACAATAAAATACACTCCATTATGAAGGAACTTTTTGTTCTGGCGTATTAAACAAAGCTGTTTTTTTTTACTCTATGTTGTTCTGTAATTATTGTGGATTTATTTTTCAGCGAGTAGCATTTTCGATGTTTGTTAGTAAATTTTTTTTTTTGAGATATAAGACTCATCTGGACACAGTCGTGTTTCGTTCCCGTCAGTTCAGTAAATATGCTATAATGACTTGTTGTTGGCACCTACGTTAATATTGTTTTGTCTCTTTGTCGTCAAATTAAAGATTGAGCCTGAAGCTCGTTTCATTCGACATCAACACAGTCGTTTACAGAACTGATGGGCACGTTCCGACGATGGTGTGTAGCTGGGTCTGTAAGGTATGTTTTAATATTGGTAAGTAGTTTTTAATTTAATATAATCAATGATATTTTGCTCCAGTTTCTTGAATGGAGGTAAGTACGAATGCCTGTACTGGTAATATATGATATTTAAAAAAATATATACTTTCTTTTATTTGTCACCTGTACCACCTTAGAACATGAAGGAAATAGACGACGCAACATCTTAATGTAAATGTAATGTTTGAAAATTAAGTGTAGTTATCTATTTGCTATGAAAATCTGCAAAAGCTATTTATTGATAACAAACCCTTATCCGCATTAAAGCTTCCAGAAATTATACCTCTAATGTAGTTTTTTTATTTTTTTTTTTTATTTTAATTTTATATGTATATATTAAGATTTAATTGGTAAAAAGTGGCATGCTGTTTATACTTTATTTAAATGTACATTTAAATATATTGCGTTGGTCATCATATTGTTATTTATATCATAACCTACGAAAATTCAAACATACAGTCAAAGATTATTTTAATTTTAAAGTCACTGTTTATCCAACTAGTGTAATTATACAATAAAGATTCCTATTAAAATAAAATATAGGAAGATTTTGGTAATATTTGGTAAATTTGTAGTAATAATCGCAGGTAACTGACTAACAAGGTACCCAGGTTGTCACATACAGTGGAGCATAATTTCTTTTTAGATTTATTTTAAATGCTTAATAATAAATATTGGATCATTGGCATATATTAAAAACTAGCTGCTCGCCCCAGATTCGCATGGGTGTACTATGAAGATCTCCCGGCAAGTGAGACAGGATAGTTTTGCATCACTTTGCTTTACTTACTTTTTCATACGAAGATTTTTAATCCAGAATTTCACCATTACATACGATTTTTTAAAGATTTTCTTTGATACAAACTTTGTCCTGACAAATGTCACAAGTGTTTATAAATAAACAAAAAAAAAAGAGTCAAATAAGTGCAGCCGTTCTAAAGTTATGCGCTTACATACATTTTGAATTGATTTTTATTTATATAGATATTCATTGAGATAAGGACTTTGCACATTTTTTATTCTTCTTCAACCCCCCCCCCCTCCCCCCAGTCTTCTTATTACTTAAGCAGCAAATTCCAGTACCTTTTTTAAGCTGTCGCTCGTAACCTATGTTCCAGTGGTACTCTCTAACAACTAATTATCAGAAGGAGATTTTGTACAAAAGTTGTTTGCATGGCTGTGGTTCGGTTTGAAGGGCTTACTTTTGTACTTTATCCGAGCAGTAAGTACTATAATTGTTTTATTCTTATTTTCGTATATAATATAGTATATTTTATATATGTGTAAGCATATTTGTTATATATATTTATTAGTTTATATATGGAATTTTAGTATGACACTTCCCTATGGTTGACTAGGAGAGATTGCTTTTAGCATTATTCCTTCTTTGCATAATGGTGGATAATGAATATGCATAATTTCTATCATAACATTGAATGCCCAAAAATTATATAAAAGAACAAGTTCACTTTAAGTTGATCGTGTCTGGATACCTTTTTAATGCCCATTGCAGAAAAAAAAAAAACTTAGCTGTCTAATTTTTTTTTTTTTACCTATTTTTCCTTTAGTTTTGAACAGGAATTATATCACGTTGATTTATTTCACCAATAAAAAAAAACATGCAAAGAATGGTTAAGTCCGTTATGTACCTATATGTACTAACGAATAAATAAATACATTTTATTCTTAACTTTGGATAATGAAAAATAGTAATAAAAAAAAAAACTGCTGTTCTATGTAGTGATAAATAATTATTAAAGAACTTTGTGGAATAGCTTCCTTCCGTTCCGTGCTAGCCACAAATGTAATTATTTCATTCACTTAATTCTATACTTTAACGCGATATGTTTAAGTTGTTTGTCCTATCACGGAGGATATGCTACTTACGACACAAGTCTATCTTACAAATCTATTTGAGGAAGACAACCGTTGCGCTATCACCGGTTACCAAGTCGCGCTGTCTACTTCGTCACTTCGATGACCGATCCTATACGCATTACATATTCTGTGACAGTGAACACTTGATTAGCATTCTCAATTATATATTTTTTAAATGTGTAATATATACACAGAAGGTGACTATAGTCTGTTTTAATAAAACTTAATAAAAAGGTACCCAAGTTTTTTTTTTAAATTATCGATATTCGATACATATCGATATTCAACAGTGGACAGTTAACTGGCTGATATGGTGATGATATGATTAGATTTCAAATAGATCATGTAATAAGCATTGATAGTAATGAAAGTAGGTAGTTTTGAATCGTTTATTTTGAAAATATTTATCTCATGTACATTTTCCTAACTCTTGAAGCGCGAGGTTCCATCAAATTAATATTTTTATTGTAGGTACTATTTTATGCTTATGTATAAAATCGGTGGTCAAGATGATCATGAAGGATGCTTATCTTGTGTATACACGTTGCCTAGTCCTTTTTTAGAAGAAGCCGGACCTGAAACAATAAGAACGTGGGTCAATAAAAAATACAAGACGCACATAACATCGGAGCTCAATGCAATTGTTGTTACGTAAGACGACAAATGCAACATAAAAAGTTATTTGGTGTGTAGCAGCCAATGCTAATTGCGGTTTGTAGCAACCATATTTGAATTTACGGCTTCTGCGCGTGCGCAAGGAATTCTAAATGCGCTCCAGGTTCCAGCTGCCGATACTATTCATGGCTACCTATCGTAAAATTGCATGGAAATTATTTTTTTTGTTTATATTTATATGCAGTTTGCATCTGTTTAATATCTTTTTAAAATATAATAAATAAAATAAATTCGAAGATAATTATGATGCTATATAAAGGTCTAAACTAAAGATGATAATGATAATAGCATAAAAATACATTTTTGAGTTAATTCATATAAGAAAAATCATATCCAAAATCAAATCTAAAGAGGTATAAAATTAATTTAGTATAGAGTAGCGATTACCTACTCAAGTTTAGATATTCTCTAAGCAAAAGTTATAAACAGCTCTGTTTATAAACAGTTGGCAGCTTCCCTGGAAACCGCGAGAACAGTCTACTTCAGTGCTGATTTCCTGGAAACATAGACTTGAGACGTTAAAATACCTACTCTTGAAACAATATTAAATATCTGATACGTATTATGCCGAATGTAACACTAATTTGTTACGTCTGGCTCGGTGTGATTACATCGCGAGTCGACGCTTTGCGTCTTTTATGACGCGATAGAAACTCAAATAAATCACTGTTTAAACAATTAAGATGTATCATTTAATATGGATCGGTACTATTCTACTATTATTGTTTCCTTTATTATTATAATATCTACTGCTGGACATTTCTCTTATAGACTTATATTATCATTGTTTATTAATTTGTTTTTAATAAAATTTTATAGATATTGAGGATTTATCTCTTAACCTAATATTTTAATTTGTAATTACTCGAAATTAATGGCCCATGGACCATCATAAACTAAGATTATATAATTTTGATTTAAATCTATTAGAAAATTAGTTCATATTGGTTGGTCGTTACAAAATAGATATGGCTGTGATATCAAATTAACAAAATGAGAAATGGCATCTCAAAATCGACACCATTATTATATTGTTACGTTAAAATCAAATGTCATAGGATTTTTAGCGATATGTGGGTAAATTTAAATTAGTAAGAGGACCATGGATATTCATCACTTCAACGATGTGGCTGTATTTATTATAATAATGAGTTCCCTTAAGAAATGAAAATGGAAGAGCATCGCCACTTGTGCTGCCGTTATACGCTGGTGGGGTACCAGTGAGGTTGTCTGGTTCGAAGGACCATTTAAGCACCATGTCTGGTGAGTGGTTCTATAGTCACGAATTTATTTAAAATTAACAATTATATTTTCCAGGAGGGACTAAATGGAGGTCAACTTAATAAAGTATCGCCGTAGATTCCGTTATGAACATCAATTCTTATACCACCCTTTCTTCACTCGGTGCTTATACCGTTATTTTTGAATGAAGAGTTTTTAGAGTTCATGCAAATTTGTTATATATAAAAAAATATATTATATAAAAAAATAAAATTGTTATTAAATTATTATTAATACAATATATTGCTAGCAATGTATCATCCCAGGACGACCTCCCTGGCGGTCCTACCTGGAAACCATTGCAGTTAATAGTGAATCCGCCATGACAACTCGGCTGATCTGACCTCGTTCTCATCTTTCAGTCCTCGCTGTTGCCGTCAGCGTATACCAATAGCGCAGGTATAGTTAACATTCCATTTTAATCAATTAAAAAAAAAAAAAACAGCGTCTAGCCTTAGTAATGATGACAAGAAGAATGCATACATTTTATTACTGAGGTTTGTAAGAAATAATGACGGGTCTTACACTGACACGCTCTCCTAAACTTATACAAAAACATGTATCATATGAATAAATAAGAGCTGCGTAGTATGTATACCTATTACTATTCTTGTGGCAACATCACAGGCTAATTATGTCGTCGCGTGGCATGGTTCCTGTTTTGCCGTCATTTCCTATGTTATGTGGATGTTTACTCATTCCTATATTGTAAATATCTGTGATATAAATATTGGTGAAATAATAGAAATGTAGATTGTAGTTTACTTGTGTTTAGTTTTGGTTCGGATTAAGAATTGGGAAATTAGGTACTAATTAATATACATATATAGGCTAGGGTCTTTTTCTTTAAATGGGCGATGATAGAATGGTAACCCCGCCTGCGCTAACGGTATACACTGGCGGGGCACCAGTAAGGAATGATAGTTAAGGATGAAAAGACAGGTCAGTTAGCCTATTGTGATGAATACACTTAGAATACACCACGATGGTATCCAGGGGGACCACTTGGAGGTCGACCTGTTTGGGTATATTGCTAGCAATGGGGCCCCTAATTTCCATTATTAACAATCCCCCCCCCCCCCTATAGGCTAGGGTTGGCCATAGCTTTCCTGGCACCACCTCTAGACAAATTTATGATGTCTCCCTCCCTAACGACGAAAAAAAATGGTTGGGATTGTCTGTTTATTCCTTCCGTCTCCTCTTTTTCGGACTTTGGTGCCCCCCTCCAGCCCTTGAATTTCAGCACAGACGGAGGCCGCCGGACTACGCACCCCCTAAAACCGGTTAAATGTGTTTTCGTCCATGAAAATTTTGTGAGTATGAGGTATTTTTATTTGGTTATAATTTAATTGGTAATATCTATTTATTAAATCATATTTAGTTATTTATACTGATTTATAGGTAGGTACCTAGTTAGGAATGTGCTTCTGCGTCGTTTACAAATATGGAAGGTATCAATAGGTAAGTATAGGTAGTAATACTATGTTGACATTAAGTTTCATGCTATGAATGTTAAAGACGATCGCCATATAGCCACGGATTACTTCCGGACGCCGAAAGGAAAGGAAATTCACTCGTGAATTTACAATTCAATACACGACTCCGATATTCACAAGTTCTCTGTTCCCATGCTGTTTATTATCAAATGCAAATCAAAGCCACCAATTTTGGTCTGCACGTATAGTAATTTTAAAGTACCTTAATATTTCGTGGAAGCCAATAATAAAACCCAATATACTTATGGGTAGACCACACATATGTACTCATATAACAGAATGCATATCTAGGTGTCTGTGTGCACCTTTAATATACAACTTCGTTTACCTATGTGATGGATCTGAATTTTAATATAGTTAAGTACACCATTGTAAATAAATTGAATGCGAATATTTAATTGATACCTGTCTATTATTTTTTAATGCAGCTTGATTGATTTATGTTCAAATTGTACCTAATAAGTAGGTATTTATACTGTTAATCAAAAGTAGAGGTGCAAAGCATTCTAACGGACGCAATATTCATTAACCCCCTCACCTCCAAATATGTTAATGTTTACGAGAAGTATAACTACTTGCCTAAGAAGTAATATAAAACTAATTTTCGTACTACAATACAGAATATACGTATGAAACGATTTTTATAATAATCTTGAGCACATAAACAATTGGCGGTAGCAATTAGGCCGCCACGCCATATTTATTTTAAATTAGTTGGTTTCCATAGTTTTGTCCGCGTGACTTAGTACCTATATAAAGTATCCTTGGTGTTAAGTTTGGATATATTCGTCAACTATCTGCTTCCCAAGTTTCATTCAAATCCATTCAGTCATTGAGTAACAAGCATACAAACATCTTTACTCATATTTATGATGTACTAGTGATTCGGCTGGTGTAGATAGAATTATATATAGAGGAGAAAGAATTTTTAAAACCTGTTGAATAGTTTTTGAATTAATCCATTATAAATAAACAAATCTTTCCTCTTTATGATATTAGTACAGAAGGATTGTACAAAGCACTCAAATACAGAACACCTCTTTCCAATCGTCTTTAAAAGTAGAAACTTTTAGAAAAAAGGTTTATAATCTAAAAAGATTATAACATATAAAAAGTAGGTAGGTACTTTTCGAATTTGGTTAAAAATACTCCATCTGGTGTACCCCACTACTCTCAACGTAACGAGTATAAAATAGTAGCGATACTACTAATAATAAATGTCGATTCGGACGTCAATGGTTCAACTTTATATTAAGATTAGTCTATAAATTCAAGTATGTATAATTGATGAAATCTATTATTGACTGCGCAAACGCCTTGTGAAAGGAAGCTTTTGGGCCATTTCCTGGCGCGGAGTGAAATGGGGCCGGGCGTGACGCACGTTTTTACCTCTCTACATCCGTTCGTAAGATGAAGATTTTTTTTATGGACGCGTATCTAAATTGTATACATCTACGTAGTAACTAGTGCCTCTTTTAGTTTTTTAAAATATACAAATACATTTATTATTTCTTTTAATTATTTCTGTATATTCTACATTTTTACTTGTTTAATAAGCGGCGACAGTTAAGTCGGACATCGTTTGAAGCGGTCCGAACATTTTAAGATCGAATCCTAGGTCAAATGTGTGAAGTTTCAAGTATCATTGTATTATGATTTTTGTTTAGTTCGTATTTCAAAAGTTAAATCATGTTCAAGGCTATTGTTCTGTAATGAAAGTGGATTAAAAACTTTAGAGAGTGCCATCCGTACATGAGTCTAAGTACTAAAGTACCAGTAGGTACCTTTTTAATTGAGCCTAATCTCAATATTGTTTTGAGAACATTATCTATTTACGAGTAGATATGTACGTACATACTCATTGTTATTTTTAACAAATATAAATATGTTACGTAAATCTGTTATTTGATGGAAACCTTCGTACAATAACAAACGATAGCAATATACTCTGCAAAATATGGTTTTGAGAGCATTCATAACTTTATCGAAGTGTGGCAATGTCGCAAATATTAGGTAATAGTTTCTTGACTTTATTTGATATTTTATAACATTGTTTAAGCGTAGTTTTCCGAGTTATGTAAATTTAAAAGTATTTAGGTCGAAAATTAGGTTAACTGTTTTTACAATATCATTGTTATGAAACTTTAGATAAATATGATTATATGAATAACGATCTGCTCGTAAACATTTCTCAGAATTAACTGTTTATGTATTTCACTAAGAAGGAAAGTTATCTTTCAATTTTATTCGTCCGCCTTTATGATGTATGAATTTAATAAATAAATGAAAGGAGAGTGATATTAGTAATGGGGTCTGGAGACCCCATTGCTACCAATTAGGGCATGCAAATATTCAATAATTTTGATATTCGAATATTAGTTTTTTTTTTTTGGGATAGTTACTTCCTGCTGACTTCAACACGCTGGACCTGACTTAATTTTTACTGGTATACCGTCAACGTATATCAATAACGGATGAGATTATCTTTTTTGTAATGTTTTTGTATTTACTATTAATACAAGTTTCGGATACCTAGGTATTAGTTTTGTTTTTATTTACTTTGTGATAGTAGTTATAAAATTATTATTCTGTAAGATTACGTTGACGGTGAACATCGTGAACAGTATGGTGGTCGTGGGATAGGATAAAGGATCGGCGGTGGTTTGTTAGTCAGCACCAAGAGTACGATCACCTGATTTCGGGGTAGTGACGCGTATCCATTGTTACAATTCAATTGTTACAAATAAATTTAATTTTAGGTAGTTTTCGATTTAAGTATCTAAACAATATATGAAATAGATAAATCTTAGTAACAATTTGATTTTAATTAAAAAGACTATTGGAAATGAAAAATATTTAAAGAATGTAGCAGTAGTAGTAAAAATCAGTAATTGGTAAATCGAAATATGATGTTAAAAATATGAAAATTCACAATGGCCTTCGAAAAAACTGTATCTGTGCCTTTAAATATAGTTTTTCTTCATGTTTGGACTAAGCGATCGCAAAATCCCTCAATTTACTATCATTGTTTTAAGTTTATATATAATATTTTTAAAATAAAATTGTCTTAATACAATAAGATATAAAATCGATGAAAAAGTTAATTTCGATAATTCAATTGGCGTGTACTTTTCTTCAAAAACAAATAATTTAAACAATTCATTAGCACGAAATTATATAAAATTAAAAAATAAATATAAGTATTCCTTTAAAAAGCACAATTGTATAAAAATGCAATGGAAACAAGTTTTCACAGACAGATATGTAAACTACAGTTGAACTTTAGTCCAGTCACGTTGAACGTGAACACGGCTCGGCCATTTGATTGTTGTAACAACTTTTACTATGGATTCTTTAGCTATAAAACAAACTAACTATAATAAACATTGTAGATGTCATGCACGAAAAGTGTTACAATTCACTATCGTAATGATAATTTTAAATTTTGATTCACAAAATTTAAGAGTTTTTTTGCTGTAAGAAAGGAGGAATTATGACGATTTCAAATTCGGAAGGGGCCTCCCTCTAAGTAGTCTAGGTGATAATTGTTTGGTATGGAACGTGCAACGTTTACACAATCGTCATATATAGAAGTCTTTCATAAACAAGTGAATGCTAACTATATTATTCGACTTGAGTACTATAGTGTCAATGGGTGTTTTAGTTATAAAAAATATGTTCACGACTAAAATACCTAATAGTGTAATTAGAGATATCTGTCAATTGTTGTCTTAGTAAACAACACTCGATATGCCTATATTTCATCAAACATATTATAATAAAATGTAGGCGGCAATCCTAATTTACTACTTACTAATATTTTCACTGGGATTAATTTGGTTACATTAATACATTAAAATGTATATATCCTTTCATTCGAGAATGCTGAACAAGAGAAAATAGTAACGAGCTTTTGGAATGTAAACTTTAACCTTTGATCTTGTTACATCTATTTGTTTTTGCACTTTACCAATTTTTGTTATGTTTGTGTTTTTGTTTTGTTATAAGAATTTTCAGTAGCAGCTGTGATATTAATCTAGTAAGTTCAACAGCCTAATTCAATCGATGGGTTTATTAATTGTCAAAATTCGATGTAAGCAGGAAGTGTTGGCCTTCCCGGCGGTACGAGTGAAGCCCTATGGGGCGGAAGCAGCGGCGGTCGACGTCTTGGCGACAAGCTTGCATTACAAATAACCCGCTTAATGAACGCACGTGCATACTACACCTAGGGTCGATTACCTGTTCCACTCGGTTATCCCGTGGGTTTCTATTCTTATAGATTAACGACAGATTTTACTGCCATCGAGCGTATAAAAATCGAATTTACCCATGTTAAAAACAGTATAATATTGGGGGGAGAAGGATTGTTAGTAATGGGGACGTTAATCCCCCATTGCTATCAATATACCCTATCAGGTCGACCTCCACACGGTTCTCCCTGGAAACCATTGTGATTAATTTTGTCAAACTCATCGCGATGTGCGAACTGACCCGACTTCATTTTCACTTATCATCCTTTACTGGTGCTCCGCCAGTGTATACCGATAACGCAGTCGGGGTTACCATTTTATTATCATCCATTTGAATAAAAACAATATAATACTACTACGAGTGTAATAGTACTTGTGCCATAGGCAAATACCTATACTGTAAATCGACTTTTTTAAGAATTACCTTATTATATATATAATTGTTGGAATACGATTTTCATATTTTTCCATGATTGTTTTCTTTTTCTCTCAATATAATATTACAGGTATCCGGATTCATTCGGAACAACCTAATGGTACATGATAGGAATATAATACAGTATGTTAATTAACGTAACCCATCTCTTAAAACTAGTGTTAATATTATATATATATATATATATATCCCCATTTCTAAAAATCCCTTCTCCCCCCCTGGTACATATGCTAGGTATGTACCTAAATAGGAAACTTAAATTAGAATAATATATTCTAAATTATCTTCTTCCCTCTCCCCCTGTATAGTGCCATTAGTACAAATACAGACTGCTCTTTTTTGAGACCCTATTATATATATATATATATATATAATGTACCAGGGGGGGAGAAGGGATTTTTAGAAATGGGGATTAGTAGCCCCATTGCTAGCAATTTACACTGTCAGGTCGACCTCCACGTGGTTCCCCCTGGAAACCATCGTGAACAATTCTTGTTGAATTCGTCGTGATGGGCTAACTGATCTGCTTCCTCACCTATCATCCCTCACTGGTGCCCCGCCAGTGTATACCAATGGCGCGGGTGGGGTTACCATTCCATTATCACCCATTAAAAAAAATAGGTAGATATCTACTTATGTAAACTCCGACTTGTTTTAGAAAGTGAAGAAACCCTTATATGCCACGAGAAGATTGTCGTCCACTTTTTTAAAATGGGCACATATTGCTACACGATTGTGCGTTGACAACTAGGACCTTAGGATAACGAGGTTACGAATGTTACGATAGGCCCATTAAAATTTGAGCGGCATCCTATACACGTGACGGAATCCTCGGCCTCGATTGCTCGGCGAGGACAAATCTGACCCACCTCAGAGCAAATTGCCTGTTTGTCCACTAACAATGTGCCTTTATCACGGAAGGAATATCTAAATATTGGCATAATAAAAAAATTACAATGAATAAAGGTATTTGCGCCTACAAAAACTGTCTGATGCTATTTTTTAAAGAAATCTTTTTTAAGTTTCATATCATATCAGCCTTTAACTGTCCACTACTAAATATAAGCCTCCCCCTTGGGGGGTTTATTTAGTAGTTGCTAAGCTTGGCAGACGGATTGGCAACCACAGTTAGGCTTTGGAGATGTTTTAAGAGGGATGTTGCTGCTCATCCCTCGCCCTCCCTTAGTCACTTCTTACGACATCAACGGAAAAAGAACGGGACATTTCTCAAGTTTATTTAATTAAAATTTAGTTTCCTTATGCGTGCAGGGGCAAGAATATAAAAGCACTGTTTATATAGTACACAGAGTTATTAAAGTAGAACTGTTTTTAAAATAAACTACGTGATTGATTAAAAAAATACAGAGTTGGCAAAACTTGCGCGTACAGTAGACGTTACAGACGAGTGAGTTTATTGCTAAAATGACCTCTGGGAGATGCCGATCAAAAATAAATAAGAAACGGGCACGGGCGCCAGACAACGGCTACCAGTGCGAGACAGTATTTTAAACTTGTCTGGCATCACGCCAGCGAGATCTTCGAGACTCACCAACGTTAATGAGAGTTATGACCGTGTAAACATTCCTTTTTCGGAACCGCTTTGTGAAGGTTACGCACTCGTTCCTAACAGCAAGAGAGTTCATTGGAGGCATTCAGGAACGCTTTTGGATTGCACTAGCATGCCGGTATGGCTCGTGAAAGTTGTGAAATGGTAGCTATGCGAAACTTTGCCTAAAGATAGATGTGTAACGTGTTCTAGATAGAATTTATTAACACGTCGTGTGATTTTCTTAGAATAGTGGTTGAATGTGGTTAAATTTATTTGGCCCTTTAATTAAATTAGCACGCCTCGAAGAAAGAGCGTCAATTTAGTATCTGTTCAAACTTAAAAAGACAATACTGTAATAGTCCACAAAAGACCTTAAATATTATTGACGAGATAATATAATAATAGGTACCTTCTGCTACGACGGATTCGTAATGTTTCAGGAAATTTTATGTCGGTAACTTGATGGGATTACTATAAATTGGGCAAAATATCCAAGTTCTCACGAATACAAAATATGAAGGGGAACATGAGCGTCATAGTGCATTTTTTTATGTACATGTATCTGTTTAAGTCTACAAGTATTAGGTCGTCAGTTAGTTCATCATTCCAATTTGTATAAAAATGTTTATCCATAAACATTATAATAAATAATATTTCATGAACATACCAAGTAGTGCATCTTTGCCGACGTGTATATTGCAATAGATGTGATGATCGGTGGGTGAGGGTGGCTCGCACGGAGGATCGCCGCCAGCTTCCATTAATTTTATCTTCGCTGTTAGGTCCTTCATGTCTGTAAACAAAAGCAATGCAACTGTGTAAAGGTATTTTTTAACAGAAATCTCTGTGTGTTACTCTATTTTTGTTAGTAGATTGTATGCTCTGTTCCTGATCGAAGGACGAACTACAGTATATAAAAATGGGCGAACAGTCCAGTGATATTCCAAGCCTTCATGGGTATGGTGGTTATTGCCATCCGGCGAGCCGTACATGTTTTTGACATCAACTGTCAATACTGTGAAGAAATTACTTTATTTCTATGGAAGGAATTTATTACCTCAAGTGTATTTGTTAAAATGTAATTGATGATAATGATTGTAATTAACCATTAAGTAAAATATTTTTATATTTATATTATTTCATTATTATCACCATTTTAACTATTTTTTATTTACCGTTAGAGTTGCCTTAGACCAGTGATTCTCAACCTTTTTTTTTGTTGCGGCACATATTTACGATTTCAAAATTTGGCGGCACACAAAGAAAAAGATAAAAATTATTTACTTACTACAATACACTGCATAAATAGTTTATGACAAATATTTGCAAAATTTGGCGGCACACTTTTAAAAATTGGCGGCACACAAAAGTGCCGCGGCACAGTGGTTGAGAATCACTGCCTTAGACTATCGCAATGTCGGTTGGTAGGTCAAATGTTCCCGAGTCATTTGCATCCATCGATAAATATCCTGCAGCACTCCTGTGCGGTCAGCCCTCTTGTAATTGTTTAGAGACGTCCTACAATACGATTATACAGAGTCGCCATTTAATACACCTTTCTTTCATTGATTACGTGTTCTTCGAACAATGTGGCTGATACACTGTAACTGTCACCCCGTCAATCGAAAATACAAAGTATGCATTGTTCCAATAAAGTACTTGCGCGTAATTATAAACAAACTATAAAGCTCTCTTTAACCAACATTCACGAGAAGAAAATTTTAGTTGTGTCCACAATTTTATAGCCTGTATTTGAATGTGTGCGGTGCATGTGCGAATGTAAGATGTGGGGCTAGTTGTTTGTGAATTGTGTAACATTATACTTGGGGGTTGTTATTCTATATTTGTTGAAGTAAAACGAAAACTGTGCTTAAGTTAGTACTTACATACTACGTGTATGGTGTTAGGGTTAAGACTGTGATGTGAATTTTCACCGTGCCGTTATTTTCGTGTCGTTTTTAATCTGCGTATATACCGATACTGAGATGTGACTTTTATTAGTATCTAAGGGAAAGTAGATATTTCTACGGGACTGATCCCTAAGTATGTCTTTTCAGATAAATAAGTATTTTACAAATTTAGAACTACGTTTAGAATTACATCGTGTGAATTAAGCAGTGCTCCAAAATTGGAGTACTGTTTAATTCACACGATGAATTTTATTGATACGCGTTAATCTTTTTCCGTGTTTTGCATAGTTATATTTTTGTTGATCAAAAAAGTTACACGAATATTACGTAAATTCGTAGCAAAAATGTCATTGAATGGGTTTATTATTTATTTTTAAATTTTTAAACATAAGCAAGTATGTACCTAAATTGAGAAAACATGCTCGTAATAAATATTCGCCCGCCATTTGTATTGTGTATTTGAGTAATGGTTATGATTGTTAATCATTCCAGTTATTTCTCTAATACATTTGATTACAATTGAATGTAGCAAACTTGTCTAAATAGTATCTAATGATACTTCTAATTTAGGAATAGGCAATGCAACGAAAAAACCGTTAGCTATTGTTACGCGGGCGGTCCGCTACGCGCCAGGTCAAAATTAGTAGCGCACATGTTAAAATAAAGTTGATTGTTTACACGAGGCCCGGAGCGTGCTAGTCGCCAGCCATCGTTTGCTGGATCGGCGTATGCGCGCCTAGATTTATTGCCGTACTAACAGAATATGATGAAAGATCTCATAACAAAAGATGTTTCTACTGTTTATGATCTTTAACGCCCACCTTTTTAGGTCAATAACAATTTTCACTTGATATAAAACGATGAGTGTTTCTTTTAAACAGTTTTGTTTGCGTTTTATGTTTTATTTAGAAGACGAGCAGATAATAAAGTAATATCGGATGAAAGAAATATTTCGTAGAAATCCTTGAGAGACTATAGTTTAAAAATATTAATATATATAACCTAGGTATTTTCATTATAATCTCGCCATTATCATCTCATCATCATGTTTGTGATGATAAAAAAACAGAGAAATAGACTAGATAAAAAAAATACAGAGTTTACCCTTAGAGGGCATCGGTATAGTTAAGAATGAAATCAGGTCTTTTTTTAACGGTTGGAACTAGAATGATATCCCTACCTGCATTATTGATAAACGTTGACGAGGCTCCAGTGAGATATGATACGAGTATAAGTGAGAATAAAAGCAAGTAAGTCGACCCATCACGACAAATTCAGCAAGAATTTATTACAATAGATTCTAGGGACGACCGTAGGTCGACCTGTATAGCGAGGGGGGGGGGGGCAGGAATTGTTATTTTGCATCTATGTGTTAATAGAAATAAATTTTGGATATATTTTTTTGTTTACGATTAACTTGACGATTGGCCATAGTGCGGATAGACGCTAATGTCATAGATAGATGGATATTCTTCTGTTTCCTCTAAAAGATTACAGTAGTAAGCTTATTATGAATACAAACAATTACAAGAAAAAGATTACACTGAGAAAACTATGGGCGACCTTATCGCTAAAAGCGATCTATAACTTTCAGGCAACCTTTGGATGGAGAAGAATAATTATAAACAATACAACGGAAGGCACAAAGTTCTGCTCGTTTTTTTTAAATACAAAAAACGAACGGGATATAAAATGAACAACAATATAAATATATAAATGTAAATTAATGTGAAAGTGAGTTTGTTTGTTTATTATCTCTGAGCGCTTTAACCAATAGTTATGAAATTTGGTATACACCTTATACAAATACTATTTATTTTGTTATAGTGAAGCACATAAAGACGAAGTTGCGGGTAAAAACTAATATGAAATAAAGTACACAATATTATGCTCTAACAATCATAGAGTATCAGAACCATATTAGAAAAAGTGTCAATATAAAAAACATTTTCGTACATTTTTATGCAATGAACGGAGCAAGAGATTTTAAGGGTAGATAAGTAGATACAATATATTTACAAACAGCGTCGTTGGAAGGTTTAAAAAAAAATCTAACTGCATAATAATGAATAAGAGTTAGATGTTGTAATATATATGGTTTCCTACAGTATATATAAATACAATTAAAAATTTTAAGTAATCCCCGAAACGTTTGAACAAATCTTCATAAATTGTAGCTAAGAACCATCTCGATCACATCAGCTTTTAAAAAAAATACCGTATAATAATCGATTCATTCGTTTAGGAGATACACAGACTTGTTCAACTTATAACACCCCTCTTTTTGCGTCGGGGGTTAAAAAAATAGATAAAAGAATGTTATCACTCGTACACTGATAAACTGATAAATGACCTTTAGTAAAAATATAGATATAAATACAAAATATTTTTTGTATGATATTAATTATATCTCATTTTCATTCAAAAATATTCAGATAGCGTCTCGGTCGTCATTGGTTTGGGATAATGGATAATAAATGCAGTGCGGCCTACGTGGAGGTGATGACAATCGCTGGTCCTGAATAAATAAAATATTGAGGTACCTGCCTACCTACGTTTTATTTTCAGTTTGTTGTAACAAGATAAATGTACAGTTTGTAGAGCTAGTAGTGTCAATAAATTGAACACTCTCTCTCTCTTCAGTCGTACACTCTTGGCAGAGTGGTCGTGGTTTTCACAATGACGGTGGATCGTCGGTGAGGCTCTCCTTCGCATTGAAATTGAACACACAATCAACGTTTTAAACGGATTACTTTTAAATAAAAATAACGCTAAACAATAACTGAAGTATTTATTTTAATTTTAAGTAAGTTATTTCTTTATAGTCTGTACATTTATTATACTGAAATAAACTAAAAATAAAACGTAGGTAGGTACCTACTTCAATTATTTATTTATTTAAGACCAACCATTTTAAGATATGAAAATAAAATTAAGCTAGAATGGTAGTCTAGTAAACATATCTGTAAATATGAATAAGCGAAATACTTGATAAATTGACAGTCTTGCAGATTCATAATTCAGAGGTCAAGAAACAGAATGAAAATATTCTTGGTAGGTACTAATGTGAGTTCCTAGCTTACAGAATTTTCAAAAAAGTATACCCTCTAACCTTTTGATAGTAATAATTAAACATGCAACCAATCATGCATACGTGTATGTATTGTGAATTCATTACGATGTGTCAAATGATTTTATCACTGGCTAATAGTCCGCCAGTATATATTAGTAGTAGTATGATAGATATGGTAAACCCTAGATGGATGGGATGGGTGGGATGGGTAGATGGTATCATTTTCTTTCCATAAAAGTATATAACTAAATATACACAATAAGAATCAAATCCGTTACCTTTAAAGATATATTTTATTTTGAGCTTATGCTATGGAGCTCTTTGTTTTATTGTAGAACGGAAATTATTAGAATGGAAGTTGAGCATTTCCTATTATAACACATGGCTGTTCTACCTTAATTTGTTAATAAAACGTTAAGCTGAAAATAGCGACTCGCCTAATACTCATAAATCTCTTGAAGGTTTTTAGCACAGATTAAAATTATGAATAGTTTTGCTTATCATAATCATTTAAAAGACAAAAAACTTAAACAAAAAGACACTGAATTAAGAGATTTTATTAGAAATCAACTTATACTGTGACTTCGTCCGTGTGATCGAAATAAATATAAATAGTCATAATCATATTTGCCTTTAACTGTCTACTGCTGAACATATGCCTGCCTCTTGGGGGGGGGGGAGGGTTTGCTAGTAATTGCCACGCTTGGCAGGTGGATGTACAACCGCAGTTAGACTTTCGTGATGTTTTAAATATAAATAGTACTTAGCCTACTTTCTTTTCCATCTCAATTAGTACGTGTAGGCATACCAATTTCATGATGATTGGTTGAGCCATTAAGGCAACAAGAGACAAGAGATAATTTATTTTTACACCGTAATTGATTGTGCTCCACAAAAAAAAAACTACTTCAATTAGGGTAAAGGCAATTATTTTGATTTAAAAACTAAACTACGGGATTGATTTTCATAAAATTTCTATGGGACCAATCCGATATGGAAACTTTTTATCCTTTTAGATAAAAAAAAAAAGTTTCCAAATGGATTTACAACCGACGGAATTATGAGGCAACAAATATAAAAACTACTGCAAATTCAATGCGGCTTTCACAGTTGTATTTTTAAAGGTCTAACTTCAAATCTGGTGTACGTTGTTTCACCTAGATACGCCATACAGGAGTGGTTTACTTCATCGATTTTTTATTTTTGCAATTACGCGAGCGAAGTAGCAAGCGAAAAGCTAGTTAATAATATTAGTAAGGATTCATATGTATATATAGTATGTTGTATGACATATTTACGTATATTTAGTCATGAAAATCAAAGAGAAAAATTAGCAATACATATTTTATGAATTCAACAAACTATTTGATTGAAAAAAATGACAATTGTGATTGATTTATTACAATATGTTACAAAAATTTTATTAAAAGTTTTTTTTTTTTTATAGTAAAAACTGTCAAAATATCAACTTCGGAAGGTTCAGCTTTAAAAATCTGGATAAAGTCTATTCCAAATGTTTCAAGGATGTGTTTTGTTACTGTTTACTCGTACATGATTGACATCTACATACACAATCTTTCATATTCATAATATTAGTGGAATTTTAATAATAATACACGTATGATATATGTTAGAATGAATTAAATATCCATTCAGCTATGTAGTTGATGTACATTTTGTTTGTTTCCCTTACGAGTTTGATTGACTCGTTCGGTTCATGAATCATGCGCTTTGATGTTCTTTATTATTAAAATACTATTTTATTTATTCGCTATTTTCAATAATCTAGAACATATTATAAATCTAATCGTATAGTTTAGTGCATTTACGTTGTTAGTTTATAAAGAATCTATATTTATTTTGTGTATAAAATTTGGATTGGGTATGGATACCTTCGCAGAATTATCTTATGAATACTTCCTTTTTGGAAATCTCCTAAAATAAGCTGAAGTTCTGATTGACTGACAACACCGCACAATGAACAGTCAAAATAATATAAGCTATAATTCTATAAAAACAGAAAAAACACAACTTTCTATGCTATTTTAGGCAGTCACTAAGAAAAGTAAAAGGATGTTAGTATTTTACATAAGAATAGGTTCTAGTTTGCTTCTTACAAATGTTGGAATATTGAAATGTCCGCTTTGAGGACTTGGATCTAATCAGATATGATTAAATTATAGAGTCAATTAATTTGGTCATTTGACAACAGAACTTTAAATAAAGGATAATAGGATATTTTAAAACTTACCTGATTGAAGGGTTTGCTTGAGGATCTTCCATTGTCTGGCATGAGAAAGCGATAAATATAATACAACTATAAAGAAAACGACACAGCCGGACGCTGCTAATATAACACTTAACGTTTGCAAGTCCCATTGGGTTACACCATCTTCTCTCACTTCACTATCGTAGTCCGAGTACTCGTATTCATAATCACTAGGTTCACTATTGTCTGTAGTGTCATTACGAGCAGGTGCGAAGAATGGCCATATATGTATTTGGTATAGTGACTGGCAGATGGTGTCCCTGTGCAGTTCGCAGGGGAGCTGCACTACGAGGTGTTTATCGCGGTCACAGCGCGTGCAGGGCACGCATGCGCCGCGCTCACGGTCCCACCAGGTCACCCTTCGTTCGCACGTGCTTCCTGCCCACGAATACCCGAGAGCTAGTGTTGCAACCAGCAAACACAACTTGGGTTTATCTCCTCGCATTACCTGTAAATAATATATGCAAGTAAAATAACAGTCGATAGTTTTGATAAATAATTTTGAATTTATGTTTTGACAACTCTTGTAATATGCCTACCATTCCATAATATTTTATATAAATGAGTTTTTGGCCTCAGATTCAATTGCCAGTTGAGCTAATTTAGGAAATGTACCTAATAGCATACTGTTGGGGGGGGAGGGATTGTTAATAATGGACACTAAGGAACCCATTGCTAGCAATATACCCAAACAGGTCGACCTCCACGTGGTTCCCCCTGGAAACCATCGTGCTGAATTCCAAGTGTATTCAAAATGATGGGCTAACTGACCTATCTTTTCATTCTCACCTGTCATCACTCGCTGATGCCCCGCCAGCATATACCGATAGCGCAGGCGGGGTTATTATTCCATCATCACCCATTAAAAAAAAATAGCATATTGTTTGTGGCGAAGTGGCAGGTAGCTTTTCATACTTGCAAATGAAGCGCCGGATTTGATTCATATTCGGGACAATTTAAGAGATGTAATCATATGCGATTGGTGGTCGTGTGGTCTCGGTATAGAATAGGCCATCCCTTCCTTTCCCGTGGGTGTCGTAAGAGGCGACTAAGGAACGGCGAGTGATGCGCAGCAGCGTCCTCTTAAAACGTTTCTAAAGCCTAACTGCAGTTGCCAATCTGCTTGCGAAGCGTGGTAACTACTGGCAAAACCTCCCAAAGGGGAGGCTTATGTTCAGCAGTGGATGGTTAAAAGCTGATATGATGATGATGATGAGTCACATACAACAGTTTTATTAGACAAATTTTGATATTTATTTTCTGACCACCTCTATGTTGGAATGGTGTTTTGCGGAATACCCGGAACCTTCGTTCGCTTTTAATTGGGCTATTTGAATATTGTCCTAAGCAGATATAGATTAGGGTTGCCAATTATACTGTTAAAAGCAGTATAGTGTTTTTCGCTACATTATACTTTTTGCTATTGAAATATAAAATATACTATTTTCAGCATCAAAATGTTTAACACTTTAATTTAACAAAAAATGAGCTCCACGTTTATTTTAATTATAATTGTGATACTGCATATAATTTTTTTAAAAAAGACTTAGTATTAGTTAAAACTGTAGTTAGTAAGTTATATAAATACTAAATACTGTTAATTTAAAAAAAAAAAGCTGTTAAATATTCTTTTCAGACCTAAATATACTTTATTTCTCGTAAAAAAAGTTTAAACTCTAATACTAATACGGATGATACGGATATCTCCGTCTGCTGTCAAGTTTGATTAAAAGTTATGTTTTAGCATGAAGGTTTAAAAATTATAGTAATGAATTTAGTAGGCATAGGTATTAAAGTCAAGATTTCTAAATTATAAAGGTCGGCAATGTACTAAAGATGCCTATATATATATTGCGCATGCGGGTGACAACTGACATTTCATTATTTTAAAAATAACCAGAATAACTGACTGACATCTCACCAGTAGTCACTGTAAAAGTATCTATTGTTAGGTTTGTGAAGGTCCGCATGTACTTACTATCCTTAAACTATGATTTGTGAAATAGAAGTCAAATATCCTATCCTATTAATATTATAAATGTGGAAGTTTGTAAAGATGTTTTGATGTTTCTTACTAAATTACGCTTAAATGGTTTAATAAATTTAAATAAAATTTGGTACATAGGTAGATCATATCTTAATTTAGTACATATATTTTATAGAATATTTTATATATTGATTTACATAGATAAAATCGCGAGAAAAAGATTGAATTATATATGTAAATTGTGTGGTGTGAATGTGATTGAATTGTATACGTGTCTGTAACTTAATCACGTTTTAACGTGATTAAGTTACAGATATAATAATAATAAATATTTGAATGAAATTTGTTACACGGATAGATCTTAAGTAGATCCTAATCATATATATATATATATATATATACATATATATATCATCAGTATGCACGCGGGTACAGCCGCGGTAAACCGCGTCTAATAAAATATACAAGTAATGATAAAATACTTTATTAGGTAAGTTACATTTTCGTAATTTATTCTATTGACGCGGATAGAGAGCGTATAGCCAAAGTGTAAGTAATAGCACTACTTGATATTGCAGGTCGCTTTACAATCAGACGAGCCGTATGCTTTATTTTCACCATCGTTACAATCAAGTATAGGGTTGGTAATTTTCTATATACATTATCTTAGACAATGTATATAGATATCTTGTCTAATATTATCACAGAAAGTTATCATTAAAATAAAATTATAATATGTTAAACACACATGACATTTTTGATATGTCAACGTCTCTTGATGCCCCTGTTACCCCTGTTACGTAATGTAATGCAACTGAGGAAGATGCATATATTTTAGCGTCTAATGAAAATTATGTGTTGATTGAAAGAGATGATGCTTGTGTTTTTATAGATGCTGTTCAAGCTGACTCTATGGAAAAAAAATGGATGATACTGGAAGAGTAATATTAGTTGGTTAGAGTATTTTTAACTATATTTTTCGATTAATATAGGTAGGTAGTACATTACGTATCTATCTAGCAGGAAGTGTCAATTTTAGTAGATACATGCAACCGTTAATATTTCTCTTAATAGATATAAACATTAATCATTCAACGACTTACCTTACTGCTTAAAATCATGTATATCGTTAAGTATTTACTAAGGACCACATCTCAATAAATTATTGATTAGAAAGTGCACTTTCACCAATCACATCCTTCATAATATTTTTACTCATTATTCACTTATTGAATATCCTTATTAAATCCATATATTGGTGAAAAAACTGGTAGACACTATAGCGGAGTAGAGCGTTTTTTGGCGTACAGTTTGTTATACGATTGGGTAGAGACGCGGCGCGTCGTCCCGTATGCGACGTGGAATAAGTCTGTGGCGTGCTCGGTGCGCGGGCGTCGTGCCATCTCATTCAACTGCCGAGCCCCTGGCCCCTATCCCTCTCCTCCCACGCAGGATGCGCGTTCAGCTCTCCTATAGCTGCAAATTGCAACCGTCAGAGTTGAAAATGTACTTTATGTATAAATCTTTACGAGTGACTGCGCTGAATAGCGAGAATATATACGGAACGATAATGTTTGCCAACGGCAAATACTACGCACTTCGAGAGAAATAAGGCCTGGTGGCGTAGTAAGCTAATATATTGCTTAACTTTCTGGTGGTCTCGGGTTCGATTCTTGCGGTCACTGAGCATAGTCGTTTCTTTTGGGGTTTTTATGGGTGCGTAGTAAGGGATGTTAAACTCAATTGCAAGCAACACGTCTTAACACATCTAGTGAATTCGTCATGATGGGCTAACTGATTTAACTTCATCATTGTTTCACCGTTTGGTTTCAGCATAGAATAGGCCACCCCTTCCTTTCCAGTCGGTGTCGTAAGGGGAAACTAATGGAGGTCGCTCTTAAAATATTTCCAAAGTCTAATTGCGTTTGCCAATCCGCCTGCCATCCGGCAGCAATACCCCCCAAGGGGGAGGCTTATGTTCAGCAGTGGACAGTTGAAGGCTGATATGATGAAGTACCTAAGTGGTATTTAAAGGTTCTTCTTGACTTACTAGTAAGTAGTTACCAAATTTATGCATGTCCTCTATTAAATGGTGGGTACCTATGTATTTCTAAGTAGGAAAACAATGCATCAGGCGGGTACTTATTTAGACAGAATTGAATTACAATTGATAGTAATATAATTATTATAAAATATATGAGAACGATGTGGCCTCAATAACCAAATTGAAATTTGGGACCAATCAATTAGGAGGATATTTTGGGTAGGGATAGTTAACCCCAGAAATAATAGAAGGCATCTAGGTACAATTTATTATTATATACGAGCTACTAAATTGATATCTAGTCGGTATCAAATCTTTGCAAGTTAATTACTTTTTAAAGAATTCTCTGATAATTGTATACAACGTTAAGAAAACTAATTTGCTTAGTGAAATGGTGGTGTGTTATGTTTATTAACTCGGCAATACTATTCTTTTTTTTTTGTTCTGTTCTCGGACTCTAAATATCTTTTTTCATAAGAGTCAAGACAAGGAATATATATTTTCTTAGACATTCTACGCGTAAGCTCATTACGGTTAGTACTCTGTAAATAATTTTATATTTGCCTATCATATTTATATGCCTGTTCTCCGCGACGACTTGTTAATATCGATCCTAACTGGACAATATGACTACAGATCACATATATTGTTTTTAGTTTTTATATAATTTTTGACCAAATTTGATATTGATACTACTTTCCATTGTTCCCTTTTGGGTCCTCTTCATGGCTCTAGTCTTCTAAGATTCTTTTTATAATACTTATTCCATTCCTAGTTTCTTTGTGGATCATAGAATTTACATTGTTGTTATTATAAATTATATGTAGGGGAAAGGGATTGGCAGTAATGGGGACTACCAGTCCCATAGCTAGCAATATACTCTGTCAGGTTGACTTCCACGTGGTCCTCAAACCATTGTACTGAATTCCTGGTGTATTCATCACGATGAGCTAACTGACCTGCTTCTTCATTTCACCTGTCATCACTCACTGGTGCCCCGCCAGCGTATACCATTAGTGTAGGCAAGGTTACAATTCCACCATTCGTTGTCATCCATTAAAAAAAATTATCCGTCTATTATTATTAGTAACGCGGTTTGTTGAAGAAACGTGAATTTAGCAATAAGAAAGCAATCGTGCAACATAATACTTTAATTACGTTTGTCGAAAATTGTATAAAATTTATTGTAAATTTTTATTTATTATTGAAACGATGACTTGATGCGCCTCTGCCGTGCGATTTAGGAATTAAAATTAATAATTAGTTCCGTCTTTTTTTAACTTCAGTGTACATTTTTAAAGAATTTTTCAAAGAATAGCGTAATTAAAACAATAACGATGAGGAAGCAATTGCGCTACATAATAGCATTTTTTTTAAATATAATTTATTGTTCATGGAGTGTTTATGCAGTTTGCTAGATAATATAAGAAATATTTTATCCTGATGCGCGCCAAACGTCATTTATGGCGCCGAAACTTTAAACCACAGAGCAAGTGATCACTACATTATAAAAGTTGGTACCGGCTTTATATCAACGAAATCTAGAGAAAAAAATAAACGTATGTTACCTTTTCGAAGTAACAATATCATAAAAAAACACATTTCTATCCGTAGTGTTGTATCACTATCTTCATATGTCTTTATCCCATATATCGATATCGACAGTAGCCATAAAAATCTAGCTATAACAAATAAATGATATTTATAAAAGAAAATTACTAATTAACTGCAATTAATTAACTTATATAAAATTTTGGAATATTGTGAAAATCATATATATTAAAACAAGTATCTATATTTAGATACTTTATTTTACTCTATTACAATTGTTAATCTAATCTTTTTGAAAGAGAACTGATGCAAATTTTCTTTGGTCATTAAACAATAGTTGGAAGCATTGGATCAAGGCAAACAGCATCAGAAAAAAAGACGTATTCAGTAGTAAAGAATTTATATGTATCATAATATATTATATTATATAAACATGTATATATAAAATTATTTCAATTACATATAACCATAATATGATTAAAATTATTTTTAAATTAAAAGGTGACATTTGAACGTGAAATAACATACTACAAATATTAATTATATTTATTCATACATAATTAATTATAATTATTCATACATAATTTTAAGTACTATTTATTATTTATCTTCGTAATATATCATTATTTACAATTCAATTTCAGTTTATATCGATAAATAGTAGAAACCATGGTAGGAACAACATTAATAGAGTTACTAGTTCAAATCTATTGAAAATTAAGATAAAAACATTGTTGATCATACAAATCTATTTTTAGTTTTATTTATTTATTTATGTTATTTGTATTTTAATAATTGAAAAAATATATTTATAAGTGAAGTGCTATTTTTGATATGGTGCCATAACTCTTACTGTCATGACATCTATTCAAGGTGGCTATGATTTGCCATGTTAGAATTTTTTTTAAATTCATAGTAACATATTATCATAGAGAGACATTATACCAATAACAATGTTCCAGTCGTCACTGCTCCAACTCCAACTGTTCCATACCAAATTAGTTTTTTAATTTTGATCACGGTTCAGAAAGATCAATTTTTCATCATCTCTCATTATGTGTTGTTTACAGACTGAGAACAAAAAATGACTAAGAATCAGTTTATTGAGTTTCAAAATTTTATTTTATAAAGGAGCTAAGTTTATTATAATGCCTATAAATACCGATAAAGAAATGATAATAAATAAAATAAAAATATACATTTTTCAAATATCATTTTGGATTCGTTTATTTTATTATATTGATACTTCTAGGTTACATAAATTTATTTTCCATTTCAATGAATATAAGGGCATTGCTGTGCCAATCTTGATTATTTTGTGGTCAAATGCGCTGTCATCAGTCAACTGTCATTTCTCAATATTGTACATATTTTATCATCATTCTATAAATTCTATCTAATATAATGTAACTTGACGTGATCATTTAATTTATTTTGTTATAATAAATGAAACACATTATTTGTACTTGGTCTAAGTTACAATCGAAAAGTGAAAATTACAGTTTCTTATTATCCAGGTCACAAACATGAGCACAGTCGATCGAAGAATAGGAAATAATAGAAACCAAAATGTTCAAGGTGATGTTCAAGACCCCCTTGTATCATCAACGACACGCAAGTCTTACCAGACAATCATAAAGCCGAGAATAAATAATATAAGAAACGACTGTGTTGGATTGTGTTATCCTCTCCCAAGTACCTATTCCCAATGTGTGTCCTGCTCCTATTTAAAATATTTTCATAATGTCAAGCACTTATATAAATAATATCATTGTGAAATGTTTCTTTTAATTTTTTAACATTTTTTTATGCCAGAATGTTATTCATATCCATACTCCCATAATTTCCATTTATAATTTTTAAATTGACGAGCCATTTATTGTTGAATTGTAATTGTGTTTTTTATTTCAGGGCCAAACACCATTGCAAAAGCACCTCCAAATAATTTATCAACATCTAAAGCTTTATTTGTAGTCATAATAATATTTATATCCTCACTATGTACATTAGGACTCATTTATAGGCAATTTCCAGAATTAGAAGAGTAAGTAGATAGACATTTTCACATTATTAAATAACATGTTTTAAATTTTTGTTGATTTTTAACTATTGGGCTCAAGAGTTGGTATAATTTTTTGAAATTATAATATAATGTTTGAAGATTTATTAAATATTTTTATATTTTTATATAAATTTTATGGTGTTGTTTTAGACATGAAAAGCAACATATAAAATTACCATGGGACTTGGAAGATGCGAAGCAGTTAGGTCTAGTACTAGACCGATATAAAGACAGATACTTCACTGAAGTGATGTTTGGTGTATTTTTAGTATATATTTTGTATCCTTTTTTAAAATTTATTTCAATTAGAAATCATTCGAGAAGGCAAATTAATACTTAAATTTTTTTTTAACTTAAAATACCACTCCTTAAAGTCATTTATTATGATATAATTAACCTTCATTCAATTTTAATAACATTCACAATTTCTTTTTTTATAATTTTACAATTTAAAATTTTCCTTAACATAACTTCAGTTTGCAAACATTTGCAATACCTGGGTCAATTTTTTTAAGTATACTTTCAGGGTTTTTATTTCCATTTTATTTAGCTTTACTTTTAGTATGTTGTTGTTCAGCTATTGGAGCCAGTTTATGTTTCTTTTTGTCAAATCTCCTGGGGAAGAAGCTTGTCAAGAAATTTTTCCCAGAGAAAGCTGCCCAGTGGTCTATGGTTGTAGAAAAGCACAAAAACAATTTACTCAACTATATAATATTTTTAAGGGTTACACCATTTTTACCAAATTGGTTTATTAACATGACAGCTCCTGTAATTGGTGTGCCTTTAGTGCCATTCGCATTAGGAACATTTATAGGTGACTATCATGATCTGTAAGAATTTTATTTTTAAAACTAGAGTTTGTGCTTATTAAGAATATTGATAATTATATTTAATAAATATGAGTTAAATACTTGATTAGAAATTAATGTATAATATTGAGTTTCTTATGCTATGTCATTATTTTAGGTGTAGCTCCACCATCCTTTGTAGCGATACAGGCTGGTCAAACTTTACATACACTGACATCAACAAGGGATGCATGGTCGTGGACATCTGTCACAGTTCTCAGTATTTTTGCTTTAATCTCACTGGTGCCAGTATTGATGAAGGAGAAGTTAAGAAAAAAATTTGATTGAAGCAACAGATTTAGTTCATTTTTAGCAAATTTATTTATGGCATTTCATATTAATATAATATGTTAATAAATTGGTGTTTTGTACATTCCAATTATTAGTATTATATTGTTGATGTCAACAGTAAGATCCAACATGTGCAATGAGTGTTTCATTTCCATATGCAGGTTGTACCACAGGTCTCCAGTACCACCAATTATACCATACTGTAACAAATTATACATGTTTCATATTGTATACACCCTGAAATAATTTTTCATGATAATATTTGTTTTTCATAATAAACAACAATAAATGCCATCATCATAATTTTAGCTGTTACATCTATTGCTGAACATAAGTCTTGCCTATAAGCAAAGTTTTGGCAGTAGTTGCCACATTTGGCAGGCAGGTTGGAGACTGCAGTTAGGCTTTTAGAGATGTTTTAAGAGGGATGCTGCTGTCCATCCCTCTTATCCATCTTTCTTTAGTTGCCTCTTATAACACCCACAGGAAAGGAAGAGGTAGCCTATTCTATACCAGGACCACACAGCTATATAATCACAGTAATCGTCTGGTCCTCAAGCTAGGATAGTCTGAGTTTGAGAAACTAGAAATTGAATATTTCTGTACTAAACATTTTATGAGAAATTTATTTTGAATTGAAAGCTAAATTTACATGTTTAATTCTAATTTCTTAAACTGTGATTTTGAAAACCTAGACATATACTCTTAAAAATTAATGTAACTGTATATTCTGTATCTGAGATGGAAAGAATTGCAAAATTTATCTAAACTTTGCAGATTCTTTTTTTATTTAAGTTTGAGATATTGTTATTATTATCAAAATTATTTCTTACATAAATAAGTTTCCTTCAAATCTACTTTCAAGGACTTGCACTGATGTTTACATTCTTCAGCAGGAACTAAATGCACTTGTCTATTTCCACTCAAAATTAACAAAAAAGAAAAGTTACACTCTGTGTCAGGAATTCGAAATGTATCTTGTTTTGAATCAATTATAATAAATCTTTCAGTACTTTGTCCAAACTTTGGTACAACTTTTGGCCTAGGAATGAGTTGTCTTAACAACCTTGCTGTATTCATGGTGTTAAACTTCCTGAAACAAGAATTAAAGAATACATTTAATAATATTTTAAATGATATTTAATATATTAATAACACTTAAATAAAAACATTTGCATTTATGTGCTTGATATAAAAGATTATATTGCAAATAAAAATCAAGGCATCTTGACAAAATTAGTACTTATTGGACTAACCAACAAATAAACTTGATTAAAAAAAAATAGTCAAACTGATAACTTGCTGCTGTTTGAAGCAGTAGAAAAAGATTGTATATACTCACCATGTGTATAAATTTTTAGTTTCTTCTTGTTGTTCTGAAAACATCACCATTGGACTAATATAATGTTTATTATTTGCCAATACTTTTGAGGATTCTTTATCAAAGATATCTCTATTTTTTTCATATAAATCTTTTAATTTTTTCATTTTTATTACTTGTTGCTCACTCTGAAATTAAATTAATTTACTTATTAAATAAACCCCACACCATTTTAATTACACAGATAACACACAATTATTACATGTTTATTTTGCACTGTGTGAAATATTTTTCAAATAATAAAGTAAAAATGCATTAAATATTTAGTAAGGTATGAAACCAAATAGACATTAAAAAAAAAAATATATTAAGGATGTGTGCAATTTGATACATTAGGATTATACTTCAAATTGTAACTACAACAATAAATTTTTCAAGGTATAAATAGTTAGTAAAAACCTCATATATAAATGGTGCCGTTAATTGTTGGTTCACTGGTTTTGGATTGTGAACCTCTCCAATATTATGTATAGTACTGCATGGCCAACAGTCCATGTCTACAACCGTAAAAAAGGGGTTTTGTATCAAACAAGTTTCATGGTAAAAATCTGAAATAATGAATATTTTTAAGAAACACTCCTATCAAAATAAAATACCAACCGATGATTTAATATATCTACCTGTTATAGATGGAAAGAGTGATATAAAGGGAATGGATATTCGCCGCAACAATCTTAATCCAGGATATATGTAGTCTTGTAAATTACATACTACACAACTATATATGAATTTGAAATTGTACACGATACAGATGACGATTACAGCTGCCAATAAAAGTTTATACCTTTTACCTACACGTTGGCGACTAGTTACTACAGATTGATTTTGCATTTCAATGAAAGCAAGACTATGGTAGTATAATTTTTTGAATTCTTCTTCTGACATGCCTTTTTCTGTGCATTGTCTTTTGAGTCTCTGAATTGAATATGAATACTCTTGTAATAATTCTTCATTTACCATTGTTTCTAAGAACACTGTTACAATGTATGTGGCTACTTTATACAAAAATATAAATCTAAGAATTATTTTCTTTTCATCGATTGGTATGGTATTTTAATAATTAGAAATCTTGTTTTATATCTAAAATTTGTTGAAAATAAAACTATAAAAATCTTAATATTATTGGGATTCAAATTCTATTAATGTAATTTCCTATATATAAACGAAATATTTACTAATGCTTGTCACTATCTGTCAATGTCAAATTGCCTACACAACTTTTAAAACAGTTTTTGGCTCTGAGTGGATGAAAATTCTTATTTTTTTTATAGTTTACTATTATTTATTAATCGTAGTAGGTAGACAAGGACATAATTACTGTTTAAATGCATCGAAAAACAAATGGTTGTTACTTTTTTATAATTATGTAGATTCATCAGTAGTTATTCATAAGGTTCTATAAACAGTGTAATTGCTTAACTCACGTAAATACATTATACTAAGACTATGTTTGAGTCAAGCATATATATTTAGTCACCCATGGGATAACGATGAATCTGTTTTTTTTTTCGTTAACTTACAATCTAATCAAACTAACTTTTTGGTGAGCTAATTAATATCAATAGTTTAGTATTCTTTAAAAATTTTTGATATTTTTCTGTATCTATGAAAGGCAATGGTCAAGCTATGGATCTTCAATTCGGAAAAGTGCGGTAAATTTAAAAATTTACTAGTTAATCTTAGTTACCTACCCCATGAATGTCTTAATAATTTTGACTTGATCTTGTTTTGTGACCTATGCCACACTATAGATGACCTTTTAAAATTATAATGCTATACAAAGACTGGGATTATTGAGTAAATAAAAATCTTCTGGTAAATACAATTTAATATGATCGTTGAGAGATGTTGTCATCTCTACTAGATATTGGTCTTCGCGTTAAGTTTTGTCTAGCGCTCAGTAACTGTGTAGTGTCTTCTGTATTTTCGATTTTTTTATGCTATTAGATTAGACAGACGTCGTAATTTATTTATATTGAGAAACCTCAGGTATTTTGGATGAGATAAAGGATTTTTCAGAATAACGTTATGATGGGTAAAAGAAGATGTAACAGGTAAACCGTCTGCAGTAGGTAATTTTTTTTTTTGTACAAAACAATTGCACATATTTAAGAAGATTATTTAATTTAATTTTTAATTAATTTCACCTCTCAATATCTCGTAGGTAGTTAAATTATTATCTTCCATGAAGCAGTTATGTCCGTACGTAAATAGGTATGTGTATTTCGGTTAAAACGATATTGTAATGAAATTATGGAATATGAAGACATAAAATAATCACAATGCATGAGGATTACTTTTCCACTGGCTTCAAGAAAAAGGAAGATTTTTGGAAGAAAGGTATCTATTTGTTTGTTACCTTGTAACTCCCTCAACCGATTTGGAAAATTCTTTTTTTTATCTGAAAGGATATTCTTACAGTTTAATTCCTTAGAAATTTTATCAAAATCGGTTCAGTAGTTTATAATCAAATTAACTAGTTTTGCCATAATTGAAGTCCATTTTTTTGTGGAATACAATTTTAAATATTATAAATGGATGATGATGAAATGATAGCCCTGCTTGAGTTATTAGTATACACTGACGGGAATCCAGTTAATGAAGATAGCTGAGGATGAAATTAAGCCTGTTCGTGATAAATTTACTACGAATTGATCACGATAATTTCAAGGAGAGATCACGCGGAAGTCGATCTGATAGGATAATTACGATTTTACCTAAGTGTAATAGATAGTTTGATATTTGTGATAGTTACACAATTAGTAGCGGATACTAAACAAGTTAGTAAGCAAATGTGACTGGATAAATGTTATGACCTTTATACAGATAGCATTTAAAGTAATACGTAAATACATTATTTATCAAATTGATGCATGATTTCGTCAGTGTAACTATTAATAGACAGCAGGTCGCTAACTGACGTGCTTCTCCTAATTACAGTTCTTTTAACTACTGAAATTCTTTAATTTGAATTAGCTGTATTGAGTTATGTAGTTGTGAAGATAAGATAAAGCGAAGTAACATGTACTGGGCCTTCTGATAACACAGCCGACGTAATTGAGTCCTGTCAATACTTGACGATATGCTCTCTTATGCGGTTATACCTAAGTGTTTATATAGTTCAGAATATATTGGAATATTCTGCTGATATTGTTTGTTAAGTATTGTGAAAATGATCGTAACTGTCACAGTGGCTGTGTTGTGAGTGCAGTGCAATTTATTTTTTATTAAGGATATTTTACGATGTCATATATACATTGAAGAAAATGCAGGAAGAAATAATATTAAAATGGATATTAAGCGACGAGTAGAGGGTTCGACGTGGAATTGGCCACTTTTGGTTTCAGTTGTCTTCTTGAATGTGCGTATATATATGTACATATTTATTATATCTAAGTTAATAAAAATTAACTGTAGGTATTTGTATATTGTAGAGAATCATCAGATAACTGATAAACTAAATATTACAATTTTAAATATCTTAATTATAGGCGTAATTTGCATAGGTACATATATAAGAATGATACCTAATACTTTCCATAGATTTTTACCCAACTGCTGAAGAAAGGAATGTTAATGTTTTCGACTGTGTGTATGTATGTTCTACAGCTTGAAAGGTTTGATGGATATTAATAACTGGGATGTTGTTACATTCGTCTTAACTGTAGTAGTGCTAAAGCTAAAGGCTATCTATACTTACCGAATGACGACAGTAATAAATTAAATACCTAATTTATTTAGTTTGTCTTTAGCTGTACGGCATTTTCCCTTGTACATTCTACAGTTTTCTTTCACCTTCTCAAAGGTTGACTGTAAGAGATCCCTTTATGGGATAAATCCGCCATTGTATATTAAATCTTTTAATGTATCCAATATAAATTATGTATAATAAAGATTTTACAACAAAAAACAATAACCGTCATACTTAGGTTATTGTTTTTGTACTAATTTCATACATAGTATAGTGGGTTTTTTATGTCCTTGTCTGTCAACTGATGTACGTAAATAATATTTTTATAAGTAAAAGATATAGAAAGTATTTTTCATTTTGTTACAAATGATCTGTTAGATAATAAATACAATATGGCATTTAATGTTTCATTCTTAGTGTTATTATAGGTTAATATGAGAAAAATATTATGACATAGAAAATAGTAAAAAGTACCTATTATTTTTGTTTGCTTCCGAGCAACTTATGACGTCCGCGTCATAAGTTCATTGTCATGCTAGATAGCGTCGGTGTTAGAAAACATACACAAAGGCAGTGGCATTTTCATTTCGCATCCTCGTACGATAACGGCAAAGTGAAACTTGCGCTAGTATCTATATATGCATGTATAGTCATATGCATACGTATAACTTTTCTATTTAAGTATATTTTGTATGGTTAAATCTATATATTGAATAATTGTAAATTAATTAAAGCAACTGTGAGGTTATTGTGTTATCATGGCTGTATTTCGGTTTGAAGGGTGGGATATGCCTATGAATTTACAAAGGGTACAAAGGCATAAAACTTTAGTCCTCAGGAATGGCAACGCATGGGGTATATCATGGGCGAAACAGTGTATTCTGTTATGTCCATGGTATTGCTCATGTCTATAGGCGACAGTTACCACTTTCTGTCAGCTTGTTTGTTATTCTAAGTTACATAGAAAAATTTGGCCGTAGTAGGAGAGAATGGGGAAAATGGAACCATCTAAAGAAAATTTTAATAAAAGTCACATTTCTTAAAATTATTATAACTAATATTTAGGAACACGTACTAGATTATGTTTTTATAGTGATATGAAATAATATAATAATAGACTTACTAATATATTATTACATATCACATTGAGAGAGAGAATAATAACGCTTAATTTGCACCACATAAGTACCTACTTAATAAGTTTAATTAAAAATACTTGTAGATATCGTGGGTAGATAGAGATAAATAGAACTTATTACTGAACGTAATTTCCAAATTTGTCCATATGTGTTTAAAATAGATACGTTAGATATGCAGAGCGAATATATCGAAGTCTCTAGCGCGACACTAAAGATCTATTTATATTCATTCATCAGTGTATTTAAGATAATTATCCAAGGGGCCTATTCCCTTAAAAAACTAAAGCCTAACCTATTTTAACTAATACACTGTTTTGTCACTTTATTTCAAACTAGAAATTTAGCAGCAAATAAAGAGACAAGACACTTTAATAGCTAAAATGTGTTTATGAGATGTTTGACGTTTTTATAAATATAGGGGTTACTGTAATATTATATAAAAATGTGAAAGTTTCTTTGTTTGTACTTTTGTCTTAACGGTTTAAACAGTTCTTATGAAATTTGGTATATACTACATGTCTATGGTATATACGTACTATAAGGGATAGAGAAGGACATAGACTATTTTTCAGCTTGGTCAATCAATGTATCTCGGTTACACGAACGAATTCTTTGACAAAGACTAAGTAAACGAAATTAGATATAGAACAATAGCCAAATAATTTTGTATATTTCTAGGTAGGTGCTTACGTATTTTTGATAAAATATCACAATCTAAATATTTGCTACCAATCTTGTAGACATACAATGTTATTCGACGCCTATGATACAATAATCCAATAATAATATAATACAATAATAAGCTTTTAAATTACTCATGTCACAAATTACTTTCTTTGTCATAAAACTTAAGATAGGCATGGATAAAAAAAATACTGATGATTAGGAAATAAAAATATTGATATAAACTTAAAACGTTTGTTTCTTTTATTTATTTATTTTAATGAGGCACACATTACAAATTATAACCTTGTTAGGTATATTACATACATAGAATATCATGGTTACAAATAAAAAAAAACATGTGTTGCACACACAGCATGATTAACATTTAGAGAAGACAATTTCGATAGGTGATAAATATAATAATTAGTAAACTAGTAAAAATCAAATATATATATATATATATATACATATATATATATATATATATATATATATATATATATATGTATATATATATATATATATATATACATATATATATATATATATATATATATATATATATATATATATATATATATATATATATATATATATATATATATATATATATATATATATATATATATAACATTATATATAATATACATGAAATGAAATTTAAACCATATAACTATCACCACACAAGAAAAACATAAGGCTTTACCTGCTAGCTAATAGGTATCCTTCCCACATACGAGTACGAGTAGTAGGTACATATATATCAAATTTTAGGGCGATTGCTTCAACTGTTAAGAGGCTAGGAGGTAACAAAAAAAAACTCACTTTCATATTTATAATATTAGCAAGGATAGAACTGTACAGATTAGATCTTCCTACTTTACGTTTCGTAGAAATGCAAATGAATAAATATTTATTTATAGCATAGCGATACAGATAGCCAACGTAAATCCCTTAATTTATAATAGATAATACAAGTATGAGTCATATGAGAATATAGTATGAAAGTGTATGAAGCAATATATAGCTATAGAATATTTAAAATTAATATTTAAAATGAAAATAATAAGAAAAAACCCAAAATAGGTTTTGTCAGAAAATTAAATCTCTGAGCAGATGATAGTGATTCCTTGTGATAGTCTATGGGGGAGGCCTATGTTCAGAAGTGAACAGATGATGTCTGATATGATAATGATGATGATAAGGGTGATATTAACATCATTAACATTTTTTTAAAGAGTGTTCTACCATTGAAATTGAATATTTTTCTCAAAGTAATGTGGGTCTAAGAACTACAGAAAATTTTGATATTATGTGAATATTATTAATTATGATTATATATATGTTTAGAGAATTTTAATATTGTAAATTAGATCTACAATAACGGAGGCTAGATTATTTTGGGGTAGAGATGGCACACCGGGCTCCCTCTCACCTAAATATGGCTATTTGCTTGTCATCATGGTATACTTGCGTCGTCTATCAGCGTCTATTAACTGCAGATTAATAGTTTGTCATTATTATCATTTATCATTCATTGTTTCTTAGAAAAAAAAAGCTGATAGGCCCGAAAATTTTTGGGAATAGAAAAAATAAATGCTTATTATCTGTAAGTGTTTTCACATTTTTACCTCCTATTTATGTTTGTGTGCCTGCCAAAACCTAGTAATATCAAAATAAGTAAGTACTAACTAGGTAGGTATGGGGGGAAATGACTCTTCTTTATTCTTTATTGTACACAAAAGGTTATTGAAATGTAAAAACAAACATAATAGTGCACAAAGGCACATAGGTGATTGTTAGTAATGGGGAATTTAGTCCCCATTACTATCAATATACCCTATTAGGTCGACCTCCATGCGGTTCCCCCTGGAAACTATCGTAACTAATTTATCGTTGAATTCGTCACGATGGGCTAACTGACCTGCCTTTTCATCCTTATTTATCTTTTTTCATCCTCACTGGTGCCCTGCCAGCGTATACCGATAGCGCAGGCGGGGTTACCATTTCATTAAAAAAAAAACTAGGTACATATTGTAATTTATTACTATTGTTATATATATATATATATATATATATATATATATATATATATATATATGCATGGGTTTATGTAAGGATACAGGTCTTTGCCACGTGGTTCTTTCTGCCTAGGCGCCAAGGTACTTGGCGTGAAGATAGAGAGGTAGACAGATATATGAATAGTACGAGCATGATAGTAAGTCACGAGGAACTTACTTATCGTTTTGATAAATTCAAATCTTGCGTATGAACATGAATGGAGTGATTGATCGATAATTACATAAAAAGTACCTAAGAGCCAGTGACATTACTGTTGAAAAACGCTTGAGTGCTGCACGGGTAACCCTAAATTAAATCCTAGCCACCTCTAATTTCTCAAATTTACTTGAAAATCGATCGGAGGGCACGTAAAACTACCATCTGGTCAGTTCCGTCAGAGGTTCGTGTTTAACGAAAATGATCTAAAAACTATTGACACTGTATGGCGAAATTTTTACATGAGTAGTAGTAGAAATTAATCTAAGGATTCAACTTTATTTCCGTACGAAATAATGTCACGAATATTATTGCATTACAATGTCAAACAAGTTGATGGCACACCTGATGAAAAGTAGCATCTGTCGTCCAGGGTCATAGTTAGACCCAAGTTTAAGGTAGGACAAAAGAACTTTTTGGTAGGGCAGAAGCCATAATTAAATGACTTTAAAAAAGAGTAAAATAATATTATGCGAAATATTTACAGGTTATACTAACAAATACATGTAGGCAAATACTATTCCGTCGTAATGCTACCTCTAATAACGTCATATCTTTTACGTCTAGTACGATTATTTATCTAAGAAGGTTAATTTGGTTTGCAGATAAAATAACATTATAATGAAATAGTGCAAAAAGTAAAATAATCCACGAAACTGAATATGAAACTGTATAATAAACTTTTGACCAATGAATGTGCAATTCAAAATGTCATATTTTCTCACTATTGATCTTGTCGGTTTAAAAGTTTTAAAATTATTTTGATATTGCGCTTAATGAACTTTGGGAAAAGTGATTAGGATACGTCACTTACCTAGTAAAAAAAGAATAAATATCTCTTAATTGATCTGAACAGAGATCTTTTATAATAATTCAACTAAGGACTTAAACACTTTGTCTAACTGGTTTTTATGTGATGTAAATATTAATTAAAAATGTAATAGGCACACAAGTATCCTTACATAAGTTTTAAAGTTAAGTTAAAATATGAAAGTGTATATTGATAACAACCAATTGTTATGAAATTTGGCACTTTAACATAGTAGTAACTTTAACTACTTACCATTCATTTACAGATGAATCCATGCTTGTTTGCCACTATTATAATATAAAAAATATTTATCTAAATAAATAATTGTATTAAAATAATATTTCAATTTCAGGTATGTTTACCGAGTCTAGTGTATACTTATGGAGTATTACTGGTGAACTTGGCAAATCTCGGGGTTCCAGTATGGCTAGGGCTCTCTACACCCACTATCTCATTATTAACATACAGCTTAACACGTAAGGTTTTTATATTTTTTATGTTTTTTGCTTGCCTTATTTAATAGTAATATGTTTACGCATATACATATATAATAATAATATCTCATCTAAAACACATTTATAAATTTTCATTAAAATCGGTTGAGTGGTTTCGGACATTAGCGTGAACGAATATAGTAACACATGATTTTTAAATATTAAGATTTGAAATAAGAAATTAATATTTATATTAAATAATTAAGTACCTTTTCTACATAAAATTCTCAAAATTTTCATGAAGGTTAAGGTACTTTCAATGATATATATTTGAATTCAATATATTGTTTCAATATATTTAGGTCAATGGTATTCAATTCCCACTCACAAGAAAATGGATTTTATGAATTAAAGTTAAATTAAATGTTGTATCTAGTACTCGTAGATTAAAATTTTCTCTTTAATCTATTTGTATTTATTGAAATTTAATTATTTGCATTTTCAGAATGCTGGTGCAGAGACGCTGCAGATTCATGGGGCGGGACGATTGGGTACAGAGTCTTGGCAATTATGGGGCTAATGTTCGTTGTACTTAGCTTATTATTATGTGCCTTTTTACCATACAACTTCCATCCATACGTTTTCGGAATATTTGGAGGTAAGTAAACCATCTGCCGGTTTATTCAAACAACACAATTTAACTTCATATTTCTATATTTACATATATGTATTTTGCAATTATTTTTGTTGTTTAGTAAAAAAATAAATAAATATGTCTTTCTTTTTAAAATTTAAATTAAGTTTTGCGGTGTATGCTGTACGCAGGGTCGAACAGTATACTAATATTGAGATCGCCAGATTAGATTATATTAGTTACATGGAATAACATTGTAGGGCAAAGCAGCTTACATCTAAAGTATATGAATACATCCAAAGTTTGTGTTACAAACACGTGCAATTCGCGTATCCTATGGGAATTTGTGAACCACTAAAATTAAAGAACCTAATATTTTCAGCATCGCTTTACAATACACATATGGAAACATTTTGTATATATTGAATGACACATTTTATTAAAATTTAAAACTATTATTAAAAAACACTTTTAAACAAAGCCTATTACACACTAGACGATTACTAGAATGATAAATGTGCGTAGTGTTAGTATTAGACATAGTATATTTAAATAAATACACATAATGTTGAGATGTTAAAAAATAATTGTCGAGTTTTTTGCCAGTAGATAACAACTTTCTGAATCTTGCATTCATATAAGTGATCTAGATTATATGAAGTTATTGGGTACCCTTATTCTGATGATCAAAGCTAAAGTGCATATTTATTTAAAGTTATATGAAAAACTTTTAACACCAAATTGAATACGAATGTAGAATAATTAAAAATTGTGTATAATTTGTCTGCAAAGTGTTGAAGCGGTTAGCAGTCGCTTCAAAAAATTTCTTTAGGTAAATGTCCTTCGATATGAATGTGAATTTATTATTTATGATTAGCTGCATCTATGTATGTATTATCCTATATATTAAGTTAGGATATAACCTACCCGTGTACCTTTTATTCAAATCCGTAGTGTTTGCGTGAAAGAGTAACAAACATCTATCTATTCTTCCATCCATACAAGCTTTCGCATTTATAGTATTAATAAAATTTTACTTTGCAACTAATTAACTAGAAGTGCGATTATTTTCAGGTTTTGGATCTTCTTTATTATCAGCTCAAGTTGACGCAGTCATATTTGATACTTACGATACTAACTTTGGAACAATAAGAGGACTATGCTTTGCTGGACAGGCAATCGGACAATCCGTATTTCCACATCTTATAACGTTTCTTATAGATTATTATGGGTATTCATATTCGTTTATAGTTCTGAGTGGAATAATACTTCAGACATTACCGGTTGTGATGCTGTTAAAAATCGATGAAACAATTAAAAAGAGGCCAATCTCATATATTGATAAAACTTATGCCATTTTCAACAACGACATAATCGAAAATGGTTATACAAACGAATTGCAATTGCATGATTTAGGGAAAAAATCTTGGAAAAGTCCTTCCGACGATAATGCACATCAAGAAGCTATAGTTTCCGATCTACATGCTGATATTTCAGAATATGATGATGAAAATAATGCTACTATAACGCCACCTCCTAGCCCGGAGGAAAAGAGAAGAAATATTTTTGGTGTCGAGATACTTCCAGAAATACCAGAGGAAAGTGAAGAGAGTGATGATAATGAGTCAAACATAAATGAAAAAAATAAAAACAAATTAAATAAAAAGCGATTAAGTAGTGCTATAAAAAGACTGAGCGTTTTAGGTGATAGTTTTGATGAATATATATCGAAGCAAGTTAGAAGAGATTCGCAAGCTGACAGAGATAGTATAAGTAGAGAGTATACAGAAATAGAAGTAACTTATGATAATATATCGCCAGTAACAGATATCCAAAGAGAAAAGGTATTCAATTCATTCAATTTCCGATGTCAGGCGGCTTATACTAGTCTTCGAAGAAAAATGCGAGTGCCATCATATAGGATATATAGGTTAAAACGTAGAATAATATACATAACATCCAGTATAAATGATACTTTTATTAAGCCATTAACAAGGTCTCTATCATGTTGGCGTTTTTATCTAGCGCTAATACTGTGTTTTTCTAAATTAAGTATAACAGCAATATCTTTAGTATTGATGCCGGTGGTGGCATCTCAAATGAAACCAAAGATCTCTATGACAGATATCAACATACTTTATTCTCTACATGGTTTCACATGGTTATGCTTTCTATTATGTACGCCATGGTTAACACAAACACCAAAGAGAAACTTTAAATATGTTACAGTACTTGGTCTAATTATTTCATCCGGAGGATGCTTCTGTGAGTATATTGATTTATTTGGTTCTATTATTTATTTAATAAGGTTTACCTACAACATTTTACATACTACTTAATCAATAATTATATGAATGAATGAATGAGTATACTTTATTTGCATTATACAATATAGGAAATAAACAAGACAATTTACAAACATAACGATACAATTGTATAAGTACAGTAAGGCGGTCTTATTGCTGAGAGCAATCTTTTCAAGACAACCTTAAGTAACCTTATTATATGTTGATTATATTAATATGTAGATGTTATGTCAATTAAATTATATAAATCCATTAGGATTTATTTATAAACTATTGAATCATTAATTAAAAATATTATATTATATTATTCTTTGCAGTGTTAGCAAGAGCCAAAACCTACGATTTGCTATCAATTGGATGCGTGATCGGTGGGTTTGGATTTGGTGCCATTAGTTCCTGTTGGGAAACTGCTGTTCAAGATTTTGTAGGGATGCGTAAATGGCCGAAAGTAAACAGTACGATGGAAACCTGTTCTGGCATCCTATTATTTGTCTTTTACTTAGGTATATTGTTTTTGGTTGATGAAGAAGATGGACTCCAGTGTGCATTATTAATTTTAAGTGCAGTTTTAACTGGAGTAACCTTTATGTGGACAATATTAGCTGTAGTGTCATTATATCTTACTAAAGTGCGATCTCTAAGGCCCGGAAGACGATGTATGTTTTAATAAAATTATTATAAATTATTTAGTGTTTTTGAATTTTTTGATTTTTATAATATTAAGTATGAGCATTAATTCGAGGATTTATCCGATGAAAAGCAGTATATGCTATTAATAGAATGATAATACCATGAATATCACAGTATACAATGTGTCGTTCATAACAGGACAAAGATTTCATGCGTCTTTGCTCTTAAGAACTAAGGCTTTTGTATGACTTGTTGTGTATTCCGCATCAAGTTTATCAAAATTTCAAACAATTATAATCACAGCATATATATACTGCTTTATTAGTTAATTGTTTCTGTTTACTATATTTTTTAATTTTGTCTATATCTCTAGAGCTCTTGATTAGGGTTCCATGAATTCGCATGTAGCTAAGAGGGTTGCAACTTTACAATTCGTTTTCGAACTACTGAAGTGGGTAGACACTACTTTAAAGATTTCTTTAGGTAAATGTCCTTCGATAATAATGTGACTTTATGTATATTATTAATGACTAGCTACATATCGCGGTTTTACCCGTGTATATCATTAAGTACATAAAGTATCCTATGTGCTAAGTTAGGATATAACCTACCCGTGTACCAAATTTCATTCAAATCCTTACTTTCAGCATGTAACTAAGAGGACTGCGAAAAATATGGCGAATTACATACAAACATCACAGTAATCCGTAAATTGATAGTCATAAACTTATAACGGTGCTTTAAACCATAACGAAGATTAAGTAATTCGTTTGTTTATAAAATGATTACTGGAAAATTTTAACTTTGTAATAATAGATGTTAACCATCTGAATGAAGTAAAATAATTTACCTATAGATGTAACTTTTTCTTTTATATTCTTTAAACAAAAATGTATAGTTATTTTAAATTTTGTGATTTAGTTTATGAAAGATGCAGAGTATAAATCAATTAGAGTACATGATCCGGGCTTGATTGGAATAATATAGGAAAGTAATGGCTCGGAATTGAAAAAATCGTGAAAAATTTTCGGAAACAATTAGTACGTGTTTCGTTTAAACAAAAGAAAAAAAGTTAGGGAAGATTTGTAAGGACGAAATTGCGGAAGCAGTAAATATTTTTTATACTTTTAATAATGATAATAGTCTTTTAATACTAGACCCACACAGTTACTAGAAATGTAGAAAATAGAATTCAAATTCAATTAATCTTATAAGATTGATTGTCCTGATTGACTACCAATACAGAGCTAAAACCACTAAGTCTAAGCTCGAAGATAAAATTTAGAAATAGGATTAAATTTTAACAAAAGGATGTATAGATAGAAATATACTTTTTATTGTTTCCTCTATAAGATTACAGTAGTAAATTTATTAAAACTAGCTACAAACAATTACAAGAAATGTTCACACTGAGAAAACATAAAAAAGATTTTTGAAAATTACTACTTAAAGGGGAAACACGACACCACAAATCCAATACCGCGGTAATAGTTAATAAATAATTAAATTAAATAAGTACAGACAATATACTAATTTGAAGGAAAATGGAAAAATATTTACAGCTAATTATTCGGAGTAATAGACCCACAGGAAATAATTACGACAACTTTATTTGTTTAATGCCAAACTATATGACTCGTATGAAATATTAAGTCTAATGCAAACAAAAATATTACGCGCTTATATCCACAAATGGTTTGCGTAGGAAATAAGGTTTTCATTACAATGAAAATAGTACAAGATAAACGACGGAACTGCAGCAAAGTGTGTGATATGTAAGATACGACAAAAAAGGAAATTTTAACGAAATGAACGACCTATACGGATTATTGTCCCTGGTGAGTGGTGACTTTTATTATCAAAATTTTATTAATAGTTGAAACAAATTTACTTCTGTTGGTGTAAACGAGTAATGAAATGATACCAGCAATATTTTTGTGTTTATAGGACGATTTTTTTGACGATGTGGTATATAATATTTACGAGTTAGTACATTTTTTTATTACTTTCTAGAAGTAGTCGCTTGACAGTCAATGATATGAGTACTCGTATGATGAGAGATACCGAAGTTCAACATACGAAAAGCTTCTTATTAAAATTTTGTGCTTCTTTTTTAATTATAAAAATATAATCAACACTTTAATAAATATATGTATATACATAACATGATTTACTATATGTATTTCGTGGCTTTATCTGCGTGAATTAGTATATAAAGTACTCTATGCGTTACTTAATTTAGAATATGGTTTATGTACTATATATTTGTATAATATAATTATTTATTTATTGTTACATAAACAGTCTTACATATAATTTATTTGAATATATTCAAACAGTACTCAATATCATGTTAGAGAACATGAACATATTTTTTTATATATATATTTAAGTAGCTATATATTACATTTCAGATGCTAGCAAGCTTTCCGCTACTGACATCAGCGGACGTCGACTGCGGTGACAAGCCTTTTCACTGCATTAATTCGACACACTTCAATGTGTGTGTAGATTTAGGAACAGGCACATTGAGGACGATTGACAGTGTTACAATTCAGTGTCCAGATGGAACCGTTTGTTTAGAAACAAATTTTTATGAATGTGAATTTCCAGTGACTTCAACACCAGTGTTAAAGACTAGTGAAGTGACAAAAGTTATTGATATGTTTGGAGCTATTTCAACGGACAAAATAAATATAAGTTCTTCTAAACATGAAAATAGTGATTCAACTTATAATACTGTGGCTACAACAACTTTATCAGAAGTTGAAAGGATAAAAGATGGGAGAGCAGCGTCGGAAATTACACCTCAAGGTGATTATACCACTACACCTTATTTAATTGCAAACAAAAGTTTACCGGTCAGTAATGAAGCGAATCTTAAACCATTTGTTAATAAAGCTAAACAAAATATAACTGAAGGTAATATACCGAAATTGCCAAGTGACGATATATACAGTACAACTATTGTATCTAATATGTTATCCGAAGAATTTTCTACAAAGTATAATCAAAATATAACACCATTAGAAGAAAATATAATCGATGATACAATCAACGAAAATTCAAATGATAATGTACTAACAGGAATTGATACTACGGTAACATACATGCCAAAAGTACAAAATAATAATTATTTAACAGATAATTACTTAAATTTGTTTAAAAATGAATTTACTGTATTTAATAACTCAATTCTTTCTAATGCTCCGCCAACGGAGTATTTGATAAGCAATAATACGTTTAATATAGATGAATTGCATGATAAATTAATTAGTTCATTTGAGACAGAAAGTACAGACATTTCCCTGGATATGATTGCAGATTTCATAGATGATGGTATTTTAAAAAATACAGGCTTTTCCAGAGACGTAAAAGGAGATAATGATATTTTAATTTCAACTGCCAATAAAGTCATAGTTGAAATAGAATCTTTAAACACTCAGCCAGTACAAATCTCATCTACATATTTGTCATCTACGGCAGATTATATAACTGAAAATATACCGGAATTTAAACAAAGCTTAACAGGTATCAGTTCTGAAACACACACTTTATCGATAATTTCCCACGATATAACTACAGAATCCATAGACGATATCATTTTAACTTCAACCATCGATAAAATAGATTCGTCAACCACAAAACCGTCTGCACAAACCCTAACTACATACAAACCATCTACAGTAGATTTTACAACTGAAAATATACCGGAAATTAAACAAAGCTCAACAGGTTTCAGTTCTGAAACTCTCACTTCATCGATAATGTCCCATGATATAACTACAGAATCCATAGATGATATCATTTTAACTTCAACTATCGATAAAATAGATTCGTTAACCACAAAGTCGTCTGCACAAACACTAACTACATATTTACCATCTACAGTAGATTTTATAACTGAAAGTATACCGGAAAATAAACAAAGCTCAACAGGTTTCAGTTCTGAAACTCTCACTTCATCGATAATTGCCCATGATTTAACTACAGAATCCATAGATGATATCATTTTAACTTCAACTATCGATAAAATAGATTCGTTAACCACAAAGTCATCTGCACAAACACTAACTACATATTTACCATCTACAGCAGATTTTACAACTGAAAGTATACCGGAAATTAAACAAAGCTCAACAGGTTTCAGTTCTGAAACTCTCACTTCATCGATAATGTCCCATGATATAACTACAGAATCCATAGATGATATAATTTTAACTTCAACTATCGATAAAATAGATTCGTCAACCACAAAGCCGTCTGCACAAACGCTAACTACATACATACCATCTACAGTGGATTTTACAATTGAAAGTATACCGGAAATTAAACAAAGCTCAACAGGTTTTAGTTCTGAAACACTCACTCCATCGATAATTTCCCATGATATAACTACAGAATCCATAGATGATATAATTTTAACTTCAACTATCGATAAAATAGATTCGTCAACTACAAAGCCGTCTGCACAAATGCTAACTACATACATACCATCTACAATGGATTTTACAACTGAAAGTATACCGGAAAATAAACAAAGATTAACAGATTTCAGTTCTGAAACACTAACTTCATCGAAAATGTCCCATGATATAACTACAGAATCCATAGATGATATCATTTTAACTTCAACCATCGATAAAATAGATTCGTCAACCACAAAACCGTCTGCACAAACCCTAACTACATACAAACCATCTACAGTAGATTTTACAACTGAAAGTATACCAAAAATTAAACAAATCTCGACAATTTTAAGTTCTGAAACACTCACTACATCCATAAATTCCCATGATATAATGGCAGAATCCATAGACGATATCATTTTGACTTCAACCATCGATAAATTAGATTCGTCAACCACAAAGTCATCTGCACAAACGCTAACTACATATTTACCATCTACAGCAGATTTTACAACTGAAAGTATACCGGAAATCAAACAAAGCTCAACAGGTTTCAGTTCTGAAACTCTCACTTCATTGATAATTTCCCATGATATGACTACAGAATCCATAGATGATATCATTTTAACTTCAACTATCGATAAAATAGATTCGTCAACTACAAAGCCGTCTGCACAAACCCTAACTACATACTTACCATCTACAGCAGATTTTACAACTGAAAGTATACCGGAAAATAAACAAAGCTCAACAGGTTTTAGTTCTGAAACTCTCACTTCATCGATAATTTCCCATGATGTAACTACCAAATCCATAGATGATATCATTTTAACTTCAACTATCGATAAAATAGATTCGTCAACCACAAAGTCGTCTGCACAAACACTAACTACATATTTACCATCTACAGCAGATTTTCCAACTGAAAGTATACCGGAAATTAAACAAAGCTCAACAGGTTTCAGTTCTGAAACTCTCACTTCATCGATAATTTCCCATGATATAACTACAGAATCCATAGATGATATCATTTTAACTTCAACTATCGATAAAATAGATTCGTCAACCACAAAGCCGTCTGCACAAACGCTAACTACATACATACCATCTACAGTGGATTTTACAATTGAAAGTATACCGGAAATTAAACAAAGATTAACAGATTTCAGTTCTGAAACACTCACTTCATCAATAATTTCCCATGATATAACTACAGAATCCATAGACGATATCATTTTGACTTCAGCTATCGATAAAATAGATTCGTCAACCACAAAACCGTCTGCACAAACCCTAACTACATACAAACCAACTACAGTAAATTTTACAACTGAAAGTATACCGGAGATTAAACAAATCTCAACAATTTTAAGTTCTGAAACACTCACTACATCCATAAATTCCCATGATATAACTGCAGAATCCATAGACGATATCATTTTGACTTCAATCATCGATAAAATAGATTCGTCAACCACGAAGCCGTCTGCACAAACCCTAACTACATACATACCATCTACAGCAGATTTTACAACTGAAAGTATACCGAAAATCAAACAAAGCTCAACAGGTTTCAGTTCTGAAACTCTCACTTCATCGATAATTTCCCATGATATAACTACAGAATCCATAGATGATATCATTTTAACTTCAACTATCGATAAAATAGATTCGTCAACCACAAAGCCGTCTGCACAAACGCTAACTACATACATACCATCTACAGTGGATTTTACAACTGAAAGGATACCGGAAATTATACAAAGCTCAACAGGTATTAGTTCTGAAACACTCACTTCATCGATAATTTCCCATGATATAACTACAGAATCCATAGATGATATCATTTTAACTTCAACTATCGATAAAATAGATTCGTCAACCACAAAGCCGTCTGCACAAACCCTAACTACATACATACCATCTACAGCAGATTTTACAACTGAAAGTATACCGGAAATTAAACAAAGCTCAACAGGTTTCAGTTCTGAAACTCTCACTTCATTGATAATTTCCCATGATATAACTACAGAATCCATAGATGATATCATTTTAACTTCAACTACCGATAAAATAGATTCGTCAACTACAAAGCCGTCTGCACAAATGCTAACTACATACATACCATCTACAATGGATTTTACAACTGAAAGTATACCGGAAAATAAACAAAGATCAACAGGTTTCAGTTCTGAAACTCTCACTTCATCGATAATTGCCCATGATTTAACTACAGAATCCATAGATGATATCATTTTAACTTCAACTATCGATAAAATAGATTCGTCAACCACAAAGTCGTCTGCACAAACATTAACTACATATTTACCATCTACAGTAAATTTTACAACTGAAAGTATACCGGAAATTAAACAAATCTCAACAATTTTAAGTTCTGAAACACTCACTACATCCATAAATTCCTATGGTATAACTGCAGAATCCATAGACGATATCATATTGACTTCAACCATCGATAAAATAGATTCGTCAACCACGAAGCCGTCTGCACAAACCATAACTACAGACTTTGCATTTTTAGTAGATTATGATACATCAGCAATTATCCGGGAAATAACTACAGGATCTATAAATGATAATATATTAACTTCTAATATCGATGAATTAGATCCGCTAATCACAGAACCTTTTGCACAAACCCCACCTGCCCACTTAACATCCAGAAAAGATATAATAATTGAAAATATATCGGAAATTTCAGAAAGCTTAATGTCACCAGCTTTCGAAACTCGTGATATATCAAAAATTTCCCGATATACAACTGCAGAATTTATAGAAGATATTACATTAACTCCAACTATTGACAAAGTAGTTGGTGAAATTGATTCGTCAACCACGGAGTCGACTGCACAAATTCTAATTACAGACTTATCGTCTACAGTAGACTTTATAACTGAAAGTATAGCAGAAGATACACAAAGCTTGTCACTGTCAACTTTAAAATCTAATATATCCAATAATATAGACAGTTCTTCAGAAATTTTAAATACAATAAAAAATAAAAGTAAATCACCATTTGTTGAATTCGAAGAACCTTCTTCAACTGGTAATATAGGTACATTTGATATAACATATAATAATTCAGAATCTATGTTAAAAACAGAAGGTAAGACGAAAAGTCTACCTGATATTCTAACAGATATAACACGTAATAGTTCTACCACATCAACTAGTCACAGTAATGAGTCAAGTGTTTTAAAAAATAATTCAAAACAGGGCGGAATAATTTCATTGAAGACGTACAGTACAGAAAATTCAAGAGAAAATACTTTGGATATTAATAATAAACAAAATACTACAACTTCTTATATATTAAAGAAAGATAAATCTGTACATGAAAGGTTGCAGTTTACGAGTCCTTTGCCACACATAGAAACCACTACATTGGATATACCAATACTTACGACGAATATAGGCTATCCTACAACTTCATTAAATAATTTATTACAGCAAAATATAAACGCGACACAATATAATATCCAACAAAGTAATATAAGTACTTTTATTACAGATCCTAATGAATCAAGATTTTTTAATTCATCAGAAATAGATTTTAAAAATGAAATAAAATTAGAAAACTTTACTGAAAATTTACAAATTACTACAGAAAATCGTTTACAAGTTATAACAAATAAGAGTAACATAACAAATAATAAAGAAACTAACATACTATCTCAGCCTTTAATCACAATTGATAATCGAAAATCTCAACACAATTCTCAATATGACGGATTATCAAATTTAAATCAACACAACTTTACTCAGTTAGTAAAACCAAATATGACAGAAAAACCAATAACAAGTGTATATTCAGTACTAAAATCGAATTTTAGTTGCCGTAATCGCAAAAATGGAAAATATGGAGATAATAATGATTGTAGCACATTTTATATTTGCATTGGAAGACAAAATCCTATCAAGAGAAAATGCCCAGTAAACACAGTGTTTAGTGAAATTAGAAAGCAGTGTACAAATAATTTGTCACATTGTATTAGAAATAATACATTTCGTTGTTTATCTGAAGGACGATTCTCTGATATATTTAAAGATAAATTTTATTATATATGTATAAAAAATAATAGTAGTTTCATCAGATACAAGTTTCAGTGTGCAGATGGTTTTCATTTAAATAAAACATCTGTAAAATGTATTAAAGATATAGAAATTTCACAGTCTGAAGATAGCTTAAGTAAAAATAGCAGTGAAAAGAGTATATTTGAAGCAAATTCTTCGGAGAAGTCTGATAATTACCACAGTAATAAGTTTGAGTGCAAGGAAGCAGGCAAATTTGCAGATCCTACCAATTGCAGAAAATATTATGAGTGTATAAAAAAGAAATCTCGATTTCGTAGGAAATCTAAAAAGTGTAAAAAGAACAAAGTTTTTGATAGAGATAAGAAAACATGTGTAGATAATGAAAGTTACGAATGCTAATTGGCAATGTTAATTTAAATTAGGTAGTTAATTTCTAGCGACAAGGTATAACAATTACTTATAAGGTAGTAATAATTACCCAGAATGTTATATGAATGTTGGTACCTGATATCTATTGAAACTCGTTTGATGTACGAGTATAATAGCTATTTAATTTTGTTTATTTTTAGTAATAATCTAAAGTGTAATATTTATTTGCATTTATATTATTTAAAATTTATATAATTTCAACTTTTAACCTTTCAAAATAATCTGTTTCAATGAAACATATTGATAAGATAACAAGGTTTAGTTAAAATTATTAAAGGAAGAACAGGAATTTAATAAATAATCGAAACATTAGATTTTTTATTATAAACAGTTATATATACTATTGAATATAAACAGTTTTATGCTCGGGTTAATTTTTCATTTGCTTACATGTTCATTAGATTTTTTTGGAACAGATTATGACACTATCATAGGTATTAATCTAACTGATGTAAGTGTTTAGAAAATATACCTACTGTATATAAATAATAAAAGTACAGAAATATTTTTTATGCAAATAAAAAATATTAAAAATATACATTACGTGTGTTTTATTTACTTATTTATTAACAAAATTTGTTGCCATTCTTGAGGACTTAAGTGTTATTCTTCTGTACCCTGTAAATTCACTGTCATATTCCACACTTCATGCCGAAATACAGCCATGCAAACATAACTGCTTCACGGTAAAAACACGAATTTTGTAAAATGTCTTCTGATTCCAAAATAAAAATATTTAGATGATGTATTTATTAAAAATGCGGTATTTACTTGCCTAACAAAACTCTACAAATTTTTCCATGCTTGTTCTGTTTATACTTCGTAATTTGGTTTCATCCATGGCTGATAAAACAGTTAATTAATCTCATTTTATTACAATTTTAAAAATAATGTTTGTTATATTGAAATATTTATTTTACCTTACTAATATTTTAGTTTAAATATGTTATGTATTTTATATATTTATTTATGTAATATATATTATTATAAGCACTAGATGTAATGTATACATGTGATTATTTGCATATGTTTTATTAACATGAGCGTTTTTTGTTAGATATACTTTTTGTGCCAAATAGTTAGTTTTTTTCTTTTCTCCTCTACCAAAAGGTTGCTTTAGCGGTAAGGACCGTCTTTTGTATTTTATAAGTGTAATATGTACATATTTATTATTCTATTATTTTTTATGTGGTATTATTATATCATTGTTTAAAAGAGTAAACAAATAATAAAATAACGAGACGAACTTTGTATATGGGAAATATTATAGATAAGGAAAATAGAAGTCAAAACAATCATTTTTAGAATTTTTGCCTGTCTGTATGTTTATTTCGGCATTACGGAAAAACTATTACACTATGTTGGATGGTTTTCACAATTGTATTCCTGAAGATCTAACTTAAAATCTAGAGCCTTAAGGGGTGCCTTTTATTAGTTTTTCTACTTCTGTAATCCACGCGTACGAATTTGGGGGCAAAAAGTTACTTTATTATAAAATTCGTGGTTTGCGATATGCTGCTCCAGCATTATTGACAGATTGGTCTCCGTCATCCCTTTCCAATGTGATACAGAATTTACTGGAGAACACTGTACAACGGACAGAGGTCTCTCCCCATATCGGCCGTGGCGGGCAAAAGTATGTCGCACGGACAGGTCCATTGTCATCAGTTACACTAAATTTGTAGTTTTTACATTCTATAGAGCGATGCGGAGATGTCTGAGGATGTAATCTTGTATCTGTATTAGAGTCGACCCTTTTATTTTCATTACCGAATAATTCTATTGACGGTTTAGTTGCATTAGTCACCGGACATTTGTATTTCTCTGGAGCAGTGCACGTTCGAGTGTAGCCATTGAAGATGGTGTTGCCACCACATTTGAATTTAATACCTTGAAATCGATTTTTGTTCGGGATACATAAAATATAACCTTTGCAATCCGGAACAGTGGGATCAATTATCCGCTCGTTCTTGTGACAATAGATAGTCTTGCTTATGGCGGGCTCTACGTAATTAACAGCGTTTTGACAGACATCACTCGAGTCCTCATTGCAGTGAGTGTTAGGTGGACAAATGAATGCTGGACCTAATAAGTTAATGCCTTCGCAAATTCTCAATCTGTGTGCTCCTTCACATATAAAACCGTATGGTCCACAGTCAAATTTTTTTGTATTGAACGCGGTCACTGTGTCTCTAGCGCATAGTAGTGTCTGAAAGAAATGTCAACGATTAGATAAAACAACTAAATACTTAATTATATTTGAATGTATGTATGTGTAGTTTGGTGTAAATCTCATTTGATATGTTGCAGTAGAACCAGGTCAAATTGTTAAAGATAACATTCATTAAACATATGTCTAGGCTAGGCAAATGTTTATGTAGGTATACGGTAATGATTCATAAACATTTCGGTGCAACATTATGTAATAGATACATTGCAATGGGCTACAAAATAAATATATTTGAATATAATATTAGTTTATTGCCTTTATAGGCGTGGATGTTAGAAGTAGGAAAATCAATGGAATACAACTATGGTAAATTGCATCCTATTTCGGGCGGTAGTTTTTGCATGATATCGGAACAAACAAAATGACAGACAATTTTTTTAATATTATTTTTTTGATTTCTATTGCTCTTATTAAGAGTCTTCATATTAATTTTTCTTAAATATCTCCTTTGTATACACATTTTCAAGTTGCAGTTTGATTATATTATTAAGATTATTTATATATTTAATAATTACATAGAGACAAGTTTCTTGAATATTTTAGCGCAGTGCTGTTATTTCGGTTAGATAAGATTCAGATTCTGTATTTACATGTAAACAAGTTATATTTATCTAGTCAGTTGACTGTGATGATGTATGATATATACCTTTCAAATGAAATGATTTACATGAAAATAAATTTATTTATAAAATTTAATTCATTGGAGCTATTAATGTATAGGACACATAGACTAGGTTTTTGCTCGGCAAAAAAGCACAGATTTCAATAGTGCCAAAATTAATATGAAATTAAAATGGGAATTATTATCATGGATAGCAAAAAGAAATAACAAAATCGGTTCAGGATTGGTCAAGATATTGCATAACATAATTGTTTGTATCTATAATAAATTTACTATTGTAATCTTTTGGAGAAAATAATAAAGACTATCTATCGATCTAATATAAAGAAGTACAGGCAACTTTAGATAATATTTTTTTAATCATTCAGAAATAAGTGCTACACCATCACATTAATTGCCTACATGATCCTCAAACATAATAGGTATGTGTATTATCACATGTATGTATGATCACCCGGACCCTCCAACTCAATTTAAAAAAGTTAATTTCATAAACTGATACGATCGAGATAGAATCTGGATATTACACATCGAGAAACTTGGGAAACCTCTTCGGGAAGCCACTGAGTTACTGTACCAATAACGTCGAAATTACAAATTTTTATACTTTCAATTTGACACAAGGATATTTATATAAGGTAATTATTATCAAGATAATGTTAGTCCTGATAGTAAAAAATTACAAGATACAATTATTACTTACTGTGAGACAAGCAGTTAGAAGCACTTTGAAGGACATTTTTTACTCAGTCAAGGTTAACACGAAGGCGACTGGAGAGCAACTAACGGACGTATAGTACTTTCTTAAAAATTCACTTCACGACCAATTATCATTTTTAACACTTCGCGAGTACATTTGGAGAAATGAGTTCGTGTCACTGGCGCAATGTGTCACCGAGTATTGTGACTTCGACATTTTAACGACCCTTATTTCTTTCGACATATGAATAGGTATGGTAATACGGTTATTTATGATGACAAAGTTTACTGTATGTAAAAGAAGATTTACGATACACAAGGATGTACGAAGTTGTAAATTTGTCTACTGTTTTTAAAGTCAAGCACTTGCGTTTAGTTTCAGTTTGTAGTGAAATATGGCAGTGAAATTACGGAGTATGGAGGCAGAATAAAAAAGAACCGCATGGGGCGTGCTTTGAGCGTTTCTGTATATACTGTGATGTCTGCAGATAGCATTTATTAACTAACTATAGATAGGTTGCTTGTTCGTTTGCCATTAAAAGTATTACGTGTATTATATTAATGTTGAATACAAGTTAATTGGATACTTGGTAGAATGTAGTAGCCGTTGTCTATAAGTGATTAAAACAAGTGGTTAGCATGTACAGGTAACATTATTTATATCTTTCTCGAAGTAACAATGTATCTATGTATGACAGTGATCGCAATATATAATCTTATATCCAAAATATTAGATCTATTGTTAAATTAATTTAAAATTGTTATTAAGAAACACTTATTGAACAAAGCTTGTTACAAACTATGCAAACTAAACGATTACTTGAATGATAAACGTGTATAGGTTAGTTGATCATGAACGGGCTTTTTAATAACCATGTAATTTTAGACATAGTACATTTAAATAAATACAAATGTTAATAGAAATTTTAAATCGTAAGTATTGAGTTTCTTGTGGCTTCTTTTCAATGTATCACAAAATTTTGAGTTTGCAATAGATAAATCGAAAATGACAATTTAAAAATATTTGTAAACAAGTCTATTTGAAAAAAGCTAGTCTGAATTTGTTGCCGTCTGAAGGGCAAAATAAAGAGGTAAAATTTTGGCATTAGAGAAATATTATTTCAGTTAAAGACTAAGATGATTTTCCTTAATGATGAGACGATTTTGCTTTGTAAAGATAACTGAAATAAACAGTAACGATTGTGTCACATAATAAAACAAGGTGTATACGATATATCTAATCTTATTTTATTATTTCTGATAACATTTACAGTTAGTTATATTACATATATAATATATAAATAGTTTGTTTACTCGTCCTCCGAAGATGATTCACTGTCACTCTCCGAGCTCGTCGACGTATCGAGGTCTTGGGCTGGGGCACCGGTTTTAGCTCTGTAGGTACATAAATGTTACTTTAGCAATTGTTTTTACGGAAAGTCAAAATCTCTATAAATGCAAATTTTAGGTTCAGACTGTATTCTAAATACTATAGCTTGATGAATTTTTGATATTATTAGAATTACTCTTAAAATAAAATCATAATTTGTAAAATAAATACCCGACCGGTCATGCTGTTTAGGGCATTTTCAAAAGTTATCTTATACTAGTTTTTTCTTGTGCAATTAATTGAAGGATGGCTGGAAACCGGTCAAGTATTTATTATAAAAACCTTTTTTTGTGGAAGAGTAGGTACAAGTGTTTTCTAATAATATCAATATATATACGATGTCCCATCAAGTGTCGATAATTACGAATATTAACGGGTATTTAAATAATTTTTCATTTACTTCATAATAATGGACTAATTTTCGGAATTTTTTATAGGTAAGAAAATAGAATAATAAAATAAAACATAAAATAATAATAATAATAAAGAGCAAAATAAAAGAATAACTCATTTGAAAAGTTGTAAAAACTATCATGTTGTGACTTAAGAACAAACGAAGTCAGACAGAAAACAAGAAGAAATTATAATACAAAACCTATGTAATCAACTTACAAGTGGTACGCGTCAGCGATCGCTAAAGCAGAAGGATGCAGGGAGTCGAGGCCCTGTCTCTCTTGCAGCAACTGCTTGACTTCCTCCTGGGGCCGGTTCAGCATTACGCCGAGCACTTGTGTGCTGGCCGATATTGCTTCCTCGAATCCACACTCCGCGAGGTAGGTCACAGCCACCTGAGAACCAGCAGGTGTGGTTTAGTAGTTGCCTACTATAATGGACTAATATTTTTTATGGGATTGAAATGGACTGGTAACTCCGTCTGCGCCATCGCTAGCGAGGTATCAATGAGGTGAGGATGAAGTTAGGTCACTAGGAATTAACTACGATGGTTTCCGTGCGAAGGTCGACTTGATAAATCATATTGCTAGCAATGGGAGGAGTATAGTTAGTTTGTTACGTACAATTCTCTCCGCACCCCTCTACTACTATAAGGTGATGATATTTGTTTCTATAATTTTTAAAAGACCTTTTAAAAAGATAAGGTACAGTCAGCATAAACAATCCTAATGGAATTTCGAGGTTTTGGAAATCCGGACATGTAAATGATGCTGACTGTACCATTAGCAAGATACTCACGGCAGCAATTCCCGCTTTTCCAACAGTGGCTGCTTTCTGTGCCACGTCAGCCAGCACCTGTGGTTTGTTCGGTACACCAACGGCTTCAGACCGTCTTAGTTTCTGCAATGCTTCCGATACGGTGTCCCAGTTGGGGTCTGACTTGTCTTGTGTGTCCGAGCATAATTCGATAATGTTTGATAGCGTCGTGGCTGATAATCTGTTTGTAAATAAGTGAATAAAAATAAATATTTTTTATTATTATCATCGCAGGGCTCATCGTAAGGATTTAAATAATTCTTAATGAGACTTATATTCTTAATGACAATTATATTTAACTTTATTTTATTCAGGTGGGCCGTCAGCTTGTTTGCCATTCTAAGTAGCATAAAAAAATATATATATTATGTTCTAGTTGAAACTAGGCTTGGTTCACTTGAATTGAGTTTATTTTCTAAGACATGCATTGGTTAAAATAATAATTTTATTTAAATTCGTTCAGTCGTTTAAGAATGTACCACATACCGAAGTTTATCAAAGTGAAGGAACAAGGAATTTTCTACCAATTGATAGAAAATATGAATGTACTTTTGAACTTCCATTGGATATTCCCACTTACTTCTGCGTGGGTGATCTGAGGTCCTTAGTTTCTTCTTTGTCTTCAGCTAGCTGGCTGTATCGCAGTACATCAGCAGCTGCCGCTCTCATTTTTTCTTTGACTTCGTTCTCTATAAAATGTTACGTATATACTGAAAAGTTTAAGTATTTCATAACGACCTAGGTGATATAGTAATTTAACTGTCTCTTCACACGATTGTTTTGAGTTCGATCTCCGCACAATACAAACGTGTATGTCTGTTTGTATTGATTTGTGCGTTCTCTAAGTATGTAAGTATTACGTATGTAAATGTATCACAAGTCTAGCTCGCACAGTACAAGCTCTGTTTGAGTTTGGGATGTATCTAGATTACCACTCACACAAATAAACAAATAATACATATCTGTCAAATAATAATAACACAAATAATATCAAATATTACTTTTAATATTCTTTATTTATTAATTTATTTATGAAAAATTTACAGGTAATAAATATACAAATAAAATGATAGAACAATTTTTAGTAAAACTGAGGGAGATGTGTTACAATTTGCGTACATCAAAATAAATAAGAATATGAATTTAGGCATATAATAAGAAAAATACCTACTCATGTTATCTGAAATTATATTTGCCTTAATTTATAATGTTATGGAATTTAAAGAAGAAATTAAATATATAAATATATGTATATTGCTATTATTGTTTGATGATATAATCTAGAATTTTCTAAAACTGACCTTGGTACTGGTAGCAACTGCACATGGCACTAAGCAATCTCTCAACGAGTTTGGCGCGCTTTGCGATCCCGAACACGACGAGTTGCGACCACACCTGTGCCAGCCGGTCGCCCGCGCCACCCACCTCCAGGGTCTTAATTATCTGGTAACAACAACCAACATGATATATATATATATATATATATATATATATATATATATATATATATATATATATACACCGTATATGTCCTGGCATAAAATGTGTCACACCTTCCATTCCCTTGGGTGTCGCAAGAGGCGAATAAGGAAGGGCGAGGGATGGGCAGCAGCATCCCTCTTAAAACACCTTTAAAAGCCTAACTGCGGTTGCCAACCAGCCTGCCAAGCGTGGTAACTACTAACAAAACTTACCTTACAGGGAAGGCTTATGTTTAGCAGTGAACAGTTAACGGCTGAACATAAAAGTGATCTATATAGTTATATAGTTTAAGTAAGTTGACAATAGACTGGCCAAGTTTGAAGTGTTTTTTTTAGGTCTACAAAAACGTTTGCAATAGTATATGTCTATCTTTCAAGGATAGATTACTATACCCATGTAATTCTTACTAGACGCAACAAGTTAATGCAAAAAATGTGAGTATACATGCTCTACTACCCATACAAAGACGAGTCGGGCCGTTAGTTAGTATAATATATATTTTAATTAGTAAACAATCACAAACAAAAATATAGATGATAGTAATAGGAATAAACACATTACCTCTTCCATCACTGTAGGCTCTGGGACATACACATTGGGAACTAACATATCCAACAGCTGGGTAGTCCTCTCGAAGGGCGCGTGTCTATGACAAAATAAAACATAATAATCGTCTGCACAAATAAATTGATGAAACTTCGGCTATAGACATATAAAGGATACTGGGAAATATCTCAATGATGAATTCAATACTTCGAAACTTGAATAAAATAAAATTACCTACACATCTCTTGAATAAGTTTCATGACATGAGTTTAACTTAAGATTATAAAATATTTTCACATACAAATGTATATAAGAATTGTACTATACAAATAAATCATTTTGACAATTTTTTTTATACAACTTAGAATGGCAAACAAGCTGATGGCCCACCTGATGGAAAGTGGTAGCCGTCGCCTATAGACATGAGCAGTACCATGGACATAACAGAGTATACTGTTTCTCCCATGATACCCCCATGCGTTGCCATTCCTGAGGACTCGGGTGCTATTCCTCTGTACCCAGTAAATTCACGCCATATCCCACCCTTTAAACCGAAACACAGCCATGCAAACACAGCTGCTTCACGGTTGAAACACGAATGGGATAGAGGTACCCAAGCAATCGACTTTTGTACAAAGTCTCGCTCTGGTATAATATAAATATGTAGTTCTATTGGGTGAAATTAATCTTCATTCTTTATTTTTGTGGCATTCTATCAGTAATTAATACTTAACACCTATTATTTTCTTATTTTTTAATAAGCTATTATTTTTTGTCTTTATTAGTTCATAATTTCTATCAGACATTCAAAGGTCGCTTGAAAGAAATCCGCTAAATCCGTCATTGTAGAATTTTTTTTTAAGAAGTGTTACAAACAAACAAACGTTTAGACGAAATATCTTCCCATTCTTATTTCTATTATTTATTTGGGATCAGCGTAATGTTTTTTTACCTTTCTACTATATTCGCAGTCATTTCCGAATTTCCTCCCATCACTTTTACATATTTCATTCAAATCTTTTTAAAGGAGGAGTATATATATATATATATATATATATATATATATATATATATATATATATATATATATATATATATATATATATATATATATATATATATATATATATATATTAACTAAAACTTTAATAATGATAAATAAAGTGTGATCAATATAATTTATACATACCTGCAGGCTACTGTAACGAAATGTCTATAGTAAATGCTTTCTTTGTACGCATCACCAACTAATTTGTAATTATCGTCCTTCATTAAAAGAGCGTGCAATCTTTCTGCCAAATTTATATCCTAAAACAATGCAAAATAATAGAGTAATTAGTAAAAAGTATTACGACAGTTGTAGTTGGTGTCATTGTATATTAAAAAAATTCAATCATGATTAGATGGAAATACACCTCATCGATCGTAAAATATCCAGGAATACATATTATACGTATATATATTATATGCGTGTACACGTACACGCATAATATGTAGTATTACACGTGCGCATACAAGCGCGTACGTGTGCATGCGCGCAACGCATGTACGGTCGTAAGAAAGTACTCACGCAGACACGAACGCACAGAGGCACGCACGCACGCACACACACACAATTAAATTTTTTTTTATTTAAGTCGGTAAGAAATAAATATAATGCGAGACATTGATATTACTGATCCATGGAAAAAAGTATATAAGAAGTTACCTGTAAGTGATCACTGCAAACTCCCATAGCTGTAATAAAGAAGTTTGTGTCCGTAGGCTCTTTGGGCTCCAAGCTCTCTCTTTTTTCTAAATCATTTAATATTCCACTTAAAATGTCGACACGTGGGCCGCCTGCAACATAAAATTATATAAGTGGATTGTAATATTTTACAGAATTAATTGGTACATTTTCATATGATGGCTTCTTCTTATCTCTGGTCAATCATAAAACATATCTCGGTCACATAGTGGACGTAGCTTCGAGTACAAATATCACATAAAAGGAACAGAAGTAAATAAGCAAAAAACCTCCTTCGATTGTTCCTTTATTCAGAAGTCGCTTAAGAATGATTTTTGGAAATTTTACTTCTTAAAATTGCGTTTTTTGCTTGGACAATGCACAAATTTATTTTAATTTAGCGGAACCTGTCCCGGTTTTATACGGTAAGTAAGTATTTTAAAAGTTGGCAAAGTATTTTTTGAATTTATCTATTACAAATAAAAAAAAAAAACGAATATTTAATTTTTATAATATGTATAGTAGTTTAGATGTGCATGACTCAAGCAAAGGAAAATCAATCAATGAACTCAAAAACAAAGAATGATCACACTGAATTATTATTTTAAGTATACTTCCTTCATCTTAAATTGTAAGCATAAATACATACAATTAATATTGAAATGAATATTTATTATTCAGATTTTTTTAAAAGAATTCGCACCATTTTGTTCTCGTGAGTTATGTCGGTAGGTCGGTTAATCAACTTACGTTCTTTGCAGAATAGACACAGGAGATAGTAGTAAGCAGACAGTCCAGGTTCGATTCCTAATTTTTTGAATTCGGCGACGATTTGCAGCGCTAACTGTTGCAACATTTTACCGCCGCCCCACGCCGATATAGATCGAAGGCATGAGGTTAGCGTTTCATTATTAGGAGATATGCCCTAAAAATGTTTTGAATTTAAATATTAAAGCCTATGTTCATTATGAAACTGGCAGCTTTAAATTAGAAATAATGATATTAATTTCATCAACGCTTCAATTTTTTTTATTTCATTCCACTTCGAGAAATTTTAAAAAAATATTATTAAAATGCGAAAATAATATGTCATTAAACTATTAAGTGATTGAAAAATGTTAAAACAATATTTTTCCCTTAGCAGCTAAAAAAAACCAATGCAATTAACATATCATTTATAAGATGACAACAGTCATAAAATGAGAATAATGTATTTGCTCTATTTATTACTCTAAGATTATAATGATATCACCATCCTGTCACCTAGTGGATTTTCCCATGACAATATATACATAAGAAAGCAAACAAAAATGCATTTACGATATTTATAATTCTTTATCTAAATTTAAAAGTTATTTAATATCATTGCAAAATGTACTTGGTGTGATCAAGTTTTATTACCATTTAATCTTTACTTCCTTAGTAATATTATACATATGAAAATTAGTTTGTTTGTTACTTTTTAATACCTTAACATTATGAAATTTGATATACACATACTATATAGAATGGAGAAAGATATTTATTAGGACTACTTTACATCCCAGTCAGTAAACATAACTCGGCCATGCGATCAAGTCGCGGGAAAAAGCTAGTCGACCGAAATTTCACCCCTTTAACTTATTAAGGTTTACATTACGCTAATACATTCATAATATCTTTAGACGATCTTCACTGTGAAGTGGTGGGATCGATTCTCTGTCAGGGGAATTTAGTAAATGAGTTTGAGTAAATGTTTGCTGAATGATTTGTTAAAAGAAAATCACCAGCTATGGACAAGTCATTATTCTAATATAGAATGTTACCTGTTCTTCCATTTCCACTAACAAACTTTTAAGTGTTTCAGTCCGAAGAGCAGTACCCTCTTTTAAAAATCCTATACAACCAAGAAGTGAATTATACACACTGGTTGAAAGTTTGATACCATTATCTTTCGCTTCCTGAGTCAACACATATGCTCTTTCAGCCTGAAAAGTGCAATCATGATACAAAGCAAATTAACATATATCTATGTGATATTTTGAAGTTTTCTATAAAAATTATAATTAAATGCTTATAAGATATTCACACAGAAAAATAGTGGCACCATATTGTATTGGAATCAAAATTAATATTTATGTAACTAGTAAAATTTCTACATTAATATATTTCTCTTGTAAAGTAATAACTATATGTAAATTATATTATTATATTATAAACTTACTTGATAGTATTTCGCCATACCCTGAATAATACAACAGTATGCTTCAGATGTCTTTGGTTCGAGAGATTCAAATATTTTATCAGCTAGGCCACCCAACCTGTGGTAATTGTGGTTAATTTATAAAAAATAACTAATGTTTATACATAATATTCGAAAAAAAATGTTTTAAAGTTGCTGACAATTTAATTCTAGTCCTGATTTCATATTACACTAGCAAAGTGTATTGTGAGTTTATTTTATAAGTTGTTACAAATACATGTTCATAAAAATGTATAAAAATAAACAATAATAAATTTATTTTAGTTATTTAGCTTTTTTTGAGTAGAATTTTAATAAGAAATTATGTCACAAAGTACATAATTGCTAAAATAGGTTTGTTAATTTTAGTTTATATGAATATGGGGGTTAAATTTTTTTCTCAAAAAGTACAAGCTAGTTTTGTATTTTATAATGACAAAACTTGAAAAGTGAAATCTTTAAAAGTATGATGTATGGGTTGTCATGTTATTTTTAAACTGCATATTCCTTCATACATAAAAAAATTTATAACAAACTTATGTCTAGTTATATTTATTATGCTATTATTACTTCCATGTAGCTGCCTGTCGTTCTCTTATGTTTGCAGAAAACCACCTCTCCTCAAGCCATTCCATTGAGTCTGGTTCCTTCTCATTATAAAAACATAAAAGTTGCAAAAACGCAATTCTCAGCTCTTCATTAACTCCACTAGTTCCACCAAGGAGTTGGAATATTTTCAGTGAGTCTTCTAATAAGGCATTATTTATTGTGTATTTTAAATCTTCTTCTGTCACCTTAAAAACATCATTATAATTATATTATTAAGTTTTATCTTAAGCTATACAGTTTTTACCTACAAATATTCAAAAGTTTTCTTTCAGCTTCTCAAAGATTGACTGTAAGAGAATCTTCTATGGGATAAGCCCAACAATGTATATTCAATCTTTTTAATATGTCAAATGTAAATTATGTACAATAAAGACTGTGCAATGTAATATTAACAGATTATTATGATACATTATATACATTTAAAGATGTCTATTTATCAACAAATTTCACATATAATATAACAGCTAACAAACAGAACATCAATGAGAAGACGTAACATTGTAATATGTGATTTATAATATTATTTACGAGGTTTGTCCGGAAAGTACGTATAAAAGTTTTTTAAAAATTTTATTTTACAATTATTCAGGTAAATCAATTTTATCCCCTTCAAAGTACTCCCCCTGTGACATAATGCACTTGTGCCAACGCCGTTTCCACTGTGAGAAGGCTCCTTGAAAGTCCTCTGGTTGTAGGTTTCTCAGCTGCCCCGTCGTAGCTTTTTTTATCTCATTTATGTCCCCCAAATGCCGCCCCCGAAGTACCAATTTGGTTTTTGGGAACAAGAAGAAGTCACACGGGGCCAAATCCGGCGAATAGGGGGGTGTTCGGTCACCGTAATGGAATTTTTACTCAAAAACTCACGGACAACAAGAGAGGTGTGGGCAGGGGCATTGTCGTGGTGAAGAATCCAATGCCCCTCTCGCGCCAATTCTGGACGAACTCGTGCCACACGAGCTTTGAGGCGTCTGAGCACATCGACGTAGAATTTTCCATCAACTGTCTGGCCTGGAGGGACGAATTCTTGATGGACAATCCCCCGAACATCGAAAAAAACAATCAACATTGTCTTGACATTTGAGCGGGATTTTCTTGATTTTTTTGTTCGTGGTTCCCCGGATGTCTTATCGAATTAGATCGGCAAAAATTTCACGGCCATTCTTGCCGAGTTTCGAGAGAAACTTGATTACGACGCGCTGCTCTTCAACGGAAGCGGGCTCCATGCCGACGGGGTTTCGTTAAGAGGTAACTTCACAGATGGCGTGACAAGCCAGTTCGCACCGCACGGCGGTCAGACCAGAACTGAAGCATTGTTAGGGACATAAGGAAGGGGTCCTGCGCTTACCTGGCCTCCCCACTCCTCTTTCTCGCATTCCAGAACACTTTTATACGAACTTTCCGGACAGACCTCGTATAACATGTTCACACTGACATACTAAGTACCAAAGATTATTTTTAATATCTCACAACTGGGCACAAGCTTCATCCTTTAAGAGGATAATATTAGTTTATTAGCATTGTGTATTTCATTACATGAAAGGTTTTATCTTCGTAATTGCTTATTTTAAAATATTTAGAAGAGGTAATGTTTAATAGTATCTATAATTTAGTATGTACAAACAGTATATTTCTTAGTATAATTATTGTGTAAAATATAATATTAACATTTATTAATTTATTCTTTGATCAATTTCGTAAATAAAATGGACACAATTTACAGGAGATAAAAAAAGGTCCAAATTATGAATTTATATACAGTATTTTTATTTTATAAAAATACTGTATATAATATAAATTCCTAACTGATATATTTTATATTAGTTAGGAGGTGATAACTGTCAATATATAGTACAGATATATGAATAATTACCTTGCTTTCATCATTATATAGTGGCTTTGGTGCAAATGCATCAATATGAGGATCAGCATTAAAATATGGTGTTTTCATCTTGCCTGGAGGGTCCCATTCACGGGTATTGAATAATTCGGCATGTTCATCTCTGATCCATGCTGCTGCTTTGCGACCGGCTTCAGCAGAGAGAGCATATGACCGTTTACGAAAATTTGATAATGGTATCAGATATGGATCATCATGATATCTAAAAATATATTAATTTTAACCAATAGTTATAATTTGTAATTAAGGAAATGTATGATTGTGATTCTTAAAAAGTAATTTATATATTCTTTTTTGTACAATAAAATATTTATACATATTTTATTGTGCAACAAATAGCAACAATTGGGGAGCTCAATACTATATGGTACTCTCCACCCACTAACCATTAAGTAAAACAAAAAGCATTTGAGGGCAGGGGTGGTGAATATACATTGTTTGCCACTACTACAATCAAAATATTAATAATTGTTGGACAAAATTTGGTTGACACAGAGTTTATTTAAATACACATGTAGTTAAATATAAATTTTGAAGTCATTCCATAGCTATGACAGAAAAGAACAGCACATTTTATTATATTTTGGGGTCTTAACGGGTCTGCTAATTTTAATAAAATTTAAGTACAACTTAGGCTATTTTTCTATTTATGTGTATCAGACAAAGTTGTGTATAAAAAATGGTTACATGTAATTTGAATAATTGTAAATCAATGTCATAAACTTAATTTTATTGTTATATATATTACTTGTAATGAGCAGCTGTCGGATCTGGTCCTACGGTAGCAGCCAAAGCTTGAAGAATATCTGTGGGACCTCTAGGGATTCGAGGCGGTGGCGATATGCCGTCACTCGATTTAGTAGATTGAGGAAGCGTCTGTCCTTCCAAAGTTGTTAACGTCCGATAAATATACGATAATCTGGACCATTGCCTATTAATAAAAAAAAATAATTTATGTATATTAAGTAATATTGCAGGAACTTTAGTGTTAAAAACTCAACAAAGATAACCTAAAATGCAAACCTTGGCAAATTTATATTGGAATACATTTATACTAATATAATTTATTTTGTGTACAACGAATTGAATAGAATGTATATTAATTTTGGCAATAAATTATACAAAAATTGAGATAAGTTTAGTAGATTTTAATTTAACTTTCTCAGTGGTATTTGAATGTTTTATTTTGAATGTTTTATTCTATGTGACAGTGACAATTTACTTCAAATTTCCGAAATGATGCTTAAATGTCAATGTCATATGAAATTGACAGACAGGTAGTTACTATCCTTGGTCTATGATTCATTATGTAATGCGGTCTTCGATTATATAGATGGAGCCTCAAAAACTGATCAACTTTTTGTCAGCTAATTCTCAAATTAAAAATAACTGTTTTACGTTGTTAACATTCTTAATTACATAATAATTTCATACCTACTAGTACAACAATTAGTCCATTACTCTAAGGTTGTTTTGAAAAGATTGCTCTCAGCAATAAGTTCGCCTTATTATACTTATACAATTGTATCGTTACATTTGTTAATTGTTTTATTTCTTATATTGTATAATGCAATATATATACTAATTCATTCATTTATTACGCATAAAATGTATCTTGACATATTATTTAATAAATATAATAAGCGTATTAAAAAGATACAAAAATTATAAAACAAAATAAATATAGAAGTTATAAAGGAATCACTCATAACTAATTATCACGTAGTATGAAAAAGTTGACCCGTATTTTTGATGCATTTGTATGGAGTATTTATACTCTATTTGTATAATCTAATAAATATGACATTAACTATGTGTCACGGATTCGCTCGTTTCCTTATCGTGATTTTGAATAGCATTTTATTTCTTAAAATTTATAATATTATAAATTTCCTCAAGAAATAAGCTATCAAATGCAAAAATAATTTTTCAAATTCGATTAGTAGTAGTAGATTAGGATGTTCAAATGAATAAATTCTTCTGTTTTTTTTATCTTTATATATAAAAATTAGTAATATGAAAAATTTTTTGTTATCGGCATAATGCTACTCATTAGTGTCTGGATTGGCTAAGCATCTAATAGATGGCGTTGAGATTTTTTAATGGATGAAAATTGAATGGTAATAAATGTCTGACCAGATCTGCTAGTATTAGTATAAAATGGAAATTGCTATAATAATTTATTTTTAATACCTGATAACAAAACTTTTATTTCGATATACTATTATTTCTAAATGATATTTTTAAAACCGACGAATAATTAAAGATTGTATCCTTAAAAAAAAAACCGACTTCAATTGTGACCAAACCAGTCTTTTTGATCTAAAAACTAAATTACTGAACCGACTTGATAAAATTTGTATGGAACCCATGTGTAAATATATCCTTTCAGATAAAACGAAAATTTTCCAAATTGGTTTACAACTGACGGAGTTATGAATTAACAAACAAAAATAAAAAATGCAACTGAATTGAGAACCTCCTTCTTATCGAAGTCGGTAGTAAGAGGTTCTCACTTAATTTATATTAAAGAATTAATTTTTAACTATATTACTAGTCAAATATACGGGGTAGAATTACTAGTGATTTCTCTAGTGGCCTATAGTTAACAATATACCCTGTCAGGTTGACCTCCACGCGGTTCCCCTTTACTTTAACTTTTTAATTAATTCCAGGATGAGTAAATCGACCTCATTTCATCTTTATCTATTATTACTCGCTGGTGCCCAACCAGGGTATACCTACCGATAGCGCAGGCGAAGTTACTATTCCATTTTTATCCCATAAAAAAAGTAGGTAAACATCTTGTATGCTGCAAACTTAATAAGGGCGGGTAGGGGGAAAGGAGCATTGTTAGTAATGCGGCTACATTAAAATTAATATATTATTATCCTGTCAAGTTGATCATTCATTATATCATTAATTATTAGTTGGCAATGCGGGTATATATCCGTGCAAACTGGGGTTTTTGATTTCTGCCTAAATTACAAATATAAATTTCATTAATTAATTGATACGATTTCGTTCACTCTTGCCTAATCTCAGGCTCGTTTCCGTTTTCACTACTTATTACCATGTAATCATTAGGCGAACGACGAAAAAATATGGAACATCTATGCTGACTTTATGTACTATTCTTATATTCTATGTACATTTACACTTTACAAATATCAGAAATCTTCAAATAATGCCCAAGTTTCACCAAAATTTCGCCAACACAAAAATGTTTATAATTCTTATACAAATACCTAAATAATTTTATAGAATATTGACTTACTTATCGACTTTTAATCACATTACTTAGAAGAAATTACAGTACCTACAGATATTTTCACAGGAATAAAAATCTCAGTATTTATACACCTATTATGTAATATTATTTGCTAATTTTTATATTTATATTGGTTATATTCAATAATGTCCGATTTAAACATCTCCTGTAATACACATTTGACTTTGTTAATAGGGACACGTGATACAATAATTTAAACAAAAAACAAATATAATACAAGAAATCACTTAGAATCTGCGTAGGTATTAATTTTTTTACCTTTTTAACGAGAAACCTATGTTAGGAAACAGATATAATTGTAAACAGGAATATTAACAAACAATGCAACCAAAAATTAGAATGCGTATAACAAGCACTGTTTGGTTTGGGGGTCGTTTCGTTTCTAAAATTTGATACACATTTGTTTTTGACACTGTTGAATACGTACTTTTCAGGACACTTTGATGAAAATGCTATAATGATATCACCGGTACCTTGGATGCACGAGATATATGAGTCTTCGTTACCGGATTTCGTAAAGTTTCCAGTTGTTGTACATCTGTAATTGGGTTCACAACGGTAAGAAGTATTGTTGGAGCAAATCATGTGATCAGAATCAACAATATAACCCGGGGGACAACTAATGTTACGTTGAACAGAGTTATTGCAAATTGTAAAGTTGTCACAGTTGTAACTGTTAATGAATAATCCATTTGTAGTACACTTAGTTACATATTGTTTTTCTTTACATTGTTCTTCCGAAATATCATAAGCGTAGCCATCAGGGCATGTCCTAGAAAATGCTACAATCATTTCGCCTATGCCTTGGACACAAGTGATATATGAAATGTCGTCTTCTATAGATGGATTTGTGAAGTTTCCAGTTTTCGTACAATTATAACTTGGTTCACAACTGTAGTCCGTGGAATTGGAGCAGACCATATCGTGATAGTTGAAAATGAATCCTGGTGGACAGGGGAGAGTGTACTCGAGGACGTTATTGCAAACTACGTATTGCGTGCAGTTGTGATTGCTGACAAACTTTCCATTCGAAGTGCAGAGTTTGCCATTTGCGATGTACAGGACCTGTAATGAGGAATAAGGTTTTATTTAAACTTATTGTAAATACCTATTTCTTTAACCTTGTATTAAAATCAGTTATTTGATTTATTCTATAATGTTTGTATTCTATAATATAAAGTATGTCAAACTTTTTAAACATGTTTAGTTGTTTGTTCATTCGCGCTTAAATTTCTGAGTTATTTTACAATAAAAAAAAAAGATGGCGATAATAATATCTTACTCAGATTTGTACATAATCACGTTTCACTTACTGCTGTAAATATAATTAGTAGCCAAAGTTTTATATTGATAAAATACATGGTGTTTTATTTTGTATATAAATTAAGTACTTCAAGCGGCCGTTCAATTTGACTGTGAATATTTAAATGATAGCTACTTATTTTCTTACAACATGTCTGACAGTTTAAGATGCTTTTATATCTAGCAAAATCAAAGGATTTCAAGTTGTGTAATTATCATTTAGAGATGTACCACCTACCTACTAATAGTACTAAAGTAGAAATTGTCGATAATAATGCATTTTTTATGTATAATAAAGTTGTTTTTTAATATGTCTGTATATAATATTAGCAATATTAGCAGCAGGTATTAACAGAAAAGAGGATATATAGGGAAGCATCTTAGTGTTTCATGTTAGCTTATTTACTGTTTTAATGTAATTTCCAACGGAAACCAAGTTGACGATCCACCTGATGTTAAATAGTAAGTTAACATCCATTGTCTAACGACAAGAAAGTCACCATTAGTTTTACAAAATGCACTGTGATTCCCTTATGCCTCATACTTTGTCATTTATATACTACAGTTTAAACCGAAATTCAGGTATGCAAGCACAACTGTGTTTAGTGGCAGAAACACGAGAGGTTGGGTGCTAACGAATTTTAAGACGCATTACGATGACAGGTATATCTTTAGTCTATAGGGGTATATACTAATACTTAACCTGAACTCTATGAAACTGACAAGTTTCCTTTACCTTTACTCAAGGACTATGGTCGAAACAATTTTGGTCGAATTCGAAAATATTTTTAAGCAACATCTACTGACTTTTTGTCTGTATGGTTGCTAATCGAGAATTATTCCTACCATTTGGGTGTCGGTTCGTCAAGCTATGTTGTTGATAAATAAATATAAATAAATAATATCATGCTGTAGTAAAAATATCGCTATATGAAATATCGAGAAAATTTCATCTCTAGAGATGTTTGCACGTGATAACGATAAAAGAGCGCATTTTGATATCTTTATAAGTATTATCTTATTAAGACCGCAGCGCAGTGACAGGGACGTAGCCTTATTAATGTACTAGATTCAATTTTTGATACATCCTATTTCGGAAACTTACATTAATTGCACAGGTTTAAGCACTGATTCGGATTTGAATGTCGTATCTGAATAATCATACTTACTTTGCATTTAAATTTTTGACCTTTGGCTCAATAGAGCCTGATTGATCTTGGTTAAATTTTAATTCGAGGTAATAACCTCGATATGTGATATATAATGCCGAATAATTTTCTTTTGTTAATTTAAGTATTTACTTATGAGGTTCATTGTAGCGACAAAATAAACATGACACCAGTACAGGAGCAAATTTTATTAATTGTAGAAAGAACTGTTAGGAATTGGTGATATAATCGCATAACAAATGTGTGTATGTTTAAGGTTTAAGTAAATAAATTGTTATGAATGAGCCAAATAACATAGAAAATAATAAATAGATTATTGAAAGATTTTAAAAGAAAACAACATAAGTCTATGATATGTGTAAGTTGGAGGAAACCTGCGATCTTTTATTAAAAATAGGTTAGATGCAATCTTGCGTTGAACCTGCGGCCCATACATTTAGATTTTATAATTACTTATCATCAAGTGGTTATGAGTAAATGTGTTTTGCCAGTATAGAACAAAAAAATATACTGACGTTAATAACTACTAAAATTCCAAGGTATTCAATTAAGACTTTTGGAATTTAAGAAGTCATTTAATTATGTCATACTACAATAAACTGTATTATTACGGTTCACTAAATGGAATAAGGAATTATGACATCAAACCAAACAGATTTTCTTAGTCTATCACAAAATGATTATCACGTAAATTTTATGGACAGAAACAATGATGAGTATAATTAGCCCATAAAAACCGAGTAATCGCTTATTGGGGATATTAAATTGCCTTGCTTTATAAAGGACGCTTTCTGCAAAATATCAACTAGAATAGGAAATGGCGGATAACGTAATCATCGGTGTGTTTCTTGTAAGTTGCGAATTTTTATTCATTCTGAATTTATATCCTTATTAGGCAATATGTTACTTTCGTTGTGTGCTTGAATTCGAGGAGTCAGTCTTAAGGATTAACAGCGCATGAGGTGTATCATAAGAATCACAATGAATTCAATAATATCTATGATGCTGATTATCTCTATAGGTGATATTTACCATATTTCTAAAGTGAACAGTCAGCTTGACTGTTATTCCAAGTAGTATAAAAAGTAATGTGAGTGAGCACTAAGAATGAAGAAGCGATTTCTCGTAATTATGTCAAATTAGGAGTAACGTAATTGTTTAGCGCGGATAAAGCAACAGGGAACGACGGGTATTATATGGAGAGGTTTATTTTGAAAAAAGTCTCTTTTGTCGAAATTGATGAACGTTATTTATGGAGTAACGTCAATATTGTTTGTTTTACAGATCCTTTGTTTAGCATGGCAAGCGAACGCTGCAGTCAACTGTACACTAAGTGGAGAGGGTCGACATGCCGATCCAGATGACACTACCTGCCAAAATTACACTCTATGCGTCTACGATAGTACTTCTGGTGCTTACCTCTCATACAACTACGTATGCCCAACCACTTCGGTCTTCAATCCTTCAATTTCACAATGCACCGCGTCCAGCAACTACGTCTGTAATGTCACCGCTACAACCACAACTGCAACTTCCACTACTACCACCCTCATTACTACCACCCCTATTACTACCACCCCTATTACTACTACTCCCATTACTACCACACCAATTACTACCTCACCCTTTACTACCACCCCCATTACTACCACTCCCATAACTACCACTCCTATTACTACCACCATCACCACTATTACTACCACTACCACCACTATTGCTACTACAACTGCGACGCCATCACTTTGCACAGAAGATGGTTATATCCCGGATCCTGATTCCACTAATTGCACCGCCTATATAGAATGCGTAGACATTGATGGCAGTTTCATCGAAACTCCATATACTTGTCCAGATGATTCTTACTTTGATCCAAATACCACTTTCTGCGTGTATGACTATAATTGTACTGCTACCTTCACATGTTCGTCTGAGGGAAGATTTCCTGATCCATCGGACACCACTTGTAAGACGTATTATCTGTGCGTGCTAGCGAGTAATGGAACCTACTTCGGGTATAATTACACATGCCCTTCTACATCGGTGTTCAGTCCTACGGAGCAATTTTGCACTACTTCTTATATATGTACATAAAACAAGGTTTGTGGAAATCTTTTTAAGTTTAATTAATTTTAATTACATTTAGGTGCACGTTTTTGAAGTTATGCAAAAAGATTTCTACTGCAGTTTGAATAGTGTCAACTCCGGATATCATCTCCTAAACCTATTGTGAAATTTAAATTTATAGTTCTATAATTACGTAACAAACCACGTATGAAATAAGTTTTGACTAAATACATAACTTGTTCTTAGAATTCAAATTCAAATCTAAATTTAAGTTCAAATTTGTTCTTAGAATGACTAAGTGGCTAAAGTTAAAAAATAGTTTGAAAGATAGAAATTGTAATATAATACATTTCAGTTCTGACTTTTTCAAGGTACAACGATATCTTATCCGTGTAAAATTCAATTAAATATCATGCGAATATATGTTTACTCTAATATTAGTAACTATAAACATTACTTGTTAATGTAGATATATTATTATCTACTTAGTTAAATATAGTCAAAATGTACAATATTTTGATGTAAGTACCATTACAAGAAACGAGTATGAGTGATAAACTATCAGTGTCACAAATAATTCTGATACTGATAGTTTTTACTGAACATCTTTTAGTAAAATCAATTTATTGTTATCCTGCTACAGTCTACTAGTGGGTACTGTCATCTGATTACTTTTCGATCCTTTCGTAGATTTTATTAGTTTACTGAGAAGTTTACTTATGTCATCGCTCCCCTAGCCACATATACGTACCATAGTTATGGTGTATAATTGTTTTTTTATTTTTGTAGCAATATATTTTTTTAGAATAAAACACATTGATTATTTATAGGATTTTAATTTTAATTTCTTATAATACTGACTTGAACATCTTCATAAAAGTAAGTAGATATAGATATAATAAATTTCTTTTTTACTTTTCCTAGAGACTCGGATTTTGATATTAAAACAGTTTCGAATTATAATTACATTGTTACATAAAAAAAAAAAAAAACTTATGTTTTAGCATTGTAATTTGCTATTAAATTTTCTATTTGTTTTGAATATTCTAAATATAAGTATCCAAATAATTTAAGACTTTAATAAAAGTCAGTCACTGTCTTGTGTTGTGTTCCTTTTTTGTATTTCTGACAATGTATTTACTTTCTGTGGATTTTAGATCAATAGGATACTGTACCTCAGCATTTAGAAGAGTTACAAGTTCTCTAGCTTTTTGAAGGTTGTGATTTAATTTATGTATTGAATATTCATTATTAACAACAGTAATATATCTGTTAGCATAAGGCTGTATTTTCTCAGGTATTAAGCTTAGATTAGCAATAGGTTTCTTCATGGTGGCATAAAAAGTTTTGAAATAGTTCTCTCTAGCATTATTTATAAATGATGCTGGTATCTTTGTTTTTTCTCTTTTACCACCAACAGATATTGTACTATCTGTAACTCCGAAAACATTATTGATACCTGTATAAGAAGAGATGTTGTGCTTATTTATTTTTATGGTTTTATTAAGGTCCTTAAAAAAATTTTGTAGATAATTTTCATTGTCGAATTCAGGGAAGCTTGTAACTAAGTAGGCAGATTCATTTATACGACGTACTTGATATGTTTTAATGCTAAATGAAAATGTTATTAAACTAATTAATACACACTGCAAAAATATAATCTTTGTGTAAATACAACTAGACATGAAATTGTATAAAATTACTATATTTTAATCATATGATATGTTACTTTGACATAATTAAATCGATCTATTAAAATATCAGTCAGTTATTTCTTTTAAATACATAAAATAGGTCTTATTAGATATTTTTGTTGATTTTATCGTCACGATATTAGGAAAACAAAATTTGTAAAGAGGTAATTATTAGTATATACTTTAAAATTCGATATAGGCGTATTTAAGGTGGAAGGGGAAAGGAGTAGCCTCCCTCCGTATCTTCTCCTAAATTGTCTGGTGTTCACCACGGGAAGCTAATGAAACTTCGCAAGTATTTGTTTAAGTGTGCATATACGTGTTTTTTAAGGGGCTAGGTCCCTCCTGAAGGTAATCTTAATAAATAAATCTTAAATACGCTAATGATTGTGGACGTCGATTAAGTTTGAGATAATAAGTAGATTTAAATCTTAAAGAATGTGACCTCTATATGTATCCTTTTTATGCGGTAAAAAAGAATTACGGAATAAATAAAGTTCGTAAGTCACAGATTAAGGATATTTTTTGCGATATGCTCTATTAACATTCTGTACCATACTTATCTAATCAATGCATATGTAGAGCCATGAGCTGGTATGAGGGTTAATCTAAGGACTTACTTTATCTCTGTTGAATATTCCGCTTTATACTGTAAAAAAGAATTATGGATTAATTACAATTCGTAGGTCATAGATTAAGGATAGTTTTTGCGCTGGGTTTTTTTTATTAACATTCTACACTGTATTTATATAAATAATGAATATATAGTCACGAGTTTGTATGAGGGTTAATCTGAGGACTTATGAGTACTTTAACTATGTTGGAAGTTTTGTAAAATTTCGATCATTCTAGATCAAGAAAAAATTTGAACTTACAGTACATTTTATTTTACATAGATAAATACACACATATATTTGTATAAATACATAAAAGAAAATGAAAAAGATAAGGGCCTTGTGAATAGAATAGGCCACCCATTCCTATCCTATACATCTCTAAAACCTGACTGCGGTTGCCAATCCGCCTGTCAAGCGTGGCAACCACTGGCAAAACACCCCAAGGGTGAGGCTTATGTTCAGCATTAGACTGTTAAAGGCTGATATGATGGTGATGATAAAAGAAAACATACAATAACTTTGGGGGTTTTTGTTTTTATATATTTTCTTTAATAGTATAATCAGGAAGGTACCTATTATGATGATGGAAAGTGCATTTATACTCGTAAGTTAGATACGACTACCATAAGTTGTACTTTACCTGTAACAAAAGCAAAGGCGTCAAGAAGGCGATGCTATCGCAACTGCTAGTAAAAAGTGAATGAAATCAGACAATGGACGTCGAGAGTCAGATCCCATAGCTGGGAATCAAGGTCAAATTTGTCTGGCAAATCATCTAAATACCCACAGATTCTTCACATGGTTTGTTAAGCAAAAATATGCTCTATTAATTGTTTACTAGGTATGTTTTCAAGGGCGTTGAACGAAAGCACATACGCCGGTATCAGTGAAAAGAGTATGAGACTATTCCCGGCGTTATTATTGTTTCAATGCCACGCTTCTTAATTGCTACTTCCGTAAATTCACAATGGAATAGAATAGCTCTTAAAATTATCATTAATACTTATGTCTAAATTTTTAATAGCAGCTGTTTATAAATTGTCCCAATATTGTACGTCTCTTTGATTACATACGATTTAACATTCAACATGATAAGCAAAGATGTTTTTAATTCGGTTGTTTTGTTTGGAACAAGGTATCTGATATCCATTAATGTAACTATAAATAGTGATATTATATAGACAACATTAAAATAATGACTGTATTAAACTTAATCTTAGTGCATGCATTTAAATATTAAACGCAGAAGTTAAATTAAAATGATAACATTATTCGTTCTCCTATTAATGACAATAGACACATATTTTTAACTGTAATAAAACAATATAACAGAAGTTTTTATGCCAGTAATAAATTTTGTTGGAGTTTCCAACAATGACAACATACAGAGTCAAATATTTAGTTACCTGTCTAATCTAGGTACATTAGTAAATAACGCCATTTGTTTGTATTATTATAGGTACTTAGATGAGGCAGACAAAATGTCGTAAATTATAGGTGTCATACAAATTTAAGACTTGTAATTAAATTAAAAGTGATATAAACATTTAATTTTAAACGTAATGTACAAAGGCGAGTTTATATCTAATAAGATATTTTTTCCTGCAAACCTTTATTTTGTTTATTTCAGTACAAAAATATCAAGGTATTATATATAATTTCATATACTGATTAAGACCTTATTCATCAATTGTTCTTAAATATTATGTTCATATGTAGATATCTATCTACATAAATTTTTAAAAACTTTATATTTTCACTACTCCTTTCAATTTTCTGTCCATACATATTATTAGTTACCATGTGATATATTATGACTTATTGGAGTAATTGTATATCTACAGATTGCTTTCACTCGACTGTGTTAATTTTTATAGATATTTCCGAATTCCCTTTAGAAATAAGGATAGAAATGATGTAGTTACTTTGGTTACAGTTTTTTTTAGACTCTACAGTTGTGTTTGTTTGTGTTTCGGTTCCAGGGATATGAGTTTAATTGCAATATATAGATGCCTTCTGCATCTATATATTGTATTTCTCAAGGATGGTAAATGGTCAACATTTCAACGATATCATGGACATCGCTGTACCTTCTGAGATATCTATAGTCTTATATGTATATATATCTATAATGTCCATAAGTGACGGTTACGACTTTCCATCAGGTAGGTCATTAGCTTGTTTGCCTTTCAAGTATATCATATACTTTCAATTTAGACATAGTCTCGCATTCAACGGGAGTAATTGCAACTGGGTGCAACTTATGCAATCTGAATAATAACAAGACACAATTTACGTGATTTGATTTGGAAGTATTTACTTACCTTTTTTACTTTTGCGCTCGTCTCACGAACTGGTAAACCTCTGCAGTTTCACTTGCGTCAGCAAACGCGGTAGATATAGACAATATTTTTTTCTTTTATTATGTTATTATGTCTATGTTAATATGTATTTTTAAAGAAATTTCATTAAATGAAAAAAAAATCTTAGGCGTTTTATCAGTTACATGTATGTTTTATCAGTCATTTGGAGTATTCTTACTAGGATTATAACTGTGAAAGTGTGTTTGTTTGTTTGTTACTTCTCAATAAGTACTATCATTAATTTATATATATATCGGTATCATATTTGTTTTGGGAAAAACGTTTAGTTTTATTTATAGAATGTTCAATGATTTTGAAATAGAATATTCAATTATTTTGAAATCAAAAGAATTTAGCTAATACAACTCTATTTATCTATTACGTCGTACTATCCTCACTATATGATAACTTATCTAGCTATAGCTTACGCAAATGACTAAAGCTATAAGTCATCTTATTTGTTCTTATTGTTTTAATTAGTTTTAACAATGTGGTGAAATATATGTAAATCCTGTAACTATATTAAAATTATTTTTTAGTTGTTTTTGATAATAATTAGAGCAGAGTGAATGTCAACGGCCTCTATCCTAACATAGTTGCATTCAAGCTGCTCTTCCGATTTCATAATTCGTCTCAAACATGCATTTATGCAGTTTCAGTCACATAACTTCTATTTCAGATAGATCAATGTAGGTTGTTATTGGTTAATAATAAACGTTATATAATTTTTTCTCAAACATGCTTGGAAATGTGAGCATTATTTTGACAATCTTCTTAGAGATAAATCAAAATCGCCGTACTGGCCAGATATCTACATGCGGGCAGCGGCCGGCAAAAGTTGTATGAAAATCCATATCTGTCGTGTTTTGCGACCAGATAAATTACTATGTAAACTCATATCTGTCCTGTAATTTAAAAATGGAATGACCTTTTACTTCGAGACATGGCTACCAAGGAAATAACTAATAAAAGGTTTCATATAAATTTCGAACTGGCTTGCAAAGCTGTTTATTGAAAAAAAAAATAAAGGAATATTATGGCGCGTGAAAAATTATTATTGTTCGTTATTCGTCATTGAACTTAAAAAGTAAAATTGTGTTTTTGATTTCTGCGCATTGTTTGAGAAAAGTACTATATAAGCCTTGGCCACAACTAGGCATTGATGGACTCACGTATGTGTGCCTCGGCTGCGCCTCGACCCACATTTGCACGTTCGTCCATCAATGCCTCAGTTGCTGGCCGCTGCAGTAATGTACTATTATGCAACGGTTTGCGGGATTTCTAACTTGTAGTGATTTAGTAGTGACAAACAGACGAACATACAAACAAGATTTCTAATAATTATTGTTTTGGCTATTATTGATATTATTATAAAGGTTAACAAATCAATTATCAAACCATCATAAAAGAATATAAAATATTAGTTATAGTGACTATATTCAAGAAACTTGTGTTGCTATATATATATATATATTCCTTTTTGTTAGCCTTTGTATTTATCTTATTTCCTTCTATTTATAGAAACTAGAAACTTTATTTCTTTTTACTCACCACTGTACACATTCTGCTGTTATGTAATTTGATGTAAGTAAGTAAGTACCTCGAAAGCTCGGTACATTCACGGATATGTAACAAGATCAGATATAAATCGGTCTGCTCTCCTTTTAAAGACACGTTGTATAAATCAATTATCTAAGTTGACCGATAAATTTAAAAAATGCCAGTCAAAGTTTTGTAATATTTAGTTCCTCGTATTCGTAGTCAATGATTTATCTTTTAACACTATTTAAGAATGAAGAATTTTGTAAGAAATTTGTTTTTAACATAATATGAGTAGATATGAATTATTAGTGCTTCAATTTAGAAATTGTAAAACACTTGTACTTTACCAGGGGAATACTTTGTATAAAAGTCATTTGCTTGGGTACCTCTGTCCCATTCGTGTTTCAACCGTAAAGCAGTTGTATTTGTATGGCTGTGTTTCGATTTGAAGGGTGGAAAATGGCAAGAATTTACAGGGTACAGAGAAATAACATCTGAGTCCTTAGGAATGGCAACGCATGGGGGGTATTAAGGCCGAAACAGTATAACAGTATATTTTTTATGTCCATAATACTGCTCGTCTTTAGAGGACGGTTACCACTTTCCATCAGGTGGGCCGTCAGCTTGTTTGCCATTCTAAGTTGTATAAAAAAAAAAAAAAACTTGTACTTTGTTCTACCGTTCTTTATTGTGATATGTTTTTTTTTCAAAATATTTATTAGGACCTAAGAGCCATTGTCTATTTGCGAAGTTAAATCCACTTAAAGAAAGTTGATCTCATCAAAATCAGTATCTGTCAGGTAAAGATCTCCGCAAGTTTCTTTTTTTTTGTAATCCAATTTTCTAATAAACTTGGAGAATAATGCAATAGTATATAACCATAACAACGTTATATCTGAGTAAAACTAGCGATCTATGTGTTAACACTTTATTTTAAATACATTCTGTTTCAATTAAAAACGTGGACTGAATTATATTTGTTTGCGAAAGCCTTGCAGGCACATACTTGGTAAATAAGACGCGTATTTGCTCTTTGAAATTTAACAATTTCACTAAATAACGTCGCTCGTATCCATGAATACCAAATACCAGCTATAACGTTTCGCAATTTGTTGCAATTTCAGCGTAACTGTTGTTATTTACAAAACTATAGTAGGTATTTGTCATAGCTTTGCGTAAATGTGATCTTAGTTTCCACTTTCTGACTAATTTAGGTAACAATTTTTTTTTGGTTCGTGTCTTATCATAATTATCTCATAATTGTATATTATTTATTACTGGGACCACATTGCCGTGGGTGTCGTAAGAGGCGTCTAAGGGAGGGCGAGGGATGGATAACAGCATCCCTCTTAAAACATCTTCAAAGCCTAACTATGGGGGAAGGGATGTTAGTAATGGATACTAAGGGCTCCATTCCTAACAATATACCTAACCAGGTCGACCTCTACGTGGCTCCCCCCTGGAAACCATCGTGCTGAATTCCAGGCCACAATGGGTTAACAGACTTGCCGTTTTATCATCCCTCACTGGTGCCCAGCTGGTGTATACCGTTAGCGCGGGTGGGCTTATCATTCCATTTTTATCCATTAAAAAAAAGCTTTACCGCGGTTACTAATCCGCCTGTCAAGCGTAGCAACTATTGACAACGAGACTGACGTTCGCTAAAATACCAATTACATCATTTAGATTTACATTTGTGAACGTATTTTTCTACCGATTTCAAAAAGGAGGTCACTATGCGACATACTTATTTTTAGTTAAATATGAAACAAGATTAACCGAAAGGCTTTTCTTGTATTAGTTTAGTGAAAATTGGATTTTTTTTTGTCTATAATTATAAATAATCTTAAACTTTGTCTACCGTCTATTTATGCTTAACTAAATGAAAAATTGTCTTATTAAAAATAAATTGTATTTAAAGTAATAAATGTTTTTACAATATATTGATTTTGACACATAAAATTACAAATAAACATTATTACATTGATTAAATATTATTTAATTACTTAAACAGGGCTATCATTATATCAGCCTTTAACTGTTCACTGCTGAACAGAATCCTTGGGGGGTTGTGCCATGCTTGGTAGGCGGATTGGCAACCGTAGTTAGGCTTAGGAGATATTTTAAGAGAGACGCTGCTGCCCTCTTTTATAGGACAGGGTTATATTAAACACAAATAAGCAATGCTTTAAATTATTTTTGAGGTAAGACTGTTTCGAAGTAATTGGGTATTGAAAAAGATATATTTATTTAAACTTTAATGCACAGTAAAACTCTATGTACATTTGGTGAACTTAACACCGGGTGGTGTTCTCTACCACAGTCAATCATTGGGCAAACTGAGAAATACGTAGGCGGTACATTTTTGAATAGAGAAAAAAAAGCAATATTTTTTAGATATAGACAGAATTTTAAATGGATAATACATATTATAGTAGGTACCGATTTAAATAAATATGCAATGCATTTGTTTTTAAAGTAATTTGTTTTAAGTGAATTTTGCTTTCATAAAATATACGTACAACGTACATAAAACGTACGTCCTTAAGATATTTCTATATTATTTCTAACTACTTGTTTGCTTGTCCTCGTGCGCTTGTATTTCAGAAGATGGAAAATTAATAGAATAGACTATTTCTAATTGTTGTATTAAAATAAAAAATACACCAGTTTTTAATTTAGACCTTCAAAAATACGAAAGTGAAAATCGTATTTAATTTCATGCAGTAGTTTTTGCGTGAAACCGGAATAAACATACAGACAGACAGAGAGACAAAATTTCTAAATATCATTGTTTTGGCTTCTTTTGCTCCTATGAAAATCCTTTACATACTTAATTTTTTTAAAGATCTTCCATGTACAGATATCGTCCAGTTTTAATGTTATTATATTAGCATAGTTATATATATATTGTGATATTACAAGTAGTAAGATTATCACTCATTTTTATACATCCAAATCATTAATTACTGACATTCATTCCATATTTTATACTTAATTACTACCATCTATTATAATTTGCTAGTAATTAACTTTTATTTTAATTTGATATTAGTATTACGATTAATTATCGCATGTTAACTATAAATTTGTGTCTACATTGACGACGTTAAATCATTTTTACCGCACTCGTTCCTTCCGCAAATTATATTGCGGAACAATTGTTATTTATATAATTGGAGTTTTGTATGGATATAATTAGGTATTATATTTTATGTTGATGGATTGATTGATGAGAAGCTGGTATTTTTTTTAAAATAATTCTATTAATCTTGTAGTTCAGGCTCTTTTGAGCTGTTGGAAAGGACTAGGGTTTAATGTTTTTGTGCACTCAGATTTGGGATAAAATTGATAATTTTTTAATGGTTATATTCGTTAACTAATAATATTTTTTTTATGTAGAGAAAAATTACAGAATAATGTACGCACTACGAGTACACATATAAATAGGATAATTATGTGTATGTATATATCATATATTTCTTTATCTTGGACTGTTTGTTCTTTGCAATTTCACCTACAAGATCCCATTGTTTCGTGTTGTCTTGAGAATTATAATTATAAAACATTTGAATTTTTTGAAAAAAAAAATCAGATTGTAACTACTTCTGTCAGAATTTAGTTTCAATATTTTTAGTTGTGTTGATATGTCAGTCAGTCATCATGAAATTTTTTTAATTTGATAATATAATCTATTATTAAAAATAATGATAGATAAATAATAATAATATAATTATTACATAATTATAAATTCATATCTAAATATTATGAGAGTCGATTCTGGTGTGCGATTTCTTTAAACCAAAATAAAAATACAATTTGACATCACAGTGAAATCTAAGAACCAATATAAATTAAAGCAGATTTACAGAAATGACGTTTCCAAATCGACCCTGTTGTTATTAATCATCGTATTAGAGAGAAAACATATTCTAAAATATTTTTTGGATTCTTATCTGACATTACGTCACATGTGTGGTCATCGAAAGAGGACGAAAAAATATTTAATTGCTGCTACAAAAGAATAATAGAGCCACGGTCTATTCCCGTTTAGTCTTTTGTATCACTTTGTCACTGTTAAAAGTTTTGTACATTATAAAAATATATTTATAATTTGCTCCACAAAAAACAGACTTCAAATACGGCAAAATCTGTTATTTTGATTTAAAACTAAACATTTTTGATACAATTTCTATAAGACCAATCTGTAAGCATATCCTTATAGATTAATCGGTTTACAATTGACGAAGTTTTAAGGTAACAACATAAAAAATACAGCAGATTTATGGACCTTAGTAAAATTAATTGGATTTTGATGTTTGGAATGCTATAAGTATTCTAAAGGAAATACATAAACTATCTGACTGACATATCAGCGCATGTAAAACTAAAAGTAAGGTAAAAATAGTACTGAAGCTAAAAATTATCTCTGTCAAAACCTAAATTAAATTATAGCAAAGAAGGATTACATGAATAACGAATAAATAAATCTGAATTTTGCGCTCTTCAAAGGTTTGTGTTTTTAGTAAATAGTTTGTGTCTTTTTAGTTTGCTAAAAATTGGTAGAGCCAGTTAAGGGGTTTAAATTTTTATAGTAAACATGTACCTGTATAGGTGTGCCCAAACAGAAAAACTCCTAAAAACGAACTAGGGGCTTAAAATTCCATAATGACGTCACGGAACTTATGTATATTTGAAATGGGTTAGCAGGTACACAGCCGATCAGGCTCTCCCGCTCGTGGTCGCTTGGTGCGCGCATCACGCCTGCGCTCATTCGCTTTTTGCCCACCTTTCGACTCGCGCGCAGCCTCCACTATTGTCCGCGCACGCGCATTTCTCTCACGTGGGAACCAACTTTTTCGTGCTTTACCCGAGTAGCTATTGATCTGCATCTTTCGAACCGATCGCACGCTACGATGTTATTATAAGTGCGCGCTGTGTTATCAGTTATGGGACGAGTGATAAGAAAATCCAGGACTGTAAAGTGACCTTTAGGGTTCCTGGTGAAAGTTGAGTGATGATCAAATAGACGATAGGAATTGTATAAGATAAGCGGAGATCATGATCTCGTCGGTGAGTAATATCTTTAATTAATTTAATGAGACAAACTGAGCTTTTATTTTATTCTATATCTGTGGTCAATGGGCTTAGCTGCTATGTCGGCGGGAAGGCAGTAAATTGATGATGTTATTTTACTTAATGGTATGTCTTGTTACATGAAGTGTTCGGTTTCAATTCCCCAGTGAAGAGAAATTTGATTGGATATAGATTGTTATCTTGATGTTGTTCATTTTATGATGTTACACATACATAATATTTAAATTCCAAACACCGGTTGATATAAATCTCAATTTGCTGTTGATCCGCCGGTTCTTGGTCATTTATGAGGGTTTTATGAGTGTCGGGATACGTGATTTAAATATCTATTTTTGAACACATTATTAAACGTACACAATAATTTACAAATATTGTTTATGACTGTTTCATAATAAATTTATCATAGATAATCTATTTTTAATAAAGGGACTTCTGAATTACTACTTAATTTACTATTCATCTATAACCGTGCAACATTTCACGTATCACCAAGATAAATAGTCACAACTGAGAATCGATCTCAGAACCAATTACCTGTATAAAAAAATGTTCGGGCCGGTGTTTGGTCGGCGACCACAGCACCTACGCTTCTATAATTTTATATTGCGTCATATAATAACAAAGACAGATGCGTTTTTCAATTTTATGGGTTACATTTGTAATTAGATTTTATAGATAAGTCTGTAATGTCTATAATCACAAAAGTAAGTTATGTCGGTATTTTATATTTAAGAAAATGAAGATTAGAAGGTACTTTTCACGTAAACCATTATACTTCTATTTCTTTAAGTTTTCGGCATTATTTGTTATTTATAAAGGCACTAACTACATCTTGAGGCTTCGCCTACCTGAATCAGTATCTACTATATAAAATATCTTATCTATTAACTTGGGACATCACTTATCCGTGCATCTAATTTCATTCTAATCCATTCAGTAGTTTTTGAAGAAAAGAGTAACAAGCATCCTTACAAACCATGGCGTTTATAATGGTCATATAATAAATTTTAGAAAAAAAGAGGGATGTTAGAATATATATTATATGACTACTGTCCTGTATATTTATAATTTTGCACACATTAAAATATGTCTACAGGGCGGACTTATGCCTGATGGTATTTTCTTCCGTTTTACTCTACCGTTACACTAAACAGAGAGAGAGAGAGTAAATGGCGGTGCAATGATCTAACAAAATTAATTTGTAAATATTTTTAAAGACAACACATGATACATTCATAAAAAGGTACATAATTTACTTTATCTCACGTGAATTAGGAAAAAAGTACTCTGTATAATTTATTTATTTTTTATATAATTTATTTGTCTACCAAATTTCATTGAAATCCATTGAATGATAAACAGCCGATTATCTTTATATATTTTCTCATTTAGGTAAAATAATAATAGGAAAGTTCTTTTGATAAGTAAAATAAACATTCTTTATCTACAGTAGCTAAAACATTCCTTTCTTAAAAGCTCGTAAAAGCACCCAGCTCTAATTATTTTTCTTTACGATATCAGCTAACGTGTGCGTTTCAACTAGCAGTTCACTCTTTACTCGTGTCTATGGAAAGGCTTTTGATGACTTGTTAAAAATAACACCATGTCACCAAACGTTATGACTAACGAAAGACTTCCAACAGCAAACATTAAACATTTTTTCGTTAAAGAAAATTAACTGATAACACCAAGTTTATCTTTCTAAAAGCTAACAAGGACAGAGCTTAACGTCTCATTTTTAATGGCCACGTTTTTTTTATATACAGGTAGGTGCTTGCCTCTTGTGTAAATGAATTTTTTTAATTAGTGTATTTTTACCGGGTATTTTTTTATAAATCTGATAAACTTGTATTTACATTTTTACGGGTATTTGTTGAAAGATTCAAACATTTAACAGCATTATAAACAAGGTACTTATGTAAATGTGACTAATTTGGGTTCAGCTATTGTGCAATCAATAGATTTCATTGAACTTTTTAATTTCATGAGTGGGTAAGTTCCAATAAGTACTAATTGTTTAATTTTAGGCATATTGTTGGCTAAAAGAGACCATAATAGCTATTGTCAGAAATAAAAATGGTCAGTGATGGATGCTTGTATCTTCACGCTAGAAGATCAGTGAAATTCGAGAACAAGTTTGTTTTATATTACAAAATATTGTTCAGAAGAAAAGACTACGTAGGTACAGTCAGTGAGACAATGATTGATTCGATTTCTATTAGTGTATATAATATTTTAAGTAGGTATTATTAGTAATTAGGTATAAATGTTTCCATTTTTATTCTAGTGTAGTGATACGAGTAAATGTTTGAAATATATTTGCCAAGATATTTTCAAAAATATATCACTTTGATTTACAAAATGTGGCGGTTCTCAATTCGCCTATATTTTGAACACGTATGTATTTGGTGATAAATTCGCTAAAAGTTTTTCTACTATGCTAAAGTATTGCCATCGACTATAATCTGATGAGGTTAAATATAGAGCTCGTGAGTCTTTAAACAGCCTATTAACTTTTCTTTTTGAAGATGTTCAGGTTCTACTCTTGTATTGTTCTTAAGTGTTTATTTTAGTAGGTGTAGAATATGTAGTAATACAGTACTCTAAGCATCGTAAATATCATAGAATTTTAAGGTAAGTAAAAATAGTAGAAACAACAAACAGTGTTTAACAAAAGGGCGATATTGTTATATAACAATTGTTTTTGCAAGCCACTGATTTTCAGTCACTGCATGAAAAAAATACATAAGAATAAATTATATCCAAAATTTGTATTTATTAATAATAAAATTTTCAATTAGCACTTCCTATTTCTAATATGTGTGAATTAAATTATATGATTGTACCTATGGTATATAAAATATTCAGAGAATTAAAAAAAATTAGAACACTTTACTTTTTCATAGTACCTACTAAGTTTTCGAAGTAAACAGAGGTGACGTTTACATATTCGTTTGTCTGGTTATTCAAGTTTATCTTGTAACAGTCTGGTCATTTATAATAATGGTTATTACAATGCAAGAATATTTTATTCACGGCATTGGAGTTCAGTGGTAGTAATAGAAGTATTATTTACTTACTGCTTACTACTACTACTATAGTAGTAATAGTTTATTACTACTATTAAGTAAGTAAGTAATAATACTATTATTACTTAATATTTGTAAGTTCAAGTATGGTTGACACTAGTCTTTGTGTATATATCGTTATATTTCTGAATAACTCTCCGGCGATGAAAAACTCCGACATCAATTGATACGAATCCGGGCTACGGTGGTAGGGACGCCTCCTGTAACGTGGGATTCTTATATTTTTTAGTGAAATGTGAGCATGTCGAATAATACGTTCACCACCACAGTAACAGTCAATAAGTGCCTCTGACTACCCCATTAACGATTACAATCGCGACAATATTTGTTTACTTTTATCAAATTTTAATAACGTCATTTATTATGCCCATCTTGACGCAATAAATGATTATAGGTTTATGAAGTATCGATCTGATCAATGTCGTGTCAAAGACAAGAAACAATAGTATACTTAAAGTCAAGAAATAATAGTATACTTTTAATGTAATTATGTAATTATTAACAAATCAATAGTGAGTCGGTAGTAACTAATATGAGTGCGTGCCGGACTGCGCCCGCGCATATCCGATGCAAGAGTTTTTACAAGCGTACGCGCTGCGTGAACGGTTTGCGTGTTATCACTTTCGTTTTCTATGCTTTTAGCCGTTTGTTCTAAATGTTTGCGTTATTTTTAGTGTGAGCTACTTATTGTTATGTAATAATAATAACTATTATCTAGACAATACGTAAATCGTAATCCATTACTTTATTAATATTTATTATTCATTTACATGGTGTGTTTAAATTATTGTTACAAATATTTGGATATTATTCAAATCTATCGTGTTGAAACAGTTGAATGGATCTGAATAAAATTTAGTAGAGATAAACATTGGATATCTTTTATTCTATATTTATTTGTGTTACATAAATTAAGTAAGCAATTAAAGTAGGTGGGTCTGAAGTTTATAATAGTTGTTGAATTTTTAGTACGCTTTTAATTTCCGTACAACACTCTCTTAGTAGTAGTATTAAAGGTTAGCTGTTTAGCTGGCAACTGATAAGTATGTGACAAATTCAAATGGTTGGCTAATATTGTAATATAAAACGTACTCCTTTTTCTATACTTTATATAAGTAGAACAGTTCAAATTTTGTTCTACAAAAGAAAAACACCGATGTCTTTTGCGGCAATACCAATTGTTTTAATTTAAAGACCAAACCATTGAACTGATTTTTAATCAAATTTCCACGCAACTACTTCTACCCTTTTAAATAAACAAAAAAAAAACGGTTTATAAATGACGGAATTCTGAGGTAACAAATAATAAATATCATCGTGTTAAGAAGTTTCTCCTTTTTAAAGTCTGTTTGATACTCAATTACATTTAAATAATTTAATAAATGTGAATGAAATTTGGTACACAGAATAACATAAAGGATCTAAATATTTCATAGCCCGGTTCTTGGAGACAAAACATAAAACTTTATTGCAGAGAAGCTAGACTGTTCGTTCCAGAGATACTGGAATGCTATTCGCTGTTATAGGCCCAGTGCGATTGGAGATGGACACAGATATATGAAATGAATGAATATTTTCTCTTATTGGCATTGTTTTTTAAGACCTATTATATATATTTAGTTCGAAATAAAGTATTATTATTATTAAAACCGCGTCCTAGAGCTCCTTACTGTACAATAAATTATTAATACGAACCTTCCCGTAGAATAGACTGAATTTACGATGTTATTATCTCGCTTCATCTCTCATAGCATTTTATTTATACTGACAAATAGGTTGAATAGATAATCTAATGTCAGGTGCTCTTGAACCTCTCGGAGCGTAGTTTGTGCGATTGTTTGTCTGGGAATCTTTAGGCGCCTCGTGAAAGCGCGTTCTCACCAACAA